ATTATAGCTAGCCCGGATATAATATCCGATTATATTAAGTATATATAGATTATATTAGAATAGATAATTTCGAGTAAAGACGAATTAATTTTCAGTATTATAATTAATTTTATAAAGGTTATATATTAATAAATATAATAGGGTAATCTACTTACCTAGGTAGTCTACTTGCCTAGGAAGTATATTATAAGCTAATCGATAATCTATAAGGAAATAAAGGGATATTAAGAGGGAATTAGCTATATAGCTTATATTAGCGACTATAAAGATATAGTACCTCGAGGAGGCGATAGTATTAGGGGTATATTTATAGAAGGTGCCTCAGCCTAAGGCTCCTAGCAGACTTAGACTCCGTTAGAGTCCTAGGTCCGAGGCACTTATAATAACTAAGGAAGCAGGGTAGCCGCGAATTAACGACCCCGCGATCGGGAGACACGATAAGATAAGAAGCGGACCCACTAGGCAGAGCACGTAATAGCTCACCTAGATATAATAGTAAGCCATTAGCTCACTAGGGACATAATAGTAAGCCAGGGCCTAGCTCAATCGATAATATACTATAATCTTAATATTATAGATTACTAACGACTAATAAGTAAGCTATCTAATATAAGCTTACTACCTAATAATAAGGATAGGATAGACGGGTATATAAGGACGGATATTCTATACTTATAGATATATTCTTTCTTACGATAGTAATTAATCTAAGTCTTACCTTATATTCATTATAATAAGTACGCAACGCCTTACGATACTATATCGTCTCAGAGTTACAACCTAAGCTTCTACTAATAGTAACCCTAACCCTCTAATAGTATTCCCCCTTCGGAAGCTGCCAGGTCATAACAGCACTCCACTCTATATATAAGGGTATCAGCCTAGATATAGATAGTAAGAGATAGCTAACTATTTATAATATTCTAAACGTACCCCTAAGTAAGGTCTAATAAGGCCCTTAGCTTAATACCTTTATAGGAAGCTACTAGGTCGTAATATTAGGCTAAGGGCCTCGATTAGGGAAAGTAGGTAAATCGGTAAACTATTAGTAAACTATTATATTAATTTTAACTTATCGAGGCTATTAAGTATAGCCTCTACTATTCCTTTTAACTCGGGCTTATTACTAAAGTATTAGCGATAATATATATAGGGGTTAAGTTCCTAACCTCTAACTCCTTATATTAACTTTAAAATATATAAATTTAAGCTCTTAATTAGCTAGGAGATTATATTTTTAGAGTACTAATAATAAGAAAGAGGCCTATTATAAAGTACCTATAGTAACTCTTATAGACCTTATAGCTAGTATGCCTTAGATAGTACTTATAGGGGGGTATTAATAGTATTTACTTAGGGCTTCTAGGCTATTCACCCATCGCTAGGTGGCCTATGCCCTGGCGCCTTATATAGCTTAGTTCTAGGCACCCTCCTGCCTGCAGAATAGCTTCCTAATGCAATACCTTTCTTCTGAGCCCTTGACCCCCAAGACAGCACAGTGTGGATGCCACGGCGGCAGAACAGAGCTGGTTAAGAGACAACAGTTCCTTCGGCATACAGGGGGAAATTTCAACTCAGCCTTCATCGTCTTCTCGCCGCACACCAGAGGCAGTGACGTCGGTCTATCTAAACCACTCCTCTCACAGACTTCGGAGGCCGTGACTCGGTATGCTGGTGTGAGCGATTGCGTGATCCCCCGCCCCCGATTTGCGAATAGCTTCGAGTTTTGTTTCCAGCAGTTGGCGATCGGCATGCTTCGCAATTGAAGACATGTCCGTACCCGCGTTGAACATGGCCTCGTGTCACCTGCTGCAACATCTGACGTCCACCTCACTCATGAAAAGTCCTTTGACTTGCTTGGTCAGCCCGGTGAAGCACATGACGGGTTCAATTTGAGTTAGTACTCAGCAGAACCGGTATCCATGCTATTGCGGATATTTCCGGTTCGCGTGCTTTGCCTCACTGTAGCTCTAACCTTCACGTAGGGGATACGTTTGAGCCAGGCTGGCTTTCACCCATCGGATGCAGGATACGGTCGCCAGTCAGCATCCTCCGCCTCCGAACGACGGAGATGGAGATCGACGTCGACTGCGGGGGAAGCTTGTATGAAGGAGCCCTTCCATATCGCGTCGCAGGCGACCAAGACGTCCAAAGCTCCCCACATCCTCGGGACGAGTGTCATCATCTCATGATTGGACAGCTACACAACCCCAGAGCTTAGAATCCACCTGCAGAGCCGATTTTCCACGTAGAGCGATCGGTTAGCAGCTCCATGCGTCCTTGGTCACCCCAAGCCCTGTCTTATCACCCAGATTTACCGAATATCATCACATGCCTAGGCAGTGAGCTCATAGCTAATGGACCGGTCTTACCGCGGTTTCGCACTGATGACCCCGGCGTCTTCAGCAGAAACCCACCTCTTGGAAGTATCGAGCAAGCAATCCTACGTACGGCCAGAGGATATGCTTACAAGGCTACACTTTACATTATTCAGGTGATCGAATCCCATAGCTAGAATTTTAGCCGCACCCTGGTTGATTCGCAATCAAGATGTCGTGCATCTCTACGCGGACAGCTGGATCAAGCTCCGAGAAACCATGGAAGACACGCATACGGTAAGTCCCAGTGCCCTGAACATTTGACGCGTGCTTCCTGGAACTCAACAGAACACGGCCGAGGGCAAGCTGAGAGACTTCTTCCGAGGTCCTTTCAGGTCCTCTCCGATGGTGAGAACTTATTCACAGAAGAGGCCCACCGAGAAAACCCATATGATATCGAGGAGGCGCGTTGGGTGTGGAACTCACGACAAGATAATTGAGGTTGACTTGGCTTTGTGCTATGGTTGAAAAATTATCGAGTCTCGCTGGCTTGTCCAGCAATGACCTTTTGCCTCAGTACTGTATAATGTGTGAGAGAATATTGGTGAAAGGCGGAGGAGGGTGAGGGCGTGGCGCAATAGCAAGGAAGACGTACCGTCTTCAACACTTCTCACATTGGCAGTTTTGCGTTGCACAATAACTTCAAGGTCCTGTATGTTCTGGGCCAATTGCTGTATTTTTGCGTTGTAAAACAACTCAGCTGCGCTGCTCTCCTAGTGTCGAGTTAATCAAATGCTTCCAAAGCCGAGTCGAATGCAAATGCTGTTGCAGTGAAGTATACCTTTTCGACGTAAAAGCCGGTTCCTACGTCAACAATTACGCGACCGGGGTCCGAAAGTTCGCCTCGCACATAGAGTGAGTTGGTCAAAGGAACAAGCACAGATCGCTCGCCTGGTCTGCGATGAGTATACTTCGAGTGACATGTGCATGAGCAGGAGGGGGTAGGACAGTGTCTCTAACTCACCTTCAGTCGATCCGGGACGCGTCTTGACGATCCGCTGACATTCCTTGAATTTCCCCTGAACTGCATGCAGCTGGGCGAAAGACTGCGTTAAATGCTCAAGCTCCTCTTCGATCTGCTTCTTCACCTGGCCAAGTTGTTGAACATCCAAAGTGGAGAGATTTACTGCATACTTTGTCAATACAGAACATACTGGAGAAGACTACAGGGTATGGATACCTGTCTCACCACCTTGTGAAGCCATCTTCAGTTTGTCGACGATTATGTATTGCACTGATAACAGCGCCTCGCCTGGTCTGCCTCTTTTCTTCCTGGCACAAACGCTGTCACTGAGTGAGAACGAGAATTTGATGACTCAGGGAGACTACATGCGGGCCACTCGTGTGTGTCATTATTGGTCGATAGCTATCCCTACCTAGGTGGAGGTGCAGTAGCACACTAAAGGGGCTATGCTTCAAAGACGAAAACCGAATTGCTACCTAGCGAGGTTTGGATCAACAATACATGGGATCTACAGCTGCCACAGTAATTCAGAAATTCTCTGCAATATATCCGACGGCTGGACGGTCTCTTTTATGCCCAACCGGCGACACTGCAACTCTATGTTCCCGGTTTTCTTCCAAACTTGCCCCAGCACGACCACAATTGGGTAGCCGGTGAGGTCGGCATCTTTCAGTTTCCATGGGAGCGAGACAGGTCGATCGTCCAGCAGGACGTCGGTGGTATGGCTCAAGCCATGCACGACGTCGTCGTAGATCTGAACCGCCTGCGCTTCCAGGCCGTCGGCAAAGACTATTTCAACCTCGTAAGGCGAAATGGCACGAGGCCATTGTAGGCCAACTGGGTCAGCGAAGTGCTCTGCGACAGCACCAATCAGACGAGACACTCCAATGCCATGGCATCCCATCTGTATGTGGGTTGATGCCCTCGCAGCTGATGTATCCGCACTTTGCGAATCTCCTTGCGAGGTCGTTGGGAGTGCAATACGGGCACCAAGAGGTTCTGAATAGCGAGTACCCAGGTGAAAAGTATGACCGACCTCGAGTGCTTCCTTTGCCTCAAGGGTCCCAGCCTCGCATTTGGGGCAATGTTGAGCATCCATGGCGCTGTCATTTGCGGGCTGCTCGGCGATATCTGAATTCACCGCGAACTCGCAGTTGTTACACTTCATTATCAGATCTTCGCCGATCGGGGAGGTGAAATGGTACTCGTGACTTAAATCTCCGCCCATGTCGCCTGACCCAGCCCTGGCTTTAACAACAGGAAGGCCAAGCGAACCGAAGAACGATGCATATGCACCTTGCACCTGCTCGTATGTCTGTATGGCAGCAGCTGTATCCACGTCAAACGTATATAGGTCTTTCATGGTGAACTCTCGAGTCCGCAGCAAACCATGGCGGGGTCTAAGTTCATCTCGGTATTTACGAGCTGACCTTGAGTCAGTTTCTCCATTCACCAACAGCATCCGGTAAGCTACTTACTCGTTTGATATAGGCGGAGTGGGAGCTCTTTGTATGACTTGACAGACTGAGCCACCAGTGAAGTCACCTCTTCTTCATGCGTAGGAGCAAGCATGTAGTCAGCTCCCCTGCGGTCCTGGAAGTTGAAAAGCTACATACCCAGTCAGACATTCAAGACAAGTCCTGGCCGACATAAACAAGTCACATACCTCTGAACCTAGTTTCTCGTAGCGACCGCTCTGTTGCCACAGCTTCTTGGAAGTGATGGAAGACAAGGCAACCCGGGATGCGCCTAGTAAAGTTAGCTGTATGGTGCTTTGGGAGGCTATCCATTTGCGTTACCCACCCAGGCTTTGCATGTGTTTGTCAATCAGAGACTCTAGTTTGCTTTGGATGCGGTAGCCCATAGGAAGAAGATGAAAGATGCCTGAATGCGACTAAGGTATCGTAGTTTAGCGGTACTCGATGGAGAGACATGAACGGAAGGGGGCAAACTCACCTGGCGAAGAAGTCCGGCTCTGATCAACTTATCATGAGCTCCTACATCATAGTATCAGTATGCGTAGCCACTGTTGTGTTTTTCAGTGAGCGCACTTTCTGTCCCCCCTGCGGTCCGTCCACCTGTAGGAGTCCACATGGCTGTTAGGCGCTGGCGTTGGTCTGCACCAGCATGACAGTGATGATAGGAACGAGTGGAACCCCGAATCAATGCTCTCGAGAAAGTAGACGTTTCCACGTTTGGTCTGAGAGGAAACATCGTGCAAAAGTGTCACGCTTGGCGTGACTTTGTAATGTTTAAACGGAGAAGAAGATGCCACACGAGTTTGTTGAAAGCCAAGGAGAGGATACACCCGCGCGATTGAAGAAAGTTCGAGTGAGCCTTGCCAGCAACAGTTGCTCCCGGTTACCGCACGCCAAGTATTCCTCAAGGCACAAAGAGATCGTCAGGTTCAGCCATGGCTCCGGGTTGGGCCTCAAAATGGTAGCTTTGGTTAGATGAGCGTCTCACAAATACAACGCGCGATATGGAAGGCCCGAGCTTCTGAACACCCTTTATTTACTGGTCGACCCATGTGGCTTTAGTGCATGGATTATACCCCACTACTACATGGTGCCCCGCTAAAAAGTTCTGGTTGTCGAAACTTTTTCCCATCTGCAGGGCGCCCTACACACCCAAGCCATCCTCGTCACCTAGTTGTGATAACGACCGGTCAAGAGCACACTGTGCTTCGTTCACTCTGTCACACATCTCCTGAGTACGTGGAGGTCACGGCGAAAGAACGCCCTTGAAAATGTCCGGCGCAAAGGGGCCCCGGGCGGCTGACCTGAAGCCTCAACCCCAGCAATCGGCTGGCAGGGCACTTTCAGATACAACCTCCCCTAACGATCGCCAACCTCCGAAGAGTGGCAAGGCAAGTAAAAGAAAACACCAGCAAGACGAGAAAGCCTCAAACCCGGGTTCCAAGAGGAAGCGGCCGACCACGCAACAAAGCTCTTCGGCCAAACCTGTTGATGCGGTTGGGCACGGTGGCGCTACCCAGAGAACGGACGCTTCAAGCCTCCAATCAGCGCTTTTGGACGAGATATTGGCATTGGGGGGCAATGAAGAGGATCTCGAACTCATTGGAGACCTGGAATCCGAATCGGAGACAGAAGGCTTAGCTCTCGACAATCGGTTCACGGACGACAGTAAATTGCGTGAGGATTTACGGGCTCTCGCCTCTCAGCTTGGGCTTGAGGGGCTTGACCCAAACGTTGACGAGGAAGAGGCTTCCGAGATCGATGAGACCCGACAAGACTTCAAGCCGGGCGAGCCACAGGATGAAACACAGACAGCTTCGTCGACAACTGTATTCTCACGAGACACGCATGCTTCAGCAACGAAGGACAATGGCCTTAGGAAGCAGTTCGTGAGCTCTGTCCCTCCCTACTATATTGACGCAAGACATTGACCATTCTTCTTCTTGCAGAAATTCGAACCTCGCGCAGATTGGCACGCAGTACAACTAAGCCCTTTGCCCGAACCAATCTCGGATGAAATCGACCCCTACATTGGTGCTGTTGAGAGTCTCAAGGCCCATGCCCGTGTACTCCTCGATGATGACGCCGACGCATACAGCAAAAGCGTTTTGGCATCCTCATCACACAAATTCCTCTCCACCATCATGGCATCTGGAACACTAACGGACAAGGTGTCGGCCCTCACCCTAGCCATTCAGGAATCTCCCCTCCACAACATCAAGGCATTTGATGCGCTGATGAGCCTCGCTTCTAAGCGTAGTCGCGGGCAGGCCATTGGTGCCTTAGGCGCCCTCGTGGATTTGCTCGGCCCCGGCCTCATTCTGCCCTCTAGCCGCCGGCTAAAAACGTTTCACTCCCAGCGAGGATTGTTAGGGGTCCTCCAGAAGCACAACATTCGCCGTTGGACTACGTCACAACAGCTTCCCGGCGCACTGACAGAAGCCCACCTTATTGGATGGGCCTACGAAGACTGGTTGAAGGCTACGTATTTTCAAATCATTCAGTATCTTGAGGTTTGGTGCGGGGACGAAATCGAATACTCACGAACACGGTCCCTGGATTTCGTCTTTGCGCTCCTCAAAGACAAGCCCGAGCAGGAAACGAATCTCTTAAGACTTCTCGTCAACAAGCTTGGTGATAGAGATCGCAAAATCTCATCAAGGGCCTCGTATCTTTTACTGCAACTGCAAAATTCCCACCCAGGAATGAAGCTTGTGGTCATCCGGGCTGTTGAACAGGAAGTACTGCTCCGCCCTGGCCAAAGCTCTCGTGCCAAGTACTACGCTGTCGGTACGCTCAACCAGACAATCCTCAGTACTCGCGACCCCAAGACTGCGGAAGCTCTCTTAAGCTGCTACTTTGAGATATTTGTCACCTTGCTGAAGGGCTCCGTGCTGGGACGAGAAGACGCACCCAAGGATGATTCTACTTCAGGAGTCCGTGGTCGAAGTCAACGTGGCAAACCAAAGACGGCGACACCTCCAACTGAGCGTGACGCGGTTGAGAAGCTTGTGTCGGCCGTCCTAACCGGCATTAACCGTGCTGCCCCTTTCCTACCAGCCAATGATCCAATGTAAGTATTCGTAGCGTATTGTCTAGTTTGCTTGTTCAGTTTTACTGACCGGACTCTGTAGAATGGAGGCACACATTGACACCCTTTTCCGAATCGCCCACTCGGCAAATTTCAACACTAGTATACAAGCCCTTATTCTGATTCAACAGTTGTCATCAACACGCCACGTCGCTCATGATAGGTTCTATCGGACTCTTTATGAGTCCCTTCTCGACCCACGACTTACTACATCATCCAAGCAGGCACTATATCTTAATCTTTTGCTTCGCTCACTGAAAGAAGACGTCGATACTCGTCGCGTCAAGGCATTCGTCAAAAGGATGCTACAGATATTAGGCCTCCACCAGCCCTCATTTGCATGCGGGATATTGTACATCGTACTTCAGCTTCGCCTGCAGTTCCCAGATCTTCGGGCACTACTTGAAGATGCTGAAGAACATGGGGACGCCGAGGTTGCTGCATCCGCCACACCTGGGGACCTATCCAACGTCGTCACCTCGCCCACAGACTATGATGGCCGAAAGAGAGACCCGGAACATAGCAATGCGCAAAATAGTTGCCTCTGGGAAATTGTAAGCTTTCTTTTCTAACCATAATCTTGCATAGGCGCTAACTAGCTTGTACAGGCACCGCTATTGTGGCATTTCCACCCCTCAGTGCCAGTTTTAGCGCTCAGCGTCATTGATAGCGATGAAACCGTACAGAAACCAGACCTGGAGAGCCACAGCCTGATCCGTTTCTTAGACAAGTTTGTCTACCGCAATCCGAAAGCGACGGAGGCAAACCGGGGTGTCTCCATCATGCAACCACTCCAAGGATCATCGGATGCATCCAATATATACCTTGGAAAGAAGCATGGGGCGTCAACCACAACCATTAACCATCCCAACTTCTGGAATAAGAAGATTGAGCAGGTTGCAGCCGATGACGTCTTCTTCCATCATTACTTCGAGCATACCGGCAAGCAGTCGAAGTCGCAGGTACCATCGCGCATCGAACCGTTAGGAGACTCGGACAACGAAGATGAGGATGAAATCTGGAAGGCGCTTACAGCATCGCATCCTGATGGGCCCGTTGATGAGAGCGATGGATCCGATCTTGATCTCGACGGTTTTGACGACGACAGTGATGATGCTCAGGGCGCCAGCGATCTCTTTGCTGACGAATCCCTTAGCGAAGGCGACGACGCAAATGAGGGTGAAAGTGATATCGACACCGACGACGACGACGTAAACGGCGGGGTTGAGATGCTCGGCCCAGTGAACCAGGCTTCTGACGAGGACAGCAACGCTGATGTTGACTCCAGCGACAAGAAGAGGGAGTCTGAGACTAGGTCCGCTCGTCGGAAGAGGCTCAAGAGTCTTCCCATGTTTGCCTCTGTAGATGATTACGCGGACATGTTGGGCGAGGAGGAGGACATGTAAGCTAAACTGTGCATCAATTGCAGGAGCCGGGAAGGCGAGAATGAATAGACTATGTTCGATTTCAATAAGGATATATGTGCATGGCAAGAATAGTCATTCAGGTTGACTTCGACCTTGAGGTGTTCACACGAGAATGCACGTGTCGCAAAATGCATGACATCAATCCGAGACTGGCTACCACTGTGGTATGATAAGTGCTTGTACGTACCAAACAAACAGGTGGCTTGGCGAGTGCAGGGAGCCGAGGCATTGGAAAGTAAGGACCGATAAGATTTCTCGATAAAGCAAGTTGCGGCAGACGGGCCCCCACAAGTACAGGCTAGCATCTTGTTCCCATCCGCGGAGTTGACCTCGCCCTCCGTGTTGTATCCCAAGTTCGAACCCACAACCGATACCATAAAAGCTCCAGGGTATGCAAAGATGCTACGAAGAGCTTTGATTAAGCCCTGGCTTCCGAATGGTTCAGCTGCTAAGTCCATCATATGCGGACCCCAGACACCAGTCCCGGCTGCGCTGGGTGTTCGCTACTATCAGTCGCTCGGGACAGGAGGTAAGTTCGTGATCCAAGTCATATCCCTCGAACCTTCCCCATTGAACAACGCGTTATGATTACGGATATCACTGACCTGTCGAAAAGCCTCAGGTAATATCAATGCACAAGGGCCACCGAAGTCGCGATCCCGACTACGCAAAATCCTGAACATTGGTTTCTTTGGATTCGCATTCGCTAGCCTGGGCTTTTTCGTTGCTGTCAGCCCCGCCCTTCTGAACCTCTCGGCCATAGCGCAGTCTGCAAACAAAAAACCCCAGACGTTTGTACCAGAGAATGAAGAAACAGCTGTTGTGGATGCCACAATCAACAACCACCCGCTCGCGGCTGCTTTACGAAGCAGGCCAGGAATGACAGAATCGCGCCCACATATGAAGTTTCCAGAGGTTTTCCGCAAACAAAACCTCACGGGAGGCACGCTTCTTGGGCCCGGCCGACTGACTGTGCCCCCAATCATGTGGTTGGAAGAAGGTGGCAAGTCCTCGGTGACTATCATGCATCTTGGGACGGATATGTGTGGACATCCAAGAATCGTGCATGGAGGACTGTTGGCGACTCTTCTCGACGAAGGTCTCGCCAGGTGCTGTTTCGATGCTTTACCCAGCAAGGTGGCTGTCACAGCCCGACTCGAGGTCAACTACAGAAAGCCCACACCAGCAGGCACATTCGTGGTACTTCGGGCAGAAACCCAGCGAGTGGAGGGCAGAAAGGCGTGGGTCGCAGGCCGTATCGAGACCTTGGTGGACGAAACCAAGGGCGAAAAGCCAGTCGTTCTTGTCGAGGCAAATGGTCTTTTCATCTCACCAAAGGCAGGCTTCTCCACGGTAGGACGGCGCCCTCTCCCTCGAAGCTTGAACGCTGAGCAACCGACGCTAATGGTCTCCTGCAGCTGCTGTCCAAATTCACGTGATGCTCTAATTGCGTACTACAGCCTTACTCGTACAGGGCGTATTGTATTAGACTTAGAGAGCAAGACGTCATTTAGAAGCTGTGAGACGGCCGGCATCGGCTTTGCTAGCGCGCCCCGCCTACAAAACTCCCCTCTTGCGCCATCGCCCAAAAAAAGCTCTCCCATTGACCTCCACCAATTAGCACAACAGCGTCCCGCCATCGCCCCTCCCACTCTTGACGTGACCGAGGGGAGGGGCTTTGAGACCACCCAGTTAAGGCAGTGAGCTGTTACCTCACCAGCTAGGCAATATGTAAAAGAGGGCTCTCTGAGCAGCGTGACCGTGCAGACATCTTCTTCGCATAGTAGTCAATCGCATTGAAGTCGATCCATATTGTCTGTTTGTTGCTTCCCACACGACTTCCACTACCTTATCAGCCAAGAACTTTACGCAGAGAAACGTCTACAGAATTCAAGAAATCATCATGGCTACGTATGACGCACGACCCTATTCTAGTAGGAGCGGTTACTAAGTCGCGTGCCGTTGTCACATCCTCACTTCGTTGATCCATTTCACTGACAGGCTATACCATCATTCAGGAACATCACCTGGCATGCCTCCCTGTCTCGCCAAGAGCGAAATGAGCTCCGCGGTCAGAAGGGCTTCACCATCTGGTTGACAGGTCTGTCGGCTTCGGGCAAGTCGACAGTCGCGACTGCTCTTGAACAGCACCTTATTCATCTCGGGCTTGCTGCCTACCGTCTGGACGGCGACAATGTGCGCTTTGGCCTGAATAAAGACTTGGGGTTTTCGGAAAAGGACCGCAACGAGAATATTCGTAGGATTGCTGAGGTGAGCTTATCCTGGACTGTGCTCCTAACATGGCCACGTCTGAAGCTAATTCACGACAATACTTGCTCAGGTTGCAAAGCTGTTTGCGGATTCCTCTACCATTGCGATTACCTCCTTTATTTCTCCGTATCGCGCCGATCGCGACACCGCACGCGAGCTGCACGCCCAGGCCAGCCAGGGCGAGGATCATGCCATCCCTTTCATCGAAGTATTTGTTGACGTTCCTCTCGAGGTCGCCGAGCAGCGGGACCCCAAGGGTCTATACAAGAAGGCTCGTGCTGGCGAGATCAAGGAATTCACCGGCATCACCGCACCCTATGAGGAGCCACTGAATCCCGAGATTCGTATCCATACTGATAAGTCCTCTGTCGAGGAATGCGTCAGCGAGATTACGCAGTGGTTGAGCTCCAAAGGTCTAATCGCTACGAAGCAGCCGGAGGTTTGAAGTCTTTGCCAGCTTTGTTCGCCTCAGCCCTCTCATCTCGTTTGATGTTATAATCATCGCAAAGGTTGCCGCACCGCATGGACTAGCAAATTGTTTTGCGCCAAGTACAAACGGATTGAACGGCATAGGAAGTCGACGGACGTCGATAATTGATATATTCATCTTCAATACAATGCCAGGTCACTAGTGTGTAGAACAAGAGAGCAGCCAGCATAAGCCGGTTGATCATTGTTTGATGCGGCCGTCTCAAGGCAGCTCAAACTCGTAGTAGACGTAAGCCGTATACTCGGTGCCGTCGGCACCTCCAACGCCGGCAGCAGCCATCTCAGATGACAGTGCTGCATCGTCTTTGGTCACCCTGCCACGCTTATCTCTTCCGAAGGCGTTGCCACCTAGGTAAGAGTAATTGGAATCAAGCGCAGCCCTGACCTTGGGCGACAACTTTGGCGTGGTCTGAAATCATGCTCGTCAGCATATTGGGCAGCAAATTGGACCGTGAGTGGCAAGTTTCACTTACTTTGACCAGAGCCGAGACGTAGTCCAGTGGGAGACCGTAGCGAAGAACAGCCTCGACAAAAACGCGTAGGGTCAAAACATGCAGCCAGATCATAACGCTCTCGCTCCATCCAGTCCTACCCATACGAAGAGCCTCACCCCAAACCTTCTTCTCCTCGCGCGCGACTCGGTCGAGTTCCCGCTGCTCCTCTTCCTTGCCGCCCTCAACATATTTATACTGACGCGGGGTCCACTTTTGCTCGCGACATTTCTGTAGGAATTCGGTGCTCGTCTTCTTGAAGGTTGTCACGGCAAAAAGAACGAATTCGTCGTCCTGTGCTACTTCCACCGCTGAGCGTGGGACGACCATGGGCGCCAATGTCTCGTAACCCTTCTGGAAGTCCTTTTTAGCGTTAGAAGGCACGACAATCAAGTGTGTTTCCAAGTACTCTGAGTCCTTGACAAGCAAGGCCGGGTCGACAACGGGTGTGAGAGATTTTGTGGAGAGGTTGCCCGTTTGCTTGCGCTGCAAGGTCGTGAAGTTCGTCTTGACCGAGTTATACTGGTTGAACTTTGTCTTGACATCGTTGTCGCTCGTGACAAGTTCCTGTGAGCAAGTTTCAGTACGAACGAATCAAGAATGAATGTCATGTAATCGACCCAGCCGCCCCTACCTTCTGCAGTATATCCACCAGTTCACCCAGAGGCCTATCGGCACGATATCTGACCTTGTTCCAGACAAAGGAGTTGATGTAATGATCTGTGGGTTCTATGAAACAGAAATGTCAAAAACCGTCGGTGTAGGTTGTGGAATAGACATATCCTCTTCGAGGCCAATATATTTGAAGTGCTTACTGTCGTTGACCATCTTCTGCTGGCTGATCTTGTCATCGTCTCCATCCAAGATCGTACGCAGGGAGTCGGCTACTTTGGCTACCACAGTCTCACAAGCTGCCTCCAACTTAGTCAAGTCGTCTGCTTGCTGCACTAAAGCATCAAGAGTCCCGATCTTGAAGTCGGGTATGGCAAAAGCCTGCGTTGAACCGTTGTCGGGAGAAATTTTTGCTGACAGCTCTGATAAAGCGCCATTTTTGCTGCTTGAGTCAAATATACCCTGAGGGAGAGACACCAGGAGGTATTTGGTTGGCATCTTTGCTGTCGTTCTCGTTGCCACGCGATTTGTTCAACAATTGGCCATGCGCAATGCGTGATTGCGACGCAACCCAGTTGAAGGGCAACTTGGCAATAGATAAGTTAGGCTCCGGCGAACCACTGATGGTTGAAAGCAATGAAAGCTGTGTCTTTTTCGCGAAATGTCTTATGGAAAACTCGAATCGATGCTATATTAAGTGACGGATTAGCAGTCTGTATTTCGTCGACACGATGCATCTTTGTTGGTTGTACTCAGCTACAAAGGGGAGTAACTGACAGAATGGGACTGTTCAAGCTTAGAATAGTTGTTCGGCTGATTCCGCAGAAGCCCTTAGTGCAGGGAAATACGGGATCTGGTTATTCGAATATAATGGCATGCCAGGTGCAAGGCTCGTGGAAACGAAGTGTCGTTGTTGACTACGGAGTAAGGTAGCTCCAGTCTGGAAGACGCAAACGCCAGTGCGGGCGGTACCACAAGAAACTGACTGGCTGCGGGATGAACGACGGAGCTCAGAGGGACTCGGGTGGAGCCTGATTGCTTCATAGACCAACCCACCCCACCCCACCCCACCCGACACCAACTTGAAGAAGCCTGCATTACCTAAGACCTGGAGTACACCCGTGTAGGTACCTATTTCTGATTATTTCCGCCCACATGACCAGCAGTACTTCGAAACTCTTAGTACGTAGCTAGTAAGCCGCCTCGCTTGTTCATGGGATCTCGCAATATCATGCCTATCCACCAAACACAACGCGAACAAGTCAACTGGATATTGTCGACGACCAACGATCTCACTAACATTAACATTGGCTTCGTATCGTATTGTGGCCCAACAATGATGCCCCAGTCTCTGCCGACTTGAAAAGTCGCTGTTCTGTCTGCGTAAGCAACGAGCTGGCTCTGAGCATCACCACGACCGTAAGACAACTCGCCCGTGGATGATGCGCCCTGCCCATCAAGCGGCCGCTCATCCGTTTGCTGTGAACGAGGATTGTCGTATCATCCACCGACCGAGCGCACTGTTTGATACGGTTGCACACTCCCCGAAGGACGGTTGAGTGCTAGGCATAGTACAATCGCCTGATTGACCAGACCTTCATTGATAGCCTGAGCAATGGCTTCGCAACCTGGTATGCGCTCAGCTCTGGTTAATGACATGACGACCGGATATTGTGCTCATAGTTATCTTATCCGTCATCTTTTAGATCTTGTCACGTTGCACTGCGCGCAACCGCAGCAACCCATCTCGACCGATGTAGGCCTTGCCTCAGCCAGATCGACCCAAACACTGACTCCGGAAACTGGTTCTCCCGTACAGCAGCTTAGCCGGCATCATGGTAGCCGCGTCCGAAGTGCGATTCCGAGCAAGCTCAAAGGCAAAACTGACGCGAAGAAAGGCAACTTTGGCGTCATGGTCATTGATTTCGATACACAAACGGCGGCAGCTGAGCGTAGCGCTGCGGCTAAACGCACGAGTGAAAGTACTGCCTTGCGTGCAAAGATCGCCTTTCAGCATGGCTACGTCCCATTATCCCAGAGGAAACTCCAACAAGATTGCCCTTCTCTCGCCGGGCCGCCTGCTGGTCCAACGGCGCCGCCTGTCCCTGGCGGCGGGTATGCAGCCGTCCCTGCCACCGCGCTCCGTGATCCTGGTAGAACTCAACTGACGCCAACCGAAATCAAAACGGAGCAAGCTCGTCTTTTGACACTCCTTCGAAGCCTACATCCTATCATGGTTGTAGATCAAATTTGTAAGGCTCTGGCTTTCTTTGGAGGCATACCTGGCGCACCGTGCCCACCCTCAGACCTTGGGTTCCCACAGAGCCATGTGGCCAATGGTCCGGGATCGCTGTTTGTGGGATGGCTTTCCGAAATCTTTCCCCCTTTGGAATCTATCCCATATGCTACGCAGAGGCGCCCGAAGGGGCGGCCAAAAGGAAGCAAGACGACGAGGTTCCGGAGAGATAAGGGACCCGGCAAGTCAATTAAGGCATTAGGGTCACGCCGAACGAAGCAGTATCCTTTCTCGTCGGCCGGAAACCCCGATGATATTTGGGTGGATGTCGATGAAACTGCGGGAGCTGGCGAAGACGTCGCCGAAAATGAGTCCGTTGTCATGCCATCAGACCCCCAACCACAAGTTCTTGCTCCCAGTCTGCACACATCAACTCGAGGTGCGGCAAATCTGCCGACACCAAGGCGCAGGGGTCGGCCCAAGGGATCCAAAAACCGCCCGAAGGTATCGGCTATCTCCAATTCAGCGACCTTTGTGAGCCAAGAGACCACCAACCTGGCTGCTTCTGCTCCCCTTGAAGATCATCGCGTCGAGCATCAAAAATTAGTATCAACCATCAAAAGGCCCGGCCCTGGTCGACCTAAAGGCTCCAAGAATAGACCAAAGCACACCGATAGTAGCAATGTGCAGTCAGCGACCAAGAGTAACGAACTTGACAGCGCGCATCAGTCGGAGTCCTCCGTAGGTCTCGTTTTTCTACACGATGATCGACAGCGTCCTACAGAGGCCCTTGTGCGGGACGATTCATTCGCAGCAAATGCGTTCCAACCACCGAGCCTCGTAGGCCACGACGCACCCACACAGACCCGCCCGAAGCCTCTAAAGAGAGGGAGAACAGGATCATCTCAGGATGTTGGAAACCTCGCCGAGTTCGGTGACAACCTCACTATCGCCGAGCAATCAATGTGTCCCGATGGTACTCCTGTGATGCAAGAGTCATCTCATTCACTGCGCACTAGCCTTCCTCCACAAAACGCCGATGGTCCGAATCGAAAGAGATACAGACATTCCAGGGTCACCCAAGACCAGCCAGGTTCGAAAAGACATGGCTTAGCTACGAGCCATGGGCACTCCCTCGATGTCCAACTTCCTAGCAGACCTGATCGAGACCAGTACCATGCATCACACAGGCATATACAACACACTTCAGGCTTGGATACGGACCCCGGCGATGAGGAAACCTCACACAACCGTTTAGGGGCAGCTTATGGCCATGCGCGACCCCACCTACAATCTCCGGTGCGTGCACAGCAGCATCGATCAGCCATTCCGCAGGAATATCGTACGGATAGGCCAGGCTTGCCTCAACCTATCCGGCCAGGGAGCTACCATTTGGGGCGAGTAACTCAAAACTTGCAGCGCGATTTCCAAGTCGACAGTACGGAACTGAAAAACGCATCCGCTATGGCACAGCAACACTCACAGCACTGCAAGCATGTCTGCCAAAGGTCGACCAGTCCTGGGCAGCTCAACACAACGACCAGTGTCGCGAAGCCTCCTACACCCAGGAACCATATCTCCCAGGATGGCGGGGCCCATATTACTGTCGCATCTACGACACCAAAATCACAGTTTGGCCGCGTGGCGGGCTCTGTGTCGTCATCAGAAGCTGACCACCGAAGCCACGGAGTACAGACCTTTGCACAGCGACAGACCAGTGACTTTCAAACTCAAAACCGTAGGCAACACGTGTCACATGCTCGAGATTCAAATGGTTCAGCCTTTCTCAACTTCGCAGGTGCGACATTTACGGGCCTTGGACGTTCCGAGGCAGCTGGCACATACGCAACGATAGAAACGAACGAGCCGTCCTATGCCGCTAGTAGTCACTTGCATCATGGGGTGTCACTCTCCTTGCCGGCTCCCTTGGCTTCTTACACGGGGGCAAAAAACCACGGAGGCTAAAAATCACGGATTTGAATCCAGCATAGCGGGCTAGGGCGTAACGCAAGAACGCACGGGGGTGGACAAAACAACACTGTCTAGCTTCCTTTTAATTTGGATGGTACTCCGTGCTAGTGGCCTGCCGCGTTTTCTCTCAGATACCAGTTTTGAATTCTACCCACTGCAACTCAATCCTTACTTCAGAGCGAGATTTGATGACGACACAGGTGAACAAAGTAACGTTGTTAATGCAAGGTATCTATCCAAGGGGCTGGAATCCCCCCCTCCGCCATGATGCTAATTGATCCCGACTCCATGGCCTTATATCCTTGGCCGCTTTCCTGAAACGATTCCACCTCAAACGCCCAATGAATGCTTGTGTAATAGCCCAGGAGTGAATCACTTAAGCCCCTTCGTCAAGGTCCTCCTCGATTGCTTCAAGAGGCGGACGCACAGATTCGGGCGTGCCGCGACCATACCACCACTCATCTTCTTCCTCGATGCCGTCATCCTTGATCAAATCCAACATGACTTGAGCATTGCGCTTGATGTCTTGCGGCCGGTCTACGATGTTGCGGTCCAAGATCAAAGCCTCTGCTGTTGTCAACCAAATTTGCTGCAAATTCGGGAGATCCGGGAGCAGACGTCGCACATTATCGTGAGCGAGCATCTCCATAGGCATGCCGGCAGAGAGGCTTGTGTTGAAGACAAGGCCCGACTCCAGCGTGGAAGGTGATGCGTCTTCAAAGGAGCCGCCTGAGCCCCGTCGGGCGTCTCGCCCTTCTATTGAAGACCTAGGTGCATCCTTCACACATGCGTTCGACTTTTTCCGCCCCAAAGCCCTGAGGCCTCGACGCGGCTTTGACGTGGGTTCGGGTGGGGGCGTAGTTATGTCGTTGTACCAACTATCGACCGCCCCCCTGCGGCTATTGTAGCCCTTGATCTCCCAAAGTCTCTCAACTTGACGCAAACCGCCAAGGCACAGAATGGCAACGTGCACCTCGTCTGCTGGTTTTTCGCGAAGGTATCCGCGCAAAGATCTTTCCACACGACCGACATACGAGGGGGGTCGTAGCCTACGACAGAAGGAAGAAACAACGAGTGGAAAGACTTGATGCACCCGAAGCAGGGTTTGGTCATCATAGAGGTTCATGATACGGGCCTCGATGGGATTGAGGGTATATGGCTCGTGGAGCAGACCATGACCTCCGTGTTCGAATATATGCTCGAGGTGGAGCTTGCGATATGTTTCGAAAAAGTGGAAAATAGTAAAAAGGAGTGGGATGAGGCGCCGTCGCATTCTCTCATGGGAAGGCGCGAATTCTTTTCGCTGAGCGTCAGTTGTACGCAAGAAGATCTCTTTTGTGATCCATTCGCACATGAGGAAAGAGAGCTTGGCGGCAACATGCAGTCGGTGCCAGAGACCACAGAGATGGTGAAAAGTAACTTTCGTCGGCTCATTTGCGGGGTAGAGGCGGAGAGCATACGCGGGTATGTGGTGGTCCAGGTGATGGCGAACGATGGGCGCCTCATTCAAGCTTATGAGAGTATGCCACGTTTTGGATACGCGCCGCAAGTTGAGTATGTCCGCAAGGGGTAGGGCCGAGACGATTTGTATTTGGAGCTCTGTGGGAAGAGCGAGGAACAGGTGGTCGAAAGGCTGGCTGGCGGGTTCAGCTGTGGCTGCTTTCTGGTGACGGGTTGGAGATTGTAGGTGTTGCGCTGGAACAGATTTTTGAAGTAGAGATACTTTCGATCGTAAGCCGAAGAAACGGCTCTTTTGCTTCTGGTCAGTCGGACGTGGCGTATCGTGATCGCTGTCGACCGCCTTGGAGGTGCGCAGCGGAAGAATAAATGTGGATTCAGAAGGTGGAGCAGGCGTGCTTTGGGAAGCGAGAGCGATTGATGGTCCAGCGTGAGGACCATCATCGGTAGAAGATGGCTCGTGAAGTTGATTTAGCTTGTTGAAGTATCTTTCCGAGGCGAACTCGGTGATGTGAGGCGGATCCATGATGGCCAAGGGAGCCGAGCGGCTGAGCAGGTACGGCGGTGGTACGGACGTGAGGCGATGATGTTGGTCCTCGTCAGCCCGTACCTACGGCGCCAGAGGCGTGTCGAACGTGGAGATCGGGTTGTCGACGCGGCCGGGCAGTCGCGATCTAAACATGGCGGACCATTGGAAGAGAGGCGAGCCAAGAGATGGGATGAAAGGCGTGGGCGGATCGAGCCAGACTGCTGTATGCAAAAGACGATGCGCGGCCAGTCCTGGCAGGTTGCACGGCGACGTCGATCAATGGAAGGACAGTAAAATGGACTGATGTGATGATCAAGTCGCTGTCGTCAAGTCGTCGTGGTCCTTGTCTTTGTCGTCGACTTAGTTGGTTCTTGTGCTCATGAAGGCGAGCAAAGTCGCAGGCGTTGTCGAGACCGAATCAATAATGGCGAGGCCGAGTCGAAGAATGGTCGTGATGGTATGGTAGAGACGAGGGAGAGAGAAGACGTGGTGTGGTAGCGGCAAAGGGATCCAGGAGACCCAGGAGGGGATGCGCTGGGGGGGGGTGTCTGGGGACACCGGGGAAGACGAGACGCTAGGCCAGGCCGTTGGTTCACTGGTAGAGGGCGGCAGCGAGGGATGGGTGGGAGCGAGACCGAGTACCGCCAGCAAAAGAGCGAAGGGGGGAGCGAGAGAGGGAAGAGTGAGCGACTACGACGGGCGACGGGGCTATTCAGCGGCGCAATAGTGGGGAGCTGTCGAGGGGCATGAGCAGCGAAGGCCGAAAGAAGCACCGTTTTAGCGGATGCCTGAGTGCGAATCGGAGACAGGAAACTGTACCATGGCTGTTTCTCTTGGTGTCTACGAACAGTGTGCACAACGGTGACAACCAGATGGGGTGCAATCACACAGTGCATGTACGGACAAGACAAGGTACCTCTACCCTGGTTCTCGAGCCCGCCTTCCCTGCTCCTCCTCCCTCCCGTCGGCTGGGGTTGGGAACCGAATCCGCCGATAAGACGTCCGTGGCTAGTTGTGGAAGCTCGGCCCGTTTGGAACAACGGTGGCTCTTATCGACGGTCACGGTAACTCTTGCGGCCTTGCAGGCGTTTGCGGTCCTGACGATTGGCATGCGTCTACGTCAAGTCTCTCGTGAACCGTCCATTTCGGTGTCATTTCCGATTTAGCCGCACCGCAATTGGTCCGCCTGTGCCATCCCGTGCCAGCATTTCAGCTCGCGGGGACGACCCTCCCGCAGGCCAGCTTAGTAGCAGTCGCCGCGCAAGACATTTTCATTGACTGAGCCTTTCTCACGGGCGGATCCCTTCACTCTCGACAGGATTGACGAGTGTTGATAAGCACACAGTAAACTACAATCTGTGAAGATAGGAAAGTTATTGCACTAGAGTCGCTGGGCAGGCAGTGCGCACTGCGCGGGAAAGGGTTGTTTCCTGGATCAAGTCCCACGGGGCGACAAAGAAACCCCCGAGACGGCTAGGGTATTAGGCAACAACCAGGGCAGCAAGGACGTATGATAAGGAAGGGTGAGGGAGGTTGTCCTGGCTCTGTTGTGCTAGTGCGGTTGGAACGGCCCTTTCTCGGTCAAACCCTTTGCGTCTCTCAAGTGCTGGCCCACACTTGTATATTTCTCCGTGCAGTTCCCCGAGCCTCTCCATGTGAGCGGTCCAGTTCTAGCCGCACTGTGACACAGTATCGATACCTGTAGCGTTCGCCGCCCTGAACCGGTGCGGACCATGCTGAAAGACCGGCCGAGACAACAACAGCGCCAACAACGGCTCTCAGATCATCTGAACGAAACCATTCGGAGTCTCCTCGGGCGCGGTCCCTTCCACTTCTCATGATGGCCGGCCGCGCCAAGATCTTGCTCGTACCCGCAGCGCCGAAATGATCCGTGTTCGAAGGACCGGAACTATCACCTCCATCCGCCAACACGACCTTCGTCCCAGCGATTCTTTCTTTCCTGTCGTATGTAGTACAGTCCTTTGGCTTCTCTGTACCTTCTTACCCAGTCGAGAGCTTCCCTCTCGGAGGCGAAGGCGCCGTCCGCTTGGCCCTCAAGGAAACTCTCTTCCATCACGTGGCATACGGTTGCTTGCTCGTGTACGCCCTGGCCCAATCGCTGATAAAGTGCTGCCGGTGCAAATGGCGAGAGAGCGTGATCCATATCCGTTTGCTTCTGTCGCCACTGTCTCTCAAGGGCATGGGTGGAGAGGAGTTGTGCCTGCGTCGTCGACCGCTGATGTGTCAAGCGCGCTTCCAGGTCCGCCAGTCGCGCAGCCAGGCGCAAGTTCTCACCGAGCATGGCATGCAGTGCCTGATGCGAATCTGCGAGAGACGGCTGAACGGTGTCGACAGAGTGCGTGAGGGCCTCTAAGAGCTTAGAACTCGCCAATATCTCGGCCAACTCCTGCTTACTTCATAGGTGTGAGACTCAGCAAGACTTCGATAGAACATATGCTTGGATCTGCACAACACTTACGATTTGTCTTGCAGGATCCCAGGCAGCCACTGGTCACCGGGGTCAATTGATGAGGATGTTGTTCTTATAGAATCATGTCGAGTGGCAGGTTGCCAGCCCGAGGAGTCATGCCCTTCTGCGGAAATAGCACCCTGATTCGGTGTTGTAGATGGCGACAATGGAGTGACTGGTGTGTTCAAGCGAGTTGGATCGTGGCTGCCTGGTTTTGGCGGGGGTACTGGAGGTGGAGGATCCTGCATCGCGAAGTTTGTAACCATTGGGGTTGACGTCCCAGGTTGAGTAAGGTGGCGATGAAATGCAACCAGTCTCAACAGACGACAACACAAGTTGGGTCGCAGGATGATGGCAACGATGAGATGATGCTTCAGGGTCTCGACATGTATGACGAATCGCGCAGTTTGTACGTATACAAGCATAGTCAAAGCCAAATGCAACTAAACGAGACTGGGTTGCATTGGGCATACCTGGATAAGCTAAGGTAAGGTAGTCAGGGAGCAAGAAAGCGGCCCAAGATTTTGCTTGCGCCTCGGGCTGTACCTGTGACTGAGGAGAAACATGGGCAATTGTTCACGACGATGGCTGGCTGTAGCATGAGCACTAGCTTTTGGCGTCAGGCATCCGCATCATGCTTGGCTACCTTACTTTGACCACCAACGCCGTCTGTCTCGCGTTCGCCTACATAAGTGTCTAGTGATCAAATCCGCTTGCCAATGTCACCAGGTCCACCCCGCCTAGTGACCTTGCGTCCATCATGCAAGCATTGTTGTGGGCACCTGTCCAGCTCAAGCCGCTCTTCTTGTGCATGCCTCGACCGACCCATAAGCATAATCCGATAACTGTACCAGAGACACAGCGCATGGCTCATCAGTACAACTCATGACCTAACTGACCATATGTCCCTCGACCATCCCATCTCTCGCATTTTTTTACTGCTCGAGGCGGCCGCCTTCTTCTCCCCAGAGACGATGGCCAGGGCTTTGCTGCATGCAGCAAATGCCTCTACCAGCTCTTTCATCCTGTTCCCCTTCACGAAACAGGCGGTGATATCGGAGTCTTTCTGAGCCATAACTGCTGCAAGATCCATGCATTCGAGCAAATTGTCCCTCGAAACACACGTTCCTGCAAAATGGAGCGTACTGATATACGCCAGTATAGTCTCGGGAAGATAGGTGTCACGGAGCGCCTGCAGGCATTGCCCATCGTCTTCTAGACAGAAAGTTAGCAGCTGGTATTTTAAAGAAGTAGGTCTATAGTTGCTCACCGTCAACCAAGAGCCAACCCTTGAACATCGGCTCTACATATTCCTTAGCGTTCTTGACTTCATTGCCGACCTGATTCCAGAAATCGCGCTTGGCAGTAGGATCCCTGAGACAGGTTAGTCACAAGTCTCGAAAAAGGAACATCCTGTCAGCAACACCAATACTTACTCTCGCGACAACTCTGTTAGCGAAGCAATCGTTTCCATGGTATCGAGAGCCTTAACTAGGCATTCAAGGTCACGGAAAATCCTAGCCTGGGTGGCTAGCAGCCTTGATGAAGTTTGCCTGTCGCCAATTGCTTCGAGCTGGTCGGCCCAGAAGGCATCATCGATATCCGGGACCTGTGCGATGTCCGCCTCTTCCTGTCCGCCAGGACTGATCCTTTGTTGCAAGACTTGACTCATAGTGACCCTATTTGCAAGTTGTCGGGCAGCATTCAGGCGCATAGTGCCTGTGAGAACTGTCAGTTGTTTTGGTTGCTGCGAAGGAGGGTTTGACGAACCTAAGAAGTACTTGTAAACCTGAACGCCGACGAAGAAGACATCAGGCCAAGCCTCATCAACAAGAAGAAGCCATTCCAGTGAACGGATCAATAACTCTTCTTCTTCCGAGATCGCATCGGGGTCTTCACCAAAGAAATCTATCTTGATGAGGCGACCGTATTTAAGAGAGCCAGGGCCAGCTTCGATGATTCGGAAGGGCTCTCTCCTGCTGCCAATTTTTTGTTCAACGTTGCCTAGCTGGCTCAGTATGAGCCGTGGTTGCATCCTAACGAATCGAAGTACGTCAAGACCTGATTTCTGAACAAGCTCAAGCTGGTTTAGCCGCGCGTCGCGGTCTGTGAGATGTCGGAGATTGACGCTGAGGACCTCGTAAGCCCGGGGTATCGACATTTTTGAACAATACAAGGGGATCAGCTCTTCGTATTGTGCGAGTCGAAGCAAAGTAACATAGGAGCTGATGACGGTTTCTTGTATGGCACGTGTCTGCGGTTCACGCTCGAGCGTTGGTGATAGTGAGGTTGAAACGTCAAGCTCGTCGAGGGTGGAAAGTACAATAAGAACGTGAACGGCCACACGGAGGGTATCATAATCGCGCCCATTCACGAACCCATTTGTATCAGCCTCGGTATTGGTAGGTTCAGTATCAACCTCCCCCCGTTCCCTCGCCAATACCATGCCTTGTTGGAGAAAGTGTTGACTAGTTTCTTTCGTGATCAGAGCCGCCTGTAGCACCTTGAGTGGCATCGAAGCTTCGCCGCGCGTAAGCTTGTGGACCTTTAGCGATTTGATAAGTCGCTTCTCGGCTGTAGACTCTTCACCATGATACTGGACAGCATCGAAAACGGCGAATTGTTGGTCGATGTTGGCAGACATTTCCGGTTGACATTGCTCAAGGACATAACTGTCGAACTGGCTGCGTAGAAGTGCATTGTAGTGCATGAACATGAAGTCATCCCACGACTTGCAGACTTTCTCTACGCTCTGAATGTCGCCAGCCAAAACACCATAGACGGCGGATTCGACCTCGTCAGTGCCTGCATGCCTTGCGGAAGCAAAGCACATGCGTCTCCAAAGAGCGATAGAAACGGCATCTTCCTTTTGAATAACTGCATCACCTGTGCCTGCTAAAGGAAGAGCTGACAGGGATACAGCACGCCAGGTCTCTGTACGTTCGGCACACCATTCTTGTATCTCGGCCAAGGTGCAGCCGCGTCGAAGCAGCTGGAAACAACCGACCCAAATGGCTCGCTCAAAGAACTCATCCTGTGGTTCGAGCTTACGTGACTGGCGAGTCACAGCATCTGGGTCGAGCTGTGATACCAGTGGAGCCTTGTCAGTTGTCACCAACGATTGAACAACGTTAGCGGCAAGGGGATCCAGAGGACGCGAGGCTCCGAGAAGATCTTTGTGCAGCTTGAGAGCTGTCCGCGTATGGATGCACCCGTGAGCAATGATTTGACCGCGCTCAGCGTTTTGCTGCAAGTCGCGAATCAGTTCGTCGATCGCAGGACCTGTCGTCGCCGTGTGTTGCAGCCACTCAAGAACCGTTTTTCTCTCTGCTGTTCGATCGGCCTGCGCAACGAATGAGCCCCACAGATCATCCTTTCGAGAATGGATCTCCGCATCAAGGCCTCCAGTGGCTGCCGCCGACTTGGTCTGAGGGTATCTGAGCGTAGCAAGTCGTTGTAGCAGATCCCAAGTCTGAAGCTCTGATTCCCACTTGCGAAGTTGCGAGATGGTTGCTGCAGGATCCATCTCGTCTTCTGCATCATCCACATCCATCTCGTTATCAGTGAGGTTTCCAGACCCACGATGCCGTAGTTGGTCAAGACGTTCTGATGCATGGTTGTAGAACCTTTGAACAAGCTCCAGCACCCGCTCTTTCTTCTGCTGATTTGACCCCGGACCACCGAGACAGTCATCTAAGGCATTCGCGAAATGCTCTGCCTCAAAGCCCACCTCAAGAGGACAATCACTCTCGGCCATTGTGTTGTGACCCTCTGTTTTATCCGGGGTTGCGAGTTGCATGGAGCTGTATCCTTGCACCGAAGCTGAGAGGCGCGGTAATCGATTATCTGTTCTGCGATTTGTACCATTAGTTGATATCCTAGTATAAGAGGGGCCTGTGAATAAGATGTTGGCCGGGAAAGACCCAGTTGCGTAGCTGAGGAAAGAGGAGTGTTGCAGTCGAGCAGACATGCAGCCAACGCAGGGGATGGACGGCCAGCAGAGGGAACTCGGGCTAACCTTTAGAGTTCTGGTCGATACAATCAGGGCGCTGCCAGCTTCTCCAGAGCCTGGCTTGACGTTGCAATGCGCCGATCGCAGCGTGCTGTCGATAGTCGTGCCGTGTTGCGAGTGTCGGGTCGAAAACGCTGTCCTCTGGCGTTCGGGGCCGGTAAGTGATAGTGGTGGGACACGGAAGATGTCCAGGAAGTCGTAAAGCGACGGAGGCAGAGAGCGTACGCGCACAGAGTTGGTTCCGAGTTAGGCAATGTGTGGTGAGTGGCCTGCCTGGGCTTCGTCGTTATTCGGGGATATGCGACTTGGCTGGGGTTGACGCGACTACCAAGATGGAAGAGCAAAGGTCGTGTAGGGTATCCACTCCAGTACCTCACTCGGTCTCAGGAATCCAGCACCGAATAGTGGGCGTTATGAAGACTGATGAGCCGATTGGCCTGTGCGTATGCCCCACTAACAAAAGTTTTTATAAGTACTGGCGATTGTTGCTCACACCTAACATGATTCTTTTCTCTTCTTCATACAATGTCTTTACGGCTTTCATATTAGAGTCTCGGAACAGGTATTCAATGCTTGTTCAGGTCCCTTGAGGATCTCTTGCGTGCTCATTGATGGCCCAGATCGATGGTACTCTGTACATTTCCCTCTTCTAAAAGTTGCCAGATTTTCTCAATTCTGGCGGACGCGCGGTTCAGATGTAGGGCACATGATAAATTACGACGTTGCGATGAGGCGTCGCTCGCCGCTCGTGCTTGTTATTTTCGAGCTGCCATTTGTTTCTTCTTGAGCCTCAAGAGATCGGCTTTCGGACAACTGGCCGACACTGCAGAATCTCCTTGCTCCCGATAGAAAGCTTCGCAGCACTGATACAGCGACAAAACGTGTGCCTGGCATTTGGCGTCGTTGAAGCCGTTCCTGGTAAGACAGTCTGAAGTCTCACGATCAGTCTTTGATGGTCTGCTGGTTTGCTTCCTCGTCCATCGGTGTACATACTTTGAATTTCGCACTATAACGAGCGGCGCATGGGTTATTCAGAAGGTCCAACCAAATTTAAATGGAATAGTCTCGGCTTACCGCACGCGCATGGCATGGCGGGTTGTCCCGCAGATCTGCTTGTAATGTCTGGTGTGAAAGAAAAAATGAGCCCAAGTAAACATTTACTGCGACCTAGAGACAGCAGTGGATCCTGTTCATCACTTACCATCTTCTTTTGCTTCTGTAGTTGGAAATGGCGTTCTCTTCGTTGCTCCCCAAAGTCTGTGGCAATCACAATTGTGTAAGGAAGAACGAGGGCGTAGAATCCAATCGGTCGAATGAAGATGGCTTCTTTTCCCAAATCGAACGAGGCTAGGGAGCACGTAATGACCCGGAGTCACGTCATTGCTCATCATAGGAACATGATTGCACAGGTATGTACTCAGCTGGGCGAGGCTGCTCTAGTAGATCATGAATGACAAAGGCACCTCTCATCTATATACCCGAGATGTAACTTAGCACATTATAGGGTCGCAATGAATCTCTTTTTTGACGAAGAAGAGTGCCCAGACCTGGCCACTTACCCCATGCAAGCCTTTGCAATGTCGGCAAGGAAATTATGGGTCTCGGGAGGTCTAGGTATCAGTATCCACCTATACTGTACCTGGTAGGTACATTCATCTTGTAGGTATCTTATCACGTTATCGGGGCTGCTGGGACCACTCCCTGACAGCAAGGAACCTTCCAGTCAGGTACATTATTAGATAGTTATCTGAAATACCTACCTTACTCACTCTTGCCCCGCCTCGCCAGCCGGCTTTGGTCCCTACTTCACCTTATCGCGATCATCGCCTTATAGAGAAGGCTCCCAAACCCGCATCAGAACTCCCAACAGCCACGGCATCTGCCAGCTTTCATCGCCAACGACGCGCATGATACCCTGAAGTTCGAGGCTACCTTTGATCAACTCCGTCAGTCAACTTAGCCCATCGCCACCCACCGCTTTCCCCACGATCTCTCGTCTTCCATGCTCCTAGTTCTAGGCGGACGCTCCACTTCATGATTTCCTGTAAACGCTCTGCTGACCATGTTGTGGTCTTGCAGATACAAACCCATTGCCTGATATCCTACCGAATTATAGGCCACGATGTCTGCTGAGCATGAGAACGGCAGTCCTTCGGTGCCAGCTCCAGACGCTGAAGCTGTTGAGCACCTCAACATCAAGGTGACAGACAATAACAATGAGGTTTTCTTCAAGATCAAGAAATCGACAAAACTGGAGAAGCTCATGAATGCATTCTGCGACCGACAAGGAAAAGCATTCAACACGGTTCGTTTTGTGTTTGAAGGACAACGAGTTCAACCCACAGATACACCTTCAGCAGTATGTTTCCGCATTTGCCGCTCTCATTCTCTCCAACCGAAGCATGCTGACAACCATGGCATAGCTCGAAATGGCCGATGGCGACACGCTTGAGGTGTACCAAGAACAAGTTGGTGGTTGTTGATGCGCCACCCCCATGGCGAAAATACGAACTGGCAGTTCACAGCACAGGGTCGTTAGTGGTGTTGAAGGCATGGGGTTTACTTTTAGGACCGAAGGGCATCGCATTCCTGCGAAATTCGACCAAAGATCAACTAGACACGGGAATCAAATTCTGGTCATTAACAATCTGCGAACCCAAAGCTCATCCCATTCAAGGTGCGGGTCTTACTATGCGGAACCAGGAAAATCAGTGCAGAACACGAAATGGCATTCGATATGACATCAGACAACGAAAAGCATACAACATGGACTGAGTCTTTCAACTTCTGCAGGGTCTCTGACTACCCTACCTAGACACTCTTATGCCTTAAGCTGCCTAGCCCGACAGCCAGTGCAAAGAACTAATGTCCTTTCTCCATCTACCTGGGGGAATACTTGTCCGTCGTCAAACCCCCCATTACAAACAGCACAACGGAAGCAATCATCATGCCACTCCCCGCCCAGAGCCTGTATGTACTGCCCAATGACAGCACGCCGGCACTTTTTGCATTTGGGGGCTCGTCTCTCTGTGCGCTTGGTTTGACAGTTGATGCACCAAGCATATCCGTCCTTTTCAATGTGTGTCATGCCTTGATTGAACGGGTCACCACACTCGGCGCAAAAGAAGTGACCGTAGTGCCAATGCTCCCCAAGGGCTACAATATGTTCACCTAGAATCGGTGTCTTGCAGTGTTTGCATCGGGGTGCATACAGCTCATGCCAGTCCAGATGGCAGAAGAACCGGAATCGTTCGTCTCCGTCCTCTTCTCTTGTCATGCCTGGCGTCTCTTCCAGAATTTCCCCCTCAACCCTACGCCTGATTCTGCTCAGGCGATTGGTACGATGCAACTCGGGTTCAGGACTGATTTCGAGAGCTTCCAGCCCTGTACCGCAAGAGTAGCATGTGAAACATTGGGGGTGGAACCGTTCTGGGACACCAGCAAGTGCAACGAAGCGGCCCTCGATTGGAAGACTACATTCGTGACATGAGGTGCTCGACCGATAGCCCCTTACGGGAGCTGGCGACCAGTGGCCTCTAGGCCGTGTGCCGGCTGCGTTTTTGGCCCCTCGTGCCTGCGGTGTTGGAAGAGGACGTGTCGACGATCTTATTCCATGATGGTTATCCTCGGGCGTTACGATTGATGGAATGCCTGGCATGTCGTTGGGTATTTCGCATGCACCCTGGACGATGATGGAAGGCGCCGGTGGACATCGGGATGCTTCCGAATCCATGTTATCCTGGTCTGGTATCACGATCAGGGGGATAGTAGGTGACATGTGACCTGGTTGTTCTCTCCATGGGGACAAGCTGCTGATAGCTGATCCTGGCTTCTTATCAACCGTGTCCTCTGGAGCTTTCCAGTCTGTGTCGAAGCTTACGATAGGACGTCCTGGATTGTCGCTGACGGCGGAAGGAGTGGGCAACTTGGCACTGCGGTCCTTCAACCTCATACTGGTCGCTTCTCGAATATCATTGCTTCTTCTTTCGACCCCACTATCCCTACACGTTTCTTGGTCTTCCCGAAGAATGACGTGGGGAACATTGGTCGTATACTGAGGGTTTCGTGACTGGCTAGGGGGCTCGCGATGAACGTTGATCGAGACCCTTGCCTTCTGCACACCGACTCTTTTAGCAGGCGAAGTCGCAGTGAAGTGACCTTGATTGCAGGGTTTCTCTGAGGCGGCTGTGAAGGGGGCATCTACACCCATTTGCGGGACATGGGCGTTGTTGTAAGGTAATGTACCTTCAGGTTCTTCCCAGATCTGGTCCCCGGAGAACGGATGATCAATCTCACCACTGATGTTCCTCTTGGTGCTAGTCCGGCGGCTCCCCGGTGGAAGGGGTGTTGGCTGTGCTGCTTGTTGCATACGAGGCTCGTGCACCAGAGTCTTCGTAAACGCATTATACGCTTCGTCGGCAGATGGTACATGTGAGTATCCCAAAGAGAACCGGCTTCTGCGAGAATGCGCGTTGGTGTCAATCGAGGACCTGTTGGACGAGGTCGCTTCGCCCGCCAGAGACGTCACAGGGTTACCCCCAGTTCTCCTTCCGAAGCTTGCCGTGCGAGCGTGCTGATAGCTGTTCTTCCTCATGTGGGGCTTGTAGCGGTATGGCGCATTGGGTTGAGGTTCGACTCCATGACGATGTTGCCACACTAGCTCTGAGGCTTCTTCCTGTGCTGCATCGTACAGTTTCCGCTCGTCGCTGTCATCATGTGTGCTCTGACTGTCGGCAAGCTTCATGTCATCCATTGCATGGCGGAGAGAGCCTGCTTCTTCTTTCTCCATCCACCTCTGACCTCTTTCTATGTACTTGACACTAGGCAACAGATCGGAAGGTCCGTTGAGTGATTTGGGCTGAGTAGGCTGATAATCGCGGGCTTTCGTGCTTGCCTTCAAGAGACAGGACGGCACACTGGTGGAAGTATTACATCTGGTGTTGGGAGTCGCCCCGGCACTACTCAGTGATTCTGGCACGCTTGCGGGCGAATTTCCTATGGTAATGGCATCATCCTTGCTGGTGGATCGCTCTTCACGGCTTCGAACGCTCGTGGGCGGCAAGGGCCTTGCGCCGCCCGGGCGAGCAATCCGATTGTTTCGAAGGTCGGCAAGATAGGCAGCTGCATGTGTCCCTTGCTGTCAGATCAATCGTTCGTGTTGATGGACCGCAACCAATGTGTACACTTAGCTCTTACCAAATTGCCCATTGTCCATGTACGTCGGCGATGGCGGGGTGACCTTTCGGGTCTTTTCGGTGGATTTCTTGTGGTTCATTCTCACGAAAGGATGGATCAGGGCCGTTCGCCGCCAGTTCGCGAATATATGTAAAGTCGGCAAAGTTAAGGATTTATGACGGCTTCTTGGCCAACAGTGCAGATTTGTCTGTTTGGTGTATGTCTTGTCTGAAGGGTGTTTTGTGGCCTCAATTACAATCTTGCCATGACTGGTTTGAGTTGAGTTGGGCTGGTCCTCGACACGGTCGTCACAGCAACGGCGCCAACTCAACAATGCAGTTACGCGACATCGCCGCACAGACGCGTCTACCTAGGTACCTACTCAGGTGTGGCGGGCCAAGAACAAAGACACCACCAGTGTCAGGCACCCAGTCACATTTGACCTTGCCCATAGAAATAAGAACCTAAGCAGCCTACAGCCTGTCACGCTCGACTCAACTGGAGTAGATCACATACGGATTAGATATTAAGTTCCTATTATAATCAAGCTCGGTTGCACACCTACAAACCAAACCCGTTCGTAGGGCAGCATGCGCCGAGGGCTTGCAGCAAAGCCGGCTACCTTAGCCAAAGCATTCTCTTACCATCGCAATTCCCCCTTAGTTCCTTCACCATCCTGTGATTGTTGCCCACTCGTCCGCTTGGTTTCATGAGAATCGTTCCCGAATCCCAAGTTTTTGAAGTCGTCTCGGGCCATCAAGTTCCTTGAGGCAATGTCAGTCAGCGAGCGCGAAGTTCGCTCTGCAAGCGTAACCCACCGGTCCATCCGGCAGGTCAAATAAGACTTAGCCAGATCTCGACACGCGGCATCATTGACGCCAGAAACTTTCTTCATACAAGACAAGTATGAAGCCATGACATGTTTACACTCTCCTGTTGGCAGATGACACGCCCAGGGGGTTAGCAAAGCTTGTCATGGATTTGGCAGGCGGACGGGAGAAGGATACCATCGTGGTCGAGGGGGAAGCTACCCCGCTGCGGACTGTAAGATGAACATTAGATGTCTAAAATTCAAAAATCCATCCCAGTGAGTCAGGAGATTGCTCACGGCGTGGGCTTGGAATATGCCGGTCCTCCGCCCGGACTGCCGAAGGAACTCATCGGATGTTGGTGATAAGTGATGTAACGTGCGATGTTACAGGCTTCTGGAACTATGAGGGCCTGAAGGCTACTTATGCACGTGAGTTACAGTAAAGCTATACTGCGAAGCGTTTCTGTCCCTTGTCGTCGCTGTCGTCCACAATGGAGTATTAATAAACCTGGAATGCGATGAACGAGCCTGGAGGTGTGTGCAGCAAGATGACCCACGAGGCAAACTCGATATCAGACTATAGCCCTCCCACGAATACGCTGGGTACAGGCTGCTGTACTCGACTACTGATAAGAAGATACCAGTGCTCGTTCGCAAAACACACCATTCTACTGCAGTAAACACTTTGAGTCCGGCCTGATCTGTTCGGCCGACCGTCACTTGAATAAAGTGGCGTTCTATCGACGAGTTTGAGCTATATACGTATTGTTATTGAGATATCATCAAGAACGTGTGTGTCGTAACCAGCCATAATGCCCTTGAGCGTCTCGCCCCACTATTGCAATACGCATGTTATCCTTATCTACAGACAATCAATCATAAGGCGGCTAGTCGGGACCAGGCTTAGGACCGTGCTAACTGCCCAGAGGTCCAAGGTCTTCAAGGGAGTTGGTGGATCGCGCATGAAATCTCCAAATTGATCTATCAAGAAGGACCTTGCCTCCGTACGCCGAGCATAACGCAGGTCGCAGGCACGCTTGACATTGCTAGCCGTCTGTCAGTTTTGCCCATCAATCGCTCAGCCAAATCCCATACACTCTCCAGAACGCGGCGTCGCTACTAGCTACTAGCGACTGCACTCTAGACATTGTCGCGTCTCACGGTCCAACCCCAGTTTCGAACTCGACCAACAACCTTCCGACGGCATCAGCCTTCCTTGCGTTCAAGCTTCCAGCTGCGCCGAACCATTCCAACCTATCGCTGCAGACTCTTTACTTTTCGCAACAAGATACGACAGTCAAGCTATAGTCATCATGGCCTCTCTTGGGGATGACCTTTTGGGCACCGTCAACAAGCTGCAAGACTTGGTCTTCAACACCATTGGCAGCGACTCCCTTGACCTTCCGCAAATTGTGGGTGATCCTTTGGTATAACCTGATCATAACCTCTTAAATCTGACTCGTCATAGGTTGTGGTTGGGTCGCAATCCGCAGGAAAATCATCTGTTCTAGAAAACATCGTGGGACGTGATTTCCTACCCCGTGGGAGTGGCATCGTTACGAGGCGGCCCCTTATCTTGCAGCTCATTAACGTTCCTGAGGACGAGAGCACCACCGAGCCAGCAAACGACCCCTACAGGTCCCCATCTCAAGCTCGGCGATCTGAATGGGCCGAGTTCCACCACATTCCTAATCGCAGGTTCAACGACTTCGGCGACGTTAAACGGGAGATCGAGAATGAAACCTCGAGAGTGGCTGGCAGCAATAAGGGTATCAATCGACAACCGATAAACCTAAAAATCTACTCTCCACACGTCCTGAACCTGACGCTCGTGGATCTCCCCGGTTTAACCAAGGTATGTGCTCGCATCCATGATGGACACTGTGAAAATTGTGTGCTAACACTAATCTCCCAGGTACCCATAGGCGATCAACCGACCGATATAGAGAAGCAGACTCGCAATTTGATTTCGGAATACATTGCCAAGCCTAACAGTATCGTCCTCGCTGTCTCTCCTGCCAATGTGGACATCGTCAACTCGGAAGCTCTAAAGCTAGCGAGACACGTTGACCCGCTCGGCAGGCGGACTATTGGCGTGCTCACTAAGGTCGATTTGATGGATCATGGAACGAACGCTTTGGACATCCTCTCGGGACGTGTGTATCCATTGAAACTTGGCTTCATTGGCGTTGTCAACCGCTCGCAACAGGACATCCAGGGTAGCAAGCCAATGGAGGAGGCGCTGAAGGACGAGGCCGACTTCTTCAAGCACCACCCTGCTTATCGCAATATTGCTACCCGCTGCGGCACGCAGTACTTGTCCAAGACGTTGAACACGACCCTTATGGCGCATATTCGAGAGCGCATGCCGGACATTAAGGCACGCCTCAACACCCTCATGGGGCAAACCCAACAGGAACTGGCCAGCTACGGCGATATGCACTTCAGTGGCAAGGAACATCGCGGGTCTCTCATCTTACAGCTCATGACCCGCTTTGCCACTTCTTTCATCTCTTCAATCGACGGCACTTCGACCGAGATCTCGACTAAGGAGCTATGTGGCGGTGCTCGCATCTATTACATTTTCAACTCGGTGTTCGGTAGCTCCCTCGAGTCTATCGATCCAACATCTAACCTTTCCGCCCTTGATATCCGCACGGCTATCCGCAACTCAACTGGTCCCCGCCCAAGTCTGTTCGTCCCGGAGATGGCGTTCGACCTTCTCGTCAAACCTCAAATCAAACTCCTCGAGATTCCTAGTCAGCGCTGTGTTGAACTTGTCTATGAAGAGCTCATCAAAATTTGCCACACCTGTGGCTCAACAGAACTCTCGCGGTTCCCAAGGCTGCAGGCCAAACTAATTGAAGTTGTTTCCGATCTACTCCGGGAAAGACTGGGCCCGGCATCATCCTATGTTGAGTCATTGATCTCCATTCAGCGCGCTTACATCAATACCAACCATCCAAACTTTCTGGGTGCCGCAGCTGCGATGAGTCATGTTGTTAGCAATAAACAGGAGAGGGAACGCAAGCGTCTCATACAAGAAGAGAAAGACAGAAGAGAAAGGCGGCGTCTTAAGGAGCTTGGGGCGAATGGTGCCGACACCCCCGCTGAGGATGACGAAGACTCGGCCGTTGTCGAAAAGGGTGACTCGGCACCGGCTCGCCGACAGGCCGTCAAAGGAGCCCGAAGCTTGTCTCCAGGTCTCAGAGAGCATGGTGCTGTTTCGCTCAACGCAGCTGTGAACGGTGTTCGGTCAATCTCCCCTTCGAGGCTGAACAACCAACAAGGGCTCGGCGGCGCGCGAGACTCATTCCTAAACTACTTCTTCGGCAAAGACGGCGCTTCACCGATGCCTATGGGCTCTGGTGGTGCTCATGGAAGAGACCTTTCCATTGCGAGGCACGTTAGTCAAAGTTTGGAGCCTACCTTCTCGCAGAGCATTCGCCGAAATGACGATACGCTGTCGAGCCGGTCTGCTCTTCAACCACAGGCACGCGAAGATGACTCTCGTGATTTGGGCGCGCATTTCGTAAGTTTTTTTCTTGAATATGAATATGTCACAAGCACTGACTCTTCTCTTGTTAGGGAGCTGGTGGTGAACCAGCTTTGACTGATCGTGAGGCCATGGAGACTGAGCTTATCAGAGCTCTTATTTCATCTTACTTCAACATTGTTAGGGAGTCCATTGCCGACCAGGTGCCAAAAGCCGTCATGCACCTGCTGGTAAACCACAGCAAAGATGTAGTCCAAAATCGCCTTGTGAGCGAGCTCTACAAGGAGACGTTGTTTGAAGAGTTGCTTTACGAGGATGATGGGGTCAAGAAGGAGCGCGAGAAATGTGAGAAGCTTCTCCAAACCTACCGCGAGGCCTCGAAAATCATAGGAGAGGTGCTTTAGTTGTCTCAAGACACGGCATGGACATACGGAAGCACGTCTTTGTAAAATCAGGGGGAAGCTTATCGAGGTGGCAGTCTCCTTGCCTTGAACCACGGAGAAGCTGGAAAGATAGAGCTGTTAACCTATTGTACTCCTATTCAGCTTTTGGCTGTCAGCAACGTTCACTTCTCCATATGTATTTGAATCCTGTAATGATGGCAACATGTGATCAACTAAGCCGGGTGCAGTGTAGTGTGCCTTTGTGGTGTTGCTCATCGCCAATCAGACATGTCGGGGATGCTGAGTATGCTCCAGCAAAAGCTACTGCTGAACGGACCTTGCCACATACCCTCGTTCTATCCTGGTTTGGACAATGTTCAGGGACATGTGTCAGAGGACCAGTCATAATTGAGGAGTATCCTCGTTGATAATATTTGACCTGTGGCACCAAACTCGCACACGGAGTGGGATGCAAGTATATGCAATGCCTTGGCTTTATATATAGTTATTTCCACGTTCCTTGAGATCATCTACACACAAACGTGGTAATTTGTCCTGCGCGGATTCTGTCGCTATCATTCAGCATCCATGTTTACCAAGTCAAGCATGGTATTATCTACTGCCAGTGTTCCAGTCAGTAGCGTGTATCTGGCGTAGTATCACTATTCTAGTCCTTCGAGTAACATGACTGCGTTTTGTATTCGTAATCCCTGTGGACAAACGAATCCATACATCTTATCGGTGCATTTATGCCTTGGGTTTCCAACTGTGAGCAGATGGTATAGTAGTCAGGGTTGGGGCACCTTTAGTGTACTGTGATCACCAGAACTCGTGAAGCGAGAGAATGAATAGCAGCAAAGCGTGCTCGAATGGCCTGTACTAAGTTTTTTGTATTCGCAGGACAACGGAAACTGAAGGCTTGTTGGCTTGTCGAAGCGGCAGTACAGGTCGCAAGATGCTCATGGCCGCTGCCGGAGTCCGGTTATAGGATAGATGAAAGACCCATGTCAGCGCCGAGCATCAGGCGGTGAATGGCAAGGGCTCGAGGCGTGTATAATAGCGGTTGATCAAAGGACATGGACTTAATTTCGAACCTTTTACAGTCCCTCATGGAGGGTACAGAGTCACTCGGCTCGTGTCGCTGGAGATGCATATGCTCAAAGATAACGAAGCCCAAGGGCGCGCGTAAGTGGATTTACAACGCAAACGCCGGCCCTTTTAGTCAAGTACTTGCTATTCCAAACGCTGGTTGCGCCGTCTTAGCCAACTAGCCAACCAATTTTTGCTCATGGTCATAACATGCAAAAATGCTACATTACTGTGACGTAGCATCCGATAGGAAGGGTCACTTTGTAAGCATACTGGATGCATTTTGCTTTCCTATTGCACCTAGATGAATGACAGATGGATTCAAGTCCGTGGCATTTATCTTTCGAATCGCAATCTTAGAAACCCGGTAAGAAGGACCTGTCTTTGACCGCGACAGTAAAGCAGTCGTCGGCATTCAGCTTGAGCCTGAGCTCGTGAACATGATCAAAGCCAATAGCAACCACATACGATGCCGACACTTCCGCTGAGGTTGATCATATGCCCGAACGCCACCAAAATCGAGGCGGACAGGCATTACGGACATCGGGCCATGCATGAACTGAAATCCAAACAGCCGCTACCTACATAGGCATGCTACTGGTCCCCTGACTGAGCCGCGGTTTCTAGACGTGGTCGGGTTCTTATTGCGCCTGGCTGTTGCAGTCGAAGTCTAGACGACGAAGAGCTGGACGAAGAGCGGCGTCTGTGACGTCGTTGTCTCGAATGACTTCTTGAGCGGGAAGAGGATAGAGAGCGTGATCGATCACGACGGTGTCTTGGTCGCCCCTTGCCGCTGTTGGGAGAGAGATCTCGGCGATGATGAGAACAACTTCTGGATCGGGCACGACCGTCACGGCTTTGACTTGAAGGGCGTCTGGGATTGCGGCTGCGGCTGCGAGACCGGGATGCTGCAGGCGATGAGGGTGTGTGCGAACGGCGTGACCGACGGCCTCGCTCCTCAGGCGACTCACTACGAGTCAAAGAACGCCTGCGTCTCTTGGTAGGAGGCGCCCGCGACCGGCTTCTAGAAGCAGATCGTGACCGACAATCTTCCTCATCGCGAGCAAAGATTGGCTTGCTTTGTCTTGTAGAAGACCTTGAACGTTTTCGAGGCTTGGCCTGTCTGGACGGAGAACCAGATCTGAGCCGGGGACCGGGACTAGGAGAACGTTGACCTCGGTGTCTTGGGCCATCTTGACTTGGAGTGCGACGTTCTCGGGGCGATGAACCTTCAGCAGACGGTGATCGCGTACTTCTGCGACGACGACCTGCGGCGCCGCCTCGGAGGCCAGTGCCACGATGGCTATTTGGGACATAACTGTCTCTCTGATATCCTCGGTTTTCAGCTCGATGACCTCGATGCTCGCGGCTCCACCCCGGTGATCGGGATCTGTTCACTCCACGGTCATAGTTCGCTCGTCCGCGGTCGTCGAAAGCACGATCGCCACGTCGGCCACGCCACGTATCACCTCCTCGCCCTCGTCCCCAGTCGCGGCGTTCTCTTGGGTCTCCTCCTTGGGATTGTCGCCGATCTGCATCTTCGCGACGGCGACGGGACTCCTCGGCAACTCTGTCTGCTTCAATCTGCGGTCAAGGTTATCAGCCAGGGTCGGACATATCATTGAGCCGTCGGACAAACCTTCTCCTGGATGAGTTCAAGCTTTTTGGCTTCGAGCAGCTCCTTGGGCACACCCTGGGGACTGGCCTGAGCACTAAGGAAGAGCTTCCAGAGCTCTTTGCAGAAAGGCGCGGTTTCCTTTTCGAGGAATCCCGTCAATTGGATTTGGAGACCTTTGATGTCCGGCTATGTCTAAGCTTAGTAGGGCGAAGAATATATTGCGGTTGAAGGGATACTCACGAATCGGGAACCCTCTATCAACCCAAAGCAGAGCTCAATCACGACATCATCTTCGCCTCCAAGGATCTCGGAGATTTTGCTGGCTATCCACCTATTGAGTATGTGATCAGCAGCAGCGACCGGGAAGGCAACACGTTGTAGCCGTAAAGATTTGATGTCTGGTTTCCATACTTCTTGATGACCTGCAAGTTGACCTTTTGCATGTCCACCTTCTGATTGAATTCTGGCGGAAACTTCGTAGACTTCAAGAGCCTTGCGTCTACTCCTGTCGCCATTTCCACGGTGGTTGGGCTACCACTGGTGCTCGTGGAAAGGATTCGTACAGGCAGGCGTTTGGGTGCAGTTCGTGCGTTTCTAGATAGATTGGCCTCTGACGTCGAATACGTGAACGCGACTGGGACTAAAAGGAATTCATGCACGGACGTGGGGTGTGGCGCCGAGCTACACAGGTACCTGGGGCGAGGTTTCTACTTACCTTGCTTTCCCTGTACGGTATAGTACGGTACCTTAGGTAATCGTACTTATGTAGATAGGCATTGGGGTGATTGGGGCTGTAAGTGCATTCCCTTGAAGACTACAAGTACATAGGATCCCTACCAACAGCACCTGCCCCGAGCTGCTTGCCGTAGTCCGTTCCACGACTATCCCCAACCCTCCGACAAAGTCGCTGGTTCTACCTTTCTGACTCGGTGTATCATTCATAGCATAGCTACGAGAGAGGTATCAGCATACCTAGGGTAATGGGATTACCTCTCAGGATGGATAATCTGCACGCACCGACCGTCCCCTCAGGCCCAGCCAGCTTCCTTACTTCCAAGGAGGATTACACCAAGTTGACGTATCTCGAATTGCAAGCGCAGAAAATTCAGATGGAGACGGAAATGCAAGCTTTAAGTGCCATTCTTGATTCAGTTCGTCCCTGCAACACCAAATCATGTGGTGCATTAGCTGGAGCACTGACTTGGCCAACAGCACGGGTCGAACATGACCACTCCGTTGACCACCAGAGATGGATTTCCAAGGGCAGATATTGATGTTGCCCAAGGTACGTGGTCCTATATTCAGTTGTGATCACAATATTCAGCTTTCACTGTATAGTGCGCACAACTCGCGCCCGCATCATCCACCTCCGCAACGACTATAAAGATCTCATGGCAGTTGTGACGCGCCATCTAGACGAGTACTTCGCACGCCCAGGCTCAGAGGACGACGCTGCACAGGATGTTCCGACAACTGCCCCGAGAGCGACAGCGCACACGACTGACCGTCCGTTTGCGCGAGTCAATTCTGTGACTGGAGGCAGTCCAGCTGAACAGGCAGGACTCAAAATAGGAGATGAGATAGTGAATTTTGGGCATGTGAACCGTAGTAACCACGACAGCCTAAAGAAGGTTGGCGAGTGTGTGCAGGCAAATGAGCAGGCAAGCCCCCCTCCCCCGGAAACATTCGCCATTCAATGGTCGAGAGCTTATGACTGACGTGCTGGCCTCAGAGAAATGTGGCAGTTCAGATCATACGTAGCAGACAGGGCGACATGCAAGAGGTCCGCACACTTAATCTCGTCCCAAACCGAGATTGGGGTGGCAGGGGGCTTCTTGGCTGTCATATCCTGCCTCTTTGAGCCAGGCCAAACTTCAGTCATAGCCATGCGAGCGACCAAAGAAGTTATTCTGCACGACTCAAGTATGTAGGAACAGGGCTTTCATCACTGATACTCGTGATACGTGGGCATGTATGTTTCGTGGGCAAGAAGGGTATTTCCTGGCACCCACCAGCAACCCACCAGTTCCAGCATATACACGTTGCGGACTGTATGATCCTGCCACTCATATAGGCTCATGCGTATTGGGTTAAAGTGACACGCTGTCGCTGCTTATCTGGGAGACTCGTTGCATTGTGAGGCAGCCAGACATGTGGCGGACAGTGGTCCTTAGGCAGTCGGCTAGGCAGTAATGTACCTAAAGCATTGAGCCAACCAGCCGGGAAGCAAGTGCTCTGTGCTCTGCGATGGGCAGGCTGGACATCCCCGAAAGAGCCCATTACATAAGCAGCACATCAACGATATGACCCAACGGCCGCTCGTTGGTCCAGCCCGATGACTGAATTTTTCGCTTAGGCTTCCCTGCTCTCGCGAAGGTACCTGATCTTGCTCCCCCGCCATTCCGCCCCAACCCCAAAACACCTTCACAAAAAGCTCAGCGGCGACACCCTTCGACGACCGACATCACAACTCTTACCCATCCACGATTCCAGCGGTCGCTTTCTGGTACGTTCTCACTGCCCCTGTAGCTCGATCTCCACCTTGCATGCCTTCAGCCGGCTCTGGAGGTCTGTCTTTCTCCTGGCGCAATCTAACCACCTGTTTTGCTCTAGCCCCGCTTGTTTACCGTTTACTACCTCAACAATCGCATCGCTTGACCGCGCATTCGCAACCATGGCTGCCGAGCAATCGCAGACCCCGACCTTCAAGCTCGTCCTTGTTGGCGACGGTGGCACCGGAAAGGTATGTTATCGGGCCCTCAAACCTCTTTACCCCGCCTCGGTTGTTCAGTGGCAAACGTCACTGGCACTGTCGTGCCTCTTCTGTTTTGAATCTGGACCTATATTGACATGGCTTCTTTTACAGACTACCTTTGTCAAGCGTCACTTGACTGGCGAGTTCGAGAAGAAGTACATGGCCACCCTCGGTGTCGAAGTCCACCCTCTTGGCTTCTCGACCGTACGAGCCCCTCCATCCCTCCTGCCCTATACGGGTGACTGATCTTAGATGTAGAACTTCGGCAACATCCAGTTCGATGTCTGGGATACCGCTGGCCAGGAGAAGTTCGGCGGACTTCGTGACGGCTATTACATCAACGGCCAGTGCGGCATCATCATGTTCGACGTCACCTCTCGCATCACCTACAAGAACGTGCCCAACTGGCACCGTGAGTTGCTGTCTATGCTCCTCTTCCTCGACAACGGCTGACATTGAATTCTCTGCAGGCGACCTTGTCCGTGTCTGCGAGAACATTCCCATTGTTCTCTGCGGTAACAAGGTTGATGTCAAGGAGCGCAAGGTCAAGGCCAAGACCATTACTTTCCACCGCAAGAAGAACCTCCAGTACTACGACATCTCGGCTAAGTCCAACTACAACTTTGAAAAGCCCTTCCTCTGGCTCGCCCGCAAGCTCGTCGGCAACCCCGCCCTCGTACGTGAAATTCCTAACACCCGGCCGCGCCCAGGTGCTGTGTGGCATGAATCATGTTGACTGACCTCACTAGGACTTTGTGGCTGCCCCTGCGCTTGCCCCTCCTACGGCCCAGGTTGATGAGAAGCTCCTGGCCGAGTACAAGAAGGAGATGGACGAGGCTGCGGCCATGCCCCTCCCTGGCGAGCAATCTGACGACGATTTGTAAGGAACGAACATGTGTTTGGGTGCGACACTCGGCTCGTCACGAACATGTGGAGCGAGGAAGTCTGCATCGGCCGAGAATCTGAACAAGATTCAATGACGGCACTCGGTAGCTGGGCAGTAGGCTGCCGCATGCCAGAGGAGTGAACGGAGGACACCTGTTCGGTGGACGGGCGGACCCTTTAGAAACGAACCGTGATGATGACATGCGTGCGCGAGTACCAGTGGACTCGTGCTAGCTCTAGCTAGATAGGTTTAGCGAATTCACCAGAGCTTTATGCTCATCCACTGTCTTTCCACCCTACTGGCAAAGGGTGGGTGCATTTGTGCATAATAACATGGGAGTGGGCAAGAGTCAAGACGAATCAGCGCCAATCAAATAGTGAAGAACGGAGTTGACTAGCCACGCACAGCGCTGATGAATGATGGCGACGACAGTCTGCGGTCAAGGAATCTCCTGACAAAGAGTCGAAACGCGACGATTGTAGGAGGGGGTTGGTAATCCTTACTGAAGAGCAAAAGCGTGACGGTGGGTCCGTCGTAGCCGTGGAGACCCAATGCGAAGTATTGACACAATTTCCTCATGCGGTGGACTGCGCGTCACACGATTGGCTAGGACTCCAAACGCGGGAGCGTGATGCAGTTGCAGGGGGACACGCTGCAGACGGGATTGACGCGGGGCGCACGACCCGCACATGGCACCTCTCGAGGTACAAGATGCTCTTGTTCATCCTGTCCGACATTGTCATCGCCTCTCCGAATGTGCCAGGCAACTTAGATGCTCTCCTCTGCTCACTTTTCGTCCCAAATACTCAATATTACCGGTCCAGAAATCTGTCCTACCGATAGCCTCTCCTCGATTGCTTCGTCACGAGACACTCGCGGCTGACGACGCGGGCAATACTTAAAGTGTCTTTTCATGCCGCCGCCATACGACGCGACGCGCGCTGGTGCTTTCCCGCCCCGGTCAGCCAACATCGACATCATGACGCCGATGGAACAATCACCATCCTCCTCCCCTTCAGCTTCCGACCGAGTCTCTCCCGATAACTCCCAGAGCGAGATCCCACCAGCAACACCTCAGGCCCAGGTTCAAGTCGAAGCCCCACTCGACGCGGCGATCAGCGCCACAGATGAGAAGCACCCCAAGGGCAAGAGGAAGAGGACCGCGTATGTGTAACCATGGTGCTCTACACTATGGGATACCTCCCTTGCTATTCATCCAGTGCGACTGACTTCGATTGAATCATAGTGCAAAAGACAAAACCATCCTTGAAGAGGCTTACCAGACCAACCCAAAGCCTGATAAGACGGCGCGCCACGACATTGTGCAACGCGTATCACTTACCGAGAAAGAGGTTCAAATTTGGTTTCAGAATCGACGTCAAAATGACCGCCGGAAATCGCGCCCACTTTCGCCCCAGGAAATCGCTGCCTTGCGTTATGGTGGCATGCAGGTTCTATCGTCTGATCCTGTGACGTCGAGTTCCTTGGTGGAAGCAGAGACTGCGCAGGGCAACGATTCTTTTTCAACACCTAGCCGCCCAATCGACTCGGGCCCAACTTCGAGCCAGAACCGATCATTTATTCAAAATTTTGTGGACAAGGTGAAGGAATCTTCGACCGATTCTGTGTCCCGCGGGGATGGCATTACTGCCCGATCGTCCAGTCCATACACCGATGCAGAGGCGCAGCGGGACTCACAGGACTTACAAACGATTTCCACACCTTTACCAGCAACCATGGGATATTTGGCGAACCGTTGGAACTTATCCAATTCCTTCCCCTCAAAGTCGCGCTCTAACCAGGTCGCGGAGACGCCGAGGTATGTATAATTATTTGAGCATTTGTTAGACGTTCAACAACATCGCCATGCTGATCAACACCTCCGTCTCAGACAAGCTCCGTTTAGATTTTCCTCGCCTCCGTCAACAATATCCAAAACGCCTGCTCTGCCAACACCCCAGTCGCAGTCGCACGTGCGCATCTCGTTGTCCCTCGAGGGCAAAGCTGAGTTGGTCGCTAATGACGAGTCCCTGCCTCAATCGTCTCCCATATCTTCACTTCCGACGTCTCTTCCCCGTCTTTTGCAAGGGAGGCCACGTTCACTGCACCGAAGCCAAAGTGCAGCCGCACAAGTTACTCTGCCTCCTATCTCCGCCCTGACGCAGAGTATATCCGTGAATCTCGGCCGCGGGCGATCCAGAGATGCTCAAGTCTGGGAGCTTTGCTGTGACTCGGATCAGCGCGATGAACTGACGACACAAGCTGAAAATGAGTCGAGCGGGTCCGCCGTTGCTGCCATAAACCTCCTTCGCTCTACCAGCGGGATGCTTCAGCCCAACAGCGCGAAACGTAACGCCCCGCCTCTAAAGAATCACTCAGGAATTTCAAACAAGAAGCCTCGACTGAGCCGGGCATTTTCGGGCAGCGCCGTAGCCAGCAGCATCTCTGCACACGACGATCACGGCCAGAAATCGGGGATGGAAAGCAAAGGTCCCAAAATGTCGTTGTTCATCTCTTCTGCGAGTGGTCATGATTCAGACAAAGAAAATTGGAGCCCCGACGGTGATGGTGTACCGCCCACACTTCCGAGGGAGCTCCCTACCCCGACACCCTTGTCACCTTGCCAGACACGTAAAGCACTGCCTCTTGAAGCGCCTCACCTTGCTCACTCACGACGCCAAGTACGAGGTCTTCGAGAGCAGACATCACCGAGGATGCTCGGAAACAGCCGAGCCAACACGGCACCTCTATTTCGCAGACGAAAAGAATCGAGTAAAGACCTGGAGGTGTTCGAGGACCACGAAGGTCTCCCCATGCTCCGGCCAGACCGGGAGGTGGAGACATTTATGCGCGGAGAGGTTAGCCCTGGCAAGAAGGGTGATATGGACTGTATTGCCGGACTGTTGTCCCTGAGCCAGGGAAACTGGAGATGACATCTTTTCCAAGTACCCGCTTTCATGATTTTGTATTCACGCTACGACGAGCGAATGAGGGCGCAATCGCCGAAGGTGGTCATGGTGAAAAGCCAGTTCGATACATCATGAGTATAAGTATGGCGACAGGCTTTTGTCATGTCCTGGGTATCCATCTATCTAGTTATCTATGTCATCCTGTACCGACGCTGAACTTGTAGGCTGCAGCAACTATTCCCGGGACAGAGGTTCAGCCGCGTGAAGTTAGAGACGAGGGGGAAGTGTATGCCCAGACGTGGTCTGGTATAGGACCTGTCTCCGTCAGCCACTTAAGCACTCAGATATCCGATCGGAGACCTGCGTCTGAAGGAGCAGTAAAGCGTTGTAACAGATGCGATCGAAGGTGGGACATCACAGCTTCCTCGATGAACTTTCTTCCCACAGTGAGCTTCTATTGATTGAAACTATCCCCGTCCTCTCATGTCCGCTTTATCTATGTCAAGTACAGATCTTGGCTGAGCTTCAGCGGTGACGGCTTGCCACTGTTTGCTTGGCAACTATTAAGGGATTCTGTCTATGCCTTTAACGTAATGCACTGCCTGAGCAACTCCTTCTGACAGTGTTCTCAATTGTTCGAAAAGGAAAAGGGGCCACCATTTGGCCGCAAATGGGTATATATCACATGCCTAGCAGGCTCATCTGTCGTCTCAGCGGGCTTGTGCTGATGCTGCCGTCCTCGCTGGCATAACAGGCCGAGTCCGTATCAATGTCCCATTCGGGCTCGGCTTCATCCTTGATCTCTTCATTCGGCGTGCCTGTTCCCGTAGCGTCGCCCGAATCGAAGCCCTTTTGCGTAGCGGCTCGGGTGTTCCAGCGTAGCGTGCGGGATACGCTGTCGAACCACTCGGTCTGACTGCGGACGACCGTCGGCAGGGGGTACTGCGAGGCCGTGATTGTGACATAGTCACCTTGCTTCAGCTCTACACGGCCCTTGCCGTCGAAGGCACAGTAAGCTGTGGCGCGGGAGTTTCGGGGCACAGAGACCCGTAGGGCCATGGTGTCGGAAAGAACCATTGGGCGGAAAGACAGGGTGTGAGGGCAGATGGGGGTGAGCAGGATAGCGGGGATATCGGGATGCACGAGAGAGCCTCCTGCGGAGAGGGAATAGGCAGTGGAACCAGTCGGCGTCGAAAAGATGCAGCCATCAGCCTGCACGACAGTGAGGAGTTCGTCATCGCCATAGAGCTCGAGGTTGGAGACGTAGGGTGATGGGCCGCGGTCGATCACAAGCTCGTTGAGGACCTCGAATTGCTCGCCCTCCTGAGGACCCTGCCCATTGACGCCGCTGCGATACACAGTACATGTGAAACGCATACGCAAGTTAACACGCATGCCCTCATCTCCCATGATGCGGCCCAGGTGCTGCGTATACTTCTCGAACTCGAAATTCGTCAGGAAGCCTAGGCTGCCTAGGCTGAAGGAGAGAACGGGGGGGACAATGCGCTGGAACAGCCACGACGTGAAAAGCACGGTGCCGTCGCCGCCGAGGGTGAGGACGAGGTCAAACTTCTCCGGTTGCGTCCAGCAGAGGTCCGGGGTCCAGTACTTCAACATGTGCTGGAACCGGGCATTCTCGCCAGTGATACTGCGGGAGTCGAATCGTTTCGAATTACGCAGTTTGGCATCGACGTAGACGTTCACACCAATATCCGAACCGTAACGCGGGGTACGCAGGAGCCATAAAGCGAGTTCGCGGGTCAGGTAGACTAGCTGGTTGTCGCGGGCTTTGGTGACAATCATGACATTACGGACGTGGCGCTTGATTGGACGGCGCTGAAGCTGCTTGGCAACTTCGCGGACACCAGTGGCTGTCTGAACGAGTCGAGAGTGCGACATGGAGTCATCATTCTTGATCTCCTCAAGCACCTTGTCGATATCGACGGCATCGTTGAAGCGGTTGTGGTAGAAGCATGGTGACTGCAATGTCGGTAGGGCGGTGGTGGGCGTCATGGCTTGATTGGCAAGGTCGTTGAGGGCGTCGGCAAGCTGTTGCGAGGAGCAGTTCTTATCGGGGCGGCTATCGTGAGTGTCATGAGCGGAGAGCATGCCGGTGAGTGAGAGGGCCTCGGGTTTGTTGTGACGGGAGACAGATGAGGCCAGAGCTTTCATGATGGTCTGGCGCGGGACCTCGTGAGAAGGGGCGTTGCGGCGGTGGCCCTGGGGTGAGTGAGTTGTTTCGTGAACACGGGCAAGCTGGGTGGCATGCGGCGTATCCTCTTGGTCGTGCACCTGTGTCTCCGAGTCGGACAGCAGGGACTGGCGTAGCGGAGAGTGGGGTTTGGTATTATCGCTGAGGGCGGGGTGGAGGGCGGTGGGTGAAGTGACGAGGCCGGACATGACTGCGGTTTCTCCGACGGACCGAAAATGGTGGCAGGCGTGGTGGTACTGACCGCTGGGGTTATTTTAGGAGGTCGTGTCGAGCCGAGGTGGGTGTTGCGTTAAGTCCGTCCGGGAGGGTCGGGTAGGTCGACGCCGTCGAAGGTTCCGTTCCACTACTAATCAAGAGGGAATGAATGATGTAACAGGGAATAAAAGGCCCGGGGATGCGGGATGCTGTTGACTACAAGCAAGCTAAGTGAAAGCAACCTGGATAGTTGTTGATGATAGGCAGAAGTGAAAGAAAGACAAAACGCTCGAGGGTTTGGTGAGACACAGCAAAAGTCTGACCTGCAAGCAGATGACGAAATGAAAGACGGGTAGGTGTAGGAAGCGAAAAAACGAAAAGGCCAGAACTACCAGAGTTCTCAAACTGTAAATGAAGGGAGAAAGAAGGTGCCTCGGACTCGGTGCAAAGATGAGTGAGTGCAACCAGGCAGCCTGGATAGTTTAAGCGGTGCGTGGGCATCAGGTATGTTTTAAACCCAACTGCTCTTTCTACAGCATTTCTGTTCTCTGCCCACCAAGCGTGCAGCTCCCGCGCGATCGGGTCCAGTGTCAGTGCCAGTGTCAGGTGCCGCCTGCCTCCGTCCATTCGTTCGATGGCTTTGCTGTCCCCCTCCCCTGTGGTCCTCCCCCCGGTCCTCCTTCCCATCCCAAGAGACGCGCAGACCCTGCAGTGGGATCTAGAAGGGACAAGGGCGAGGGAAGGCAAGGGAAGGGAGTACCGGGGACGGGACACTGGCGAGGGGCGGGAGGGGGCCAAACATGAGGTGAAGCTGTCAGAGCTACCGAATCCCTGTTGACAAGTTGCATCCTATTGCTCCAGTCTGGCTGGGCGACTGGCATCCCTCTACTTGCCGCCTTACTGTGCGACGGGCTTTCGGCGTTCACCTTTGCAACAGGAGCTGTCATTGCCAGTCTGCCCTGCTCTTCGTCGCATCTGGCCCACCACTCCGAGGCGTCGCAGCACGCGTCCATGTGTGCCCGCTCCAGTCAAGTTCCTTGGCTGCGGGTCCTAGAGGGAACGGCGTAAACAACGGAAGGGATTCGTGTTGCAGCCAGGCACACACAGACCCAGCCAAGGGGTTCTGAAGTCGAGATGAAACACGGCATCGACCCGCGCGACGACAGGAGCCTTCAAACTTGCCTTGCTAACCTAGGTACCTGCCTGCCTTTGGTGCCTTCCTTTGGTGCATGTATTCCCCTTGAGCCACTGCATGCGGCTTCCATCTGCCTCTGATTGTCGTCCACCGTCTCTCCCAGACATGGCGCCTGCCCTTGTTGCCGCGCACCAAAAAGCCATTCAAATGACAACGTCCGACTTGCAAGGATGGGTTGCAAGGATGGGCGGATGGACCGTCGGGGCACCCAGCTATCGCATTGCAAGCCATCTCAATGCCAGGGGCGTGCTCAAGACCTCTCATATTTCATTTCTCTGTTGTGACTTTTTGCATTGCTACCTGGCACGAAACAACAGACTGCAGAGCTCCTCGCGCCACTCCCCACGTCGTCCAGACATGCCGAGTAGCATGTTTCCCAGGCCTCTCATTACAACGATGGATTTAGGTTAAGGGCGAGACGATCTTCAACCGGGACATTTGTAGCCACTTTGACCCCAATCACTTGCAGCCGCGAACCAGTGCCGACAAAGTGTTTGGACCTGGCATTCTTCCCCGTAGCCGTGATCCTCGCGCGCTCCCCGTTGCGTCCGAACAGGTGTCTCTTCCTCCTGTACGCCCATCTACACAGTCAGGCTCACCTCCAACGTCCATCTGATGCAGCCTTGGCTTCTGTTATCGACCGAAGGGTTCGCACCATATCCTGCGCATCTTCCTCGCCTTCGTCGTTGCCCTCCGTCGTGCCCTGCAGTTGTCCGCAGCATCGCTTCAGGCCAAGCGCGGCGGCTGCGTCCCACTCGCCCACTGTGAAGTTACCTTCGCTCTCCGCTAGTAGCAGATCTCCCTTGGCGGTGAATCCAAAGACGTGTAATGACCTGGCTTCAGATGCTTCGCGCCGAGAAGGCTCACCGACAATCTTTGGCTCACCAGTCGCCTGCAGGATCGCTACGACGACGGCTGTCGCCACGCCCTCGAGAGGTACGGCACCAGATACCAAGGCGAGCAGCGCGGCGTGGAGCAGCGCCGGAAGAGCAACAAGGTTTTGCTGGGCTTGGTTGAGCTTGCTGTTGACATAGTCGTCCGTAGGCGTCTGGGTCACCTGAAGGGTTATCTGAAATACGCTGCGTGGGAACCTCTTGGTGCAGATTAGCTGTTGCAGGGACGCTTGCAACAGGCTTTCGAGCTGACGCTCTCGTGTACCTGAGAGGTACGTCAGTCAGTGCGCGTTTCGAAAACAGTGGATGGGGGAGAAAAGTCTTCTCACCTCCAACACCCGCTGCTGGTCGCACCGTCACATCAATGACCGCTTCGAACGGGTCTTCATCCCGCCTCTGAGCCTCTATGGGCCCGTTGACCGAGGCCACGATGCAATGATCATTGTGTGCAAATGTTGCTGAGCCATCTGTCCGGTGGAGATGTGACAGTCGGCCTTCCGCTGGCTGGGCCCCCATGATGATTGCTCAAAGCGAAAAAGGCGAAGCTAAGTTCTGCGTGGTGGAAAACAGATATTCCCTACGTCTCGTCCGCTGGAACCGAATTGCTGTGTCGCTAGAAGTATGATGAAATTCGTGTTTCAATGAGGGCGATGCAAGGTTGCACGGTCATGCAAATGGTTTACAAAGACCGGATCCGAGGCCTGCATTGCCGTCCCGCAGATGGGAGCTTCAATGGTCGCGTTTTTTTGCGCCAGGTTCGTTAGGTCCTCATTCAGCGCCGCCTAGCAAGCTTGACGAGTACAGTACGGTACTAGGTAGTAGCCAAGGTACCTAATGCAAGCCGTTTCTCCCTAGCCGCAAGTGACCTGACCTGCCCTCTTCAGGCACCAACCGGTCCAGTCGGAGGGTCTCCACAAAATGCAGCCGCAGCTTCCAACTGAACTGGAAGCACTGGCAGGCAAACTCCAGAAGAATGCCGTGGAGTGGGAATCTTGAGGATCGTGCTTTGGAACCTCTGCTCAACCATTTCAACCACTTTGCAGTCATCTGAAAACCCTGACTACGTAGTCGCGGCGCAACCCATATCACGGCCATGGCCTTATCCGACGACGTTACCTCACAGCCAGCCCCCGCCGTAGATATGGCGAATAAGCAGATGAGAACTCCAATCCCCAAGCTCGAACCCCGTCGCCGGAGTGCTGCTCCCTCAAACCCCCTCCCTCGCCCAGAGACGCCCGCACTTCCGTCGCCGCCTGATCTATCAAACTTGTCGTTTGAGACCCCGTCTCGCAGAATCCTATCACCAAAGGACCATGAAATCTTCCTCGCCTCCCCGACATATGAGCTCATACTTGCCTTTGTCTTTGGCTTGTCGGAATCGGTTGTGGACACCCCTTCCTCCGCCGTCAACTTGGAGGATGTCAACCCCCCTGTCAAAGTTATCCTGAATATTCTCGACCGTGTTGAAACCCTTTTGAACCAGTCGCCACCCACAGAACAGGGCGGGTCACGATTTGGCAACAAAGCGTTCCGAGACTTCCTCGACCTCATCAAGGCGCAGGCGCCTGAATGGCACACTAAGCTCGGTATCGACTTATCCGGCGCCGGAGAGGAAGCTTCTACTTACCTGTTACAATCTTTCGGCAACAGGATGCGTATAGATTACGGTTCTGGCCACGAGCTGAACTTCATAGTCTGGTTGCTATGCCTATACCAGCTCCGCATCCTCAGTCGCGCCGACTTCAGGACGCTTGTACTCACCGTCTTTGGCAGATATCTGGAGGTCATGCGGCGAGTCCAGTTGACCTATTACCTTGAGCCAGCAGGCTCCCATGGCGTATGGGGTCTTGACGACTACCAGTTCCTCCCTTTCCTCTTCGGCGCATCGCAACTGCTGCACCATCCCTTCATTACTCCCCTCGCCATTCACCAGCAGCTCACCATTGAGGAGTTCGCCTCAGACTATCTCTACCTCGGACAGGTCAACTTTGTCAACACGACAAAGACGGTCAAGGGATTGCGGTGGCACAGCCCCATGCTTGACGACATATCCGCCGCCAAGTCCTGGACCAAAATCGAGGGCGGCATGCGCCGCATGTTTGTCGCCGAGGTGCTCCGGAAGCTGCCTGTGATGCAGCACTTCCTCTTTGGTTCGCTCGTCCCAGCCGAGGAGGGTATGAGCACCGAGGAGGCCCTCGGCATCGGGCACGAAGAAGATGAATCCGAAGGCGGCGAGCTGGCACTCGACGGGAAACCCAAGCACAAGCATCAGCACATCGGCTGGGGTGACTGTTGCGGTATCAAAGTTCCCAGCAGCGTTGCCGCCGCCGAGGAGATGAAGAAAAGGGGCTTAGGAGACACGCTGCGCAGGATACCGTTCGATTAGCCTAGCAGATTAGCAGTTGCAACATCTTACCCTACATCAGACAAAGTAGGCACACGCTCATTGTGATGCTGAAGCTCGAAATCTCACTAAATAAAGAAACTATGGTTGTGTATGTGATGAACTTGGTCAGTTGATCCACGTGCTCTCTCCCTCTCGCGATTCCCTTCGCTTGGCCATTCTCTAGCCACCCATTACATTATAATATCGGATAGTCCTCGTATGTATCCAGACCATGTGCATAAACAAACATAAGTACGAAAACAGGTGCGCCAAACTCATCTTGTCCAGAAACGCCCCTACTCAAGGCCGAGCGACTCAAGCCTCTCAATACCAGGGAGATGAGCCCACCGGCTGGACCTGGGGGAGCCGCACTCAATGTCGAACCAGATGTCGGGGTAGTAGTCGTCGACGGAATCGAGAGCGTAGGCAACGCTGCTACCGTACAGGTCGCATCGGGCAACGTTGAGATCACGCTCCGGATAGAAGCGGTAAGACTCGCAACCGTCGGTGGCATCCATGACGCTCTATCAAAGGTGATTAGCATCGATCATGACATTGATCAAAGTTACGGTGAAGACTTACATCGCAAAACTGGTAGCAGCCCTCGAGCGTGACCGGCACGCCCGGTGAGTTCTCAACAAAGCGAGCGAGGAAGTAGTTGCCGACGGGCTTGCCGTGAACACCGCAATGCAAGCTACCAGTCTCCGGCTTGCCGGTGGGGACACTCCCTTCGGAAACAGTCTTGGTAGGGGTCTCAACAACCGCTGGTTGCGAAGTCAAGCTCGCCACGCTGATAGGGGCAATTGATGTGTCGATGACACAGCCGCTCGTGCTGGATGGCAGCGGCTCCGTTACAGCATAGGTCGAGAAATAATTGGTGGCGCTGTAGGGCTGCGTAGAAGATCCAGACGCCACGTGGGACTCGGAAGACATTGATGCGGAGGACTGGCTAGCATAAGCTTGATCCGAGGGGCTGACTGTTGACTGCGTCTCGCTGAGGTGGACGTGGTCAGACGACTCAAGGCGCACAGTCGATTCGCTAAGGGTCACAACTTCGGTAGACTGGCCATATGGGAGGTTGTACGCGGAGCTTGGTTTCAGTGTCTCTGGTTCGCTGGTGGCTTTTGAAGATTCGGGGAACCTCTGGGATTCGCTTGTCGTGGCGTCGTCGTACGTATCCTCGTAGCCAGCCACATTGTAGCCCGCTCCATAGGCCGGAAGTGTCTCGTATGGGCTTGCGGTGACTTCGGTTTCGGATGTTAAGACGGTGCTAGAAGACATACTCGTCATCGTGGATTCGCTCGTCGTCACAATTCCAGAGGAATCTGTCGTAGAAACAATACTCGAGTAGTTGCTGTAGATACGTGCGGAGGAGGAGGAGGAGGAGGGATGCACGTTCAGCGTTGACACGGGCGGGCGGGGATCGTGCTCAGTATATTTGTTAGGGGCGTACTCGTTGGCAGCATACTCGTTGGCAGCATACTCCTGGGGGGCGTACTCGTTGGAGGCATACTCGTCAGGAGTGCGAGACGTGGAGGGCTTCGAGCTGTAGGACTGGGTCGTGGAGACATTGGCTGGGTGATAGAAGGTGATGGGGTGTCCCGTAGTTTCGGGGTACGAATGGGGAGCACCTGTTCCATACTCATGAGTCGATTGACGTGTCGTTGAGATATTGGCTGCTGGATAAGGTGGCGAAACTAGAGTGGTAGGCTCTGTGTAGATATCACCGGTTTCATACTGGCGGTCCGTGGTGGCGGTCGAGATGTTGGCAAGGTGGTACATCGAGGATGGACGAGTGTTATTCGCCGGATAAGGATAATTACTCGCATGTTCAAAGCCTGTCTTTTCTGTAGCCGTAGGCACATATGTGGCATTGTTCGAAGAGAAAGTTGTGGTGGTGGTGTTTCCGGGATAGGGGGCATAGTCATATTTCAGTGACGTGGTGGTTGTCGTTGAGACGTTGTGTGGCTGATACGGAGGGACTGTAGGTGCAGTGTGCTCTGGATAAGGATACTGCGTCTTGTTCTCGACTTTCGTCTGCGAAGCATGATCCTCGTAGCCCAGGGTGTTCGTGTTGGCGTATTCTGGACCACCTTCGGTGATATACTGAGTGACTTCCAGCGTGGTCGTGGAAACGAGGACATGACCCGGGCAGTCAGTCACATTGGGGTCCTTTTCAAGAACCGAAGGAACATTGTAGGCTGGCCCTGGTGGCGGCACGACATGCGTGGGTTCCGTTACCGAAGCTGTCGAATTGGTGCCATTGTAGTTGTGATCAGCCTGCCCTTGCAGATGTCGAGAATGCAGGGCGGCAGCCCACCTGCCGACACGTCCCTGGTGGCCATTATGATCTAAGGAGCCTAGACGCTGGCCTTTGTCGTGTTCTGCTGATTGTAGGGCACCTCCTGCCTCTGCCAGCAGGGCTGTAGTTGCGCCGAGCAGGACTGCGAAACGCATGGTGAAGGGCAGCTGTTGTGTGAAGGCCGTTGAGTCAAGCAGTCTAAGGGGGGTTGTATCAAGGGGCTTAAAGAGCAAGAGAAGAGAGTTCGAAGAGATGATCTAGTGAAAGGTTGCTTGTGTGCTTGGAGTACAGAGTTGGAGAAGCCATTGTGAAGTCAGGTATAGTCGTTCTTATATCGAAAGTTTGTCGGTGAGCCGCAAGATCGGAAGGGATTAATGACGACATGTTGAGATAACTAGGGCTATGTGAAGGGATTCTGAGGTACCTAGGAATCAATTCTAGCAAGATGGTTGACTCTGGTAAGGCATATGAGGGTGCAATATTGGGTCAGAAGGGAGAGGGAAGTCTGAGTGCCGAGCCGCCCTGCAAGGGACAGGTTAGAAACAACCACGAGGCACTAAGACCTCGGACCGGCAACCAGTGGATCAACGTCGTGACTTCTGCGGCGAGCACAGCGAAGACGAGGAAGAGGACTTGAGAGAATACTATTCCATTTCGTGTGATCCAATTTGATGTCTCGTCATGCTTAATTGCTCTATAAGCCGCCCCGTGAACCGTGCTAACGAATCATTCAGTCGGTGTCGTGCGGGAACAGAACGGAATGCAGAACACACACTAAATAACTGACTGTGAATGCCAAATCCAAGGTTGTTTCCCGTAATGCCTTAAGAGACGATGTAGGGAAAGGGTATCAAAAGCAAGGCCCCCAAACGCCGCGAGCACGAACCGCGCCATACTAATGCCAAATGCAAAGGAGAATCTTGACCGAACCACACAAACAAGCTGACACCGACCACAACATGCTGCCTTCACACATAATTTCAGCCGTCACAGTCAGTCTTGCTTGGGCTGTTGTCGCACCTCGGCTAATCCTCCCAAATCGTTTCCAGATCGAGATCGCCTCTTCTCTCTGCACCACAAACGCTCCAGCGCTTCCTCTTGTCACGAGATCCAAAACCAAGCGTCCTACCACGAGTTGGAACATCAAGACTGCTCCGCCCCTTGCCATCGGCCGTGTCAGAGCCTTCTTCGGCAGCTTCAGCATCAGCTTTCAGCTGTGCAATCCTCTCCGCTTCCATGGCGGCTTCCTCAGCGTCTGGCGAGTCGGGAATTGTCTCTAGGCTCGAGATGCTGGGGCTCCTCGATCGAGTGGACGTGGGTGTAGAAGGGACGGACGAAGATGGAAATGGCGTGAGCGTGCTGTAGCTATTATGCGAGATCTCGTAGGCCCGACCTAAGGGGGAGGAAGAGGAGGATGACGGCGTGGATGGAAGCATGGGCACAGCGGTAGTGGCCGAATGCCCATTGTAACGGAGTGGCGAGGAGGGCCGCCGATATCGGCTGGCAGCACTGGCCATCGAAGGCGCTGAGGATGATGGAACACTACCGAGAACGGGGGATAGGCTCCGTTCTGGCAAAGTCCGATCGTGGTCCAAGACGGAAGAGCGAACAGGAGAGGTCGGGAAAGCTTCGTCGACAGGCTTACGAGCGACTCGAACACGACTAGGAGACCCGGACGGGCTCGAAGGACGCAGCTGTGGAGTATAGAGGATGTGCCCTGAGCCGCTTACGCCAGGTAGGGACTGGGCGCGGGACATTTGTGGGGCAAGAGAGATGGCCGACCTCGACCTCTGATGAAATCCTGATAGCGGTGATGTTGTTCGAGGACGATAAGGCATCGCTGGCGATACGCTCCAGGTGGGAGAGTTCGGCGACGAGGGGTTGGGGTCGGTGGAGCGGCGGATCGTAGGGGGTTTCCTCAGTGGTTCAGTATCAAGAGAATGGAGAGTAGGAGGGCTCTGGAGCCGAAGTGATGGAACTGGAGATGACCGGAACTGCTCCAGGCTTTCCATCTCAGGCACAGGCTCCATGTCGACTGTTGCGGAGGTGCTGACGGACTCGACGGCTGTAGGAAGACATGAACGTATGGCCAGCGTTCGAGGGTCCGCAGATGTGGTGAAGGGTATTTCGGTAGGAAGAGTGAAGATGCGACTTGCTGCACCCGAGTGTTCACTGGAGCGGAGAACCGTGTATTTGGTGTTTGCCTGTAGTCTGGCCCAAGTTCGGAAATGATGAGGAGGTAGAGCTAGGAATTCGGATCTATTCGTGTGCTTGTGTTATGCTTGTCCTATGCCTAGGTCTCGGGCAAAGCTAGACTGCATCAGCACTCAGCACCAGGCATTCCTTGGGAGACCCTGAAGCTGGCCTTGCTTGACTCGCAGAGCAGCGTTGTTTGCTGGTGTATCGTGGCCGTTCCAGGTCCGGGAGGAGGGAGCTGGTCGAGTAGAGCGTTACTGGGCGGTGCTCAAGGAGTTCGGTTGTTCTCTGTCCTCGGACTGGTTCACTGAACAATTCATTGGTTTCGGTCTTCGTGTTGGCACTGATGAATCGTGCAGTGAATGTCGTGAGCCAGAGCCGGCCTGCAGCAATCCAGGTCCAGGAGTGCTTCAGGACGTCGTTGTCTCGAGGAGGAGAGGGGGGCTATTGGAGGGTTGAGAAGTGGAGGGTCGAGAGGATGCCAAGAGGAGGCCGGAGCCAGCAGCCAGGGGCCAGCGTCTGTGAAAGAGGGTTAGCGCAATGCAGGTCCCTCCAACATCCACTTGGCCCCTCCCATTACCTCCACTGGCGGGTAATAAACCCCAGTATTCCATTCCTCCCATCGTTGCCCGCCCCCGCCTCCCTTCTTGTCTGGCATCCCTTGAACTAGGCCTAACGCACTTGCCCGATACTTTGTTTCTCAAGCCAAGCGCCTGGAACTTCACTGTTCTTGAGAAAAGAAATCAATCCCGATTTGGACATTAGTCTGATATCTAGGTAGACGTATGCTTTCTCGTGTCCTGTTACAGGACACGAACCACGTCCATGTGCATTGTGAAAGTACCTTTCAGCAATTCGGACGCCTTATGTAAGGTGGATGGTAGTGCGCTGATAACCCCCCTGCATGATGTCAATGTCGCCGCAGTTTTGTTTTTAGCGCAAGTTGGCTCGGCATCCCTTGAACCCAAACTGCTTGCCCAGTTTGTCTTCACACGTATCGTTGTCTATGAGGGTGAGAGGTTAGTTTCTGACGTTAATCCCGAGACACACGGCATGCAACGACTACTGCGACGCCTGAACACCATGCCTATCGACAATAGCCAGATTAACGCTCTGGTCCTTGACTTCGATGGCACCATTACGAAGCAGGATACCATTTCCGTCTTAGCTTCTATCGGACAGACTTTCCAGCGACGACATCACCACAGCGTGAAGCAGCCGTGGGATTCTGTTGTAGAAGCTTATGGTCGGGATTTCCAAGACTACACCTCAACCTACGTTCCCGCTGCTGTTGATCGGACCACCCTGAGTGAGGAATTGAAATTTTTGCGAGGGTTTCGAGATATTGAAAGCGCTTCTTTTGGCCGAGTTGGAGATTCAGAAATCTTTTGCGGCATGAACAAAGAGGACTTTTCCATGGCTGGGCGTGAGGCACTCAGGGATGGAACGGTGCGTTTGCATGATGGGTTTTCAGAATTTATGACATGTGCAGCCCTTCAGAAGTGGCGCATTATGTCATCTCCGTCAACTGGTCCTCCTCTTTCATTCGTGGTGTCCTCTCTGGATTCCCTATCGACAAAATCATATCAAACGAGATACGCTCCGATGGCATAATTGTAGGACCAGGTATCCTGGGCCCGCCAAGCAAAGAGACGCTGCTGGCGACTTGCTTGGACAAAGCACACGCTCTAAAGGCACTAGTCGCGGAGCAGAATTTGGACATTGATAACATCGTCTACTTCGGAGATTCCGTATCGGATATCGAATGCTTGATCGCTGTCAAAGGGATCATAATGTCTGGCGGGCCCGACTCAAGCTTGATCAAGACTCTCACACGGACAGGTGTCACAGTACAACCGATAACATGCATTGACACGTCCGCAAATTTGGTTTGGGCTTCAGACTATCGAGAGATCATGTCAGCGGGACTCTTTCAGCTTGTGTGATATCAGCTTCTTTGGATGCACACATGGATGCCCAACTTGTTAGCACTCCTTCAGTGCGTTGTTTCATGACCACCGGATAAAGGCACCTCAGTTGATTGCGCCACTTAGAGCGGCTGTGCCTGGGTATTTACTAGGACCTCAAATAATAACAATGGCTATGTCAATCCTTTGTGTGTAGCGACCTAGCTTGTCCAGCATAGTATTAAAGTCTTTGATGAGCCATTGAACCCAGGCTCTCTTAATCTCCTACCCCGAACGCAACGATTATGCCCATACAGCCATGAACGAAACATACAAGCCACATTATCCATTCTTTAACACGAATGCTCAACATCTGCCCTCAATAGCTGCCTCATCCCGGAACAATGTGCTACTACCAAGGTACAGTGTATGGGTGCTTGCATTCCGATGTAGGGCGCAAAGTGGCCACATGCAGACAGCAACGCGAGTATCTCGCTGGCAGTGGCGAACCTGAGTGCACCCAGGAAGACCATCATGCCTTCCACCGCTTGAGGGTTTCACAGAAGTGTTTCAAGTGCGCCAAGCTTGACAGCACCAAACTTCGAGCGAGGCAACTCTTGGATTCCATGAAGGCCGACGTAGACAAGTGTGTTGCAGCCAGAGGCGGTGCCTGGGGCTCATCGAGGGAGTAGCGTGTAGCCTCAAGTACCAACAACGACAACAAGCAGATAAGGTACTGAATTGACCCCAGCAGGACTGGCTGGTCTATAAACGATGGTAACTTCTACTAAGATGTTCACCATATGTACGACTATCTAGACAAAACGTAGAAGTCTCCGAGGTCTCTTATAGCCTTCCATGCGACAAGCTTTACTCTCGTTCACATGCGTGAGAACTTTCAGATAATAAACCTATACTACACTTGGTAGATGTTGCCTGAAAATCCAATGGCGAAGCAACCCAGATTACTGACATGGTGCACGGCGCGTTACGATTTATCATGGGTTTTGTTGTTGGGCCCCTTGAGGAAACCAAATAGTGCTAGGTTGTGTACGAAAAAGCTGCACAAGACACATTCACCAATGCTAAGATCGCTTTGTGACAAGAAGGCGAGCATGCAGTTGCGAAATAAAATGACTGGATTGGGAAGGCCTCACGAGTATCCGAATTCATTACAGGACGTGTCATGCCTCCCAAGGCCTCATTCCTGTCTATTAACTACCCTTTACTACCCCTGGTGCCGCAGTCAAGAGCATACTGAGAGGAATCATCACCTCCTATCACGTAAGTACCACGTCCTCCATGTCCATATCGTCGTCGTCGTCTCCCACTGCGTCCGGCGCACTTTGGTCCAGTGCTTGGTTTTGAATGAGTTTGAACTCGGGTTTGATTTCCCACTCATTGGAATGAGGCCCTGACCTATTCATGACTGCGATTTTCTCTAGTTCTTGACGAAGATACGCTTCTGGCTGGTTGAAAGTTGCCTTAAGGACAGACATTTTCCAGTACTGGAATCTGTTGGTAAAAGCATCGAGAAGAGCCTCTCGTAATTCTGTCTCGTCCATACGAGTTGCCTTGTTGGCTGGCTTCTTCTGTTTGCTCGTCTTGACCGGATTCGTAGTTTTCTGCTTTGGTCAGCTGGGTCTCCCGGTTCATGAATGCCAGATGACTCACAACGAAAGAGCCGAATTTAGCCTGGGCAGCGGCTGAGCCCTGCTGAATCACCCCGCTGATCTGATAATGATCCACGATCTTCAGTGTATGCTTTGGCTTGTGTGCCTCCATCTGTTTGAGTTGCAGGATTGCCCTGCTCTCTTCGTTATCTACTGGTTTGCAGCCCATCTCGTACTGGATACGGGCCCTGATCTTTGTTTTTTCTTTAATACATTAGATATGTCCGTTGCCCAAAGAAGGAATAAAACAGGTAAGACTCACTTGGTATGGCCTTCCGATAGAAAGGCTGATAGCGAGCCTTTCTGTCGAAGGGCTTCCGTGCAGGCCTGTCAACTTTTGGTCGTAGCAGATGTGCTGGTATTCCGTTGTTCGCCGCGTCGTTTCTCGCTTTTGACTTCGCTTTGAAGCCGGGGAGGTCCTCCTCGGAGAAAACAAAGGTTCCCCGTGTGAGCTCTGGTCCCATCTCCAAGTCGTACTCCCTGGGCATAAGCTGGTGCCCTGCCAATTCAGAATTCAGGAGCATCCTGAAGCGATGCTATGGAGGGTCAGCAGTGGCAGCGAACGAAAATGGAAGCACAAGCTTACATCAACTCCTCCATCTGGTCGGATGACGTCCCATTGTCTCATGGTGCCAACCTCGATCTCCGCGTCCTCGGGAAGATTACTCCACGCGTCCCATATCTCTTTAGGAACTTTGGCTAGGTAGGCCTGGTTGAACGTGCCAGAAGCACCGCTTGCATCATAGAACTCTAGATCGCCGGCATCTTCATAGAGGTCGTCATCGTCAAGTGGTGTTGCAGACGGGGATGCCACGGCATCAGGGTCTGGCTTGATATACGGTTCGCTTTTAACCGGCGTGGGGTCGGCCATGATCGTTGTGTTGGAGCGTTGTCGAAGGTGCAGAAGGCGGCGAGTATGGGATCGCGCAGAGCTTTCGGGGAAAGTATTTGAGGGACGTTCTGTTTCCTCACAGTAGAGAGTAAATTCGGATATCTGTGCTTACCGACTGTTCTCGGGTCCTGGCGGGTGTACAAAGGATTGAAGTTCAAAGAGATCACAGCCTTGAGGAGCTTCTTTGTGAGGTCATGTTCCTACCGGCATTACACATAGTCGTGGTCCTCGAGCTGTTGTAGGTACACTACGCGATGATTGGCTTAGAGAAGGACAACGGACCCATATATGCACAAACAGTCCCCACCCCTCCGACGAGCGCACTAAGATAAGATAGCAGGTTCGACCTCATGATATAGGTATTCCTGGAGCAGCGGCCAGAACCTTGACCTACAAGCAAACGCAGCCGGCAAGACTCCAATAGGCTTCACGAGGTGACTCTCCAAGCGCCACAATATGAAGAATCGTTAAACCTGATGGCTTCAGATTGATGCCGTATTCTCCTCATACCACCTCTCGATCTTGGTCTTCCGATTCCATTCCAGCTTCCAATACATATCACTAGAAGCTTAATCATTTACGATTACAACTCATTTCAACGTAATACTTCAAGCTAGTGCAGCTATCCATGCAGCAAAGTGAGTACTCTGTGCTGTCCTTGAACCCGTGATCTCAACGCCTTCTTCTGTTTTCTCGGCTCTATTCGCTAACGTTATAGTCACTGCCCTGACAGTGCCTGTACCGACCTGCATTCGCGAAGTGCTCAATTCCTATTCACCTCTGTGCTGATTCTCAGAATCGTCAACCTTCCGAGGAGCGCACAAATATACGCTCTCGAAAACCATCAAGGTGGGAGACACATAGGTCTACCCAGTCACTATGCCGCCTCCCAAGTCATTAGCCGAGCTATGCCTCGAAGCTTGTCAGAAGCATATAAGCCAACTGACAAGCTTCGGCGATGGCGACTTTCTGCTACCTCCGCATTATGTTCGCGATTTGCTTTCGAGGATATGGGATCCTGCTCAATTACGCACGATCGAGATCAACTCCCCACAGGTTGCCACTACTGAAGCCTGGCAGCGCCTGATAGCAAAGGAATTTCCAGTTGAAAGTCGGGACAAAAATTACTTCCCCAAAAACCCAACCAAGTGGTACAAAATTTACGAGAAATACACAATGGAGCGTCAACTTTCCCGGCAAGAGGCTGAGGAACAATTGCGCCGCCAATTCCAGGGTCTCCAAGACAAGAAGGAATCTCGTGTCAGCAGGCTTGTTGACGACCCAAAATTTCTGCCGCGACCTCCAAAGACCGGCCGGACCTTTGGGACAAGTGCGCGTCCTGGCGGGAGAGATGCACCAAGCACCCTCCGTTTTGGCGGTGGTACTCGCACCAAGATGAACACTGGCGCCGGCGTGCTACGTAAGGCTCGTCGACAGGCTGCAGAACATCACCTCAAGCTTGGGGGCGTTTTAGCCAGACCAGTGAGCAGGGCTCCGACAGGCACAGTCATAAGAGCACCTGTCGGGATGGTCAACGCTCATCGAATCGCCGCTCAGCCAGCATTCAGAGCCCGTTCTTCACTTCAGCAGAACGCGGCCGACATTCGGGAATCCAGCAGGCCCAACCCAAAGGCCAATTTCATCTCGGACTCATCAGATAACGAACTCTGGAGCGAAGACGAACAGAATGACGAACAGCCCCGTCAAGACAAACGGGTGAAACCTGATGTGGCCGCTCGGAGTTACAAAACTCCACATATAACGTCCTCAAGCGCCTCTTCACAACCAGCAAAGCGCCCCGGGCTTCTCTCGAATGCGCCCAAGTCTAAGGCCAAAACAACAACATCCGCAGAAGATCAATCGAAGTCGACATCATCCCGCAACACGCGCCATAGCGACTCGACAGGCGCACAGGCGAAGCCGACGCGCCCAGCTCGGAATATCCCAGCACAGAGCCTAGGCAGAGATGATCCTCTGCCGGTGAGTGACTCTCGGAAATCACCGCCGCAGTCACGCTCGAAGGCAACGTCTCCGACCCCTAGTAATCAGCAGTATATCTCTACAGCAACCAAGAAGCGAAAGGCAGTCGATATATTTATGCCTAAGAAGCGTCGATAATGCGAAGGTGCATTCCTCATTGGATTCTTCGGATTGGTTACGACATCCAGGCAGTATTTGGGCTAAGGTGTCTCTGTATAGAATAGGGTTGGGAGCATGGCGTTAGGATGGTAGATACCTGGACCTAGGGTGGCTAAATGCGATTGTTTCTATGTCTGCAGTCTGCGCCAATAAATGAGACATCATTTCACTAGTGACGCTGGATTTCGGAGCACTCGAGCAACTACTCTTTGACCAGCTTCCTCGGTCGTCAAGTGGTGCAGCAGAACGATTGGCATGGTCATGATTACCCAAATGCAGCCCCTGCAGTCCACGGCAGTTGAGACTTTCTTGACGCCGCGTAAATACCCATGACACCGAGCTCGATGACGCCGGCCTTATTTATGTGTGCGTAGCGGTCTGTTGCACGCAGGATCACCTCTAAATGGACCACCAGTGGCATGATGTTTGTTTGTGGTTTATGTTTCCCAGGACCTTCAAGACCATCCGACCGAATGTATTATTTTCCGCCCATGGCAGCTCCGCCGCGGAGTGCCAGAACAAGATGAAGGGTCGCACCAGCCTCGAGACCGTATTCGGATGCTGACTTGTCGTCAACCCTGCACTCGGTCAGATGTTCAAATTTCTTGAAATATGGATGTTCAAGAAGCTGGTTAGGACCTACATCTGCTTGCCACCGAAGATGAGGCGCTGTTGAACCGGCGGTATTCCCTCCTTCTCCTCTACCTTCTCCTTGATCTGCGAGACCTGCGCAAGTAAAGTCAGCGGACAGTGGTGCTACTGATTCAGGGACCACAAACAAACCTTGTATTCATTTTCAATGTCCAGCTCAATCTCCTTGCCCGTGAGCGTTCGGACCCTGTGTCGCAGCCGTCAATCAAGGGGCTGAATAGAGGGTTGAGTCGGGGAGTCTTTCGTACTTGATGAGCATCTTGGTTGCAGCCTACGGTCGAAAAAGTCGGTAGAACGGACGCAGAGAGGAAGATGTCTTACACAACTATTCTCTGAGTCGATGATCGGTGAAGTACCTGCTAGGTATCAAGGTATTCGAAGGCAAGCTAAATAGGTAGTTATGTAGAAGGAGCTCTACCATCCACCAGACTTGATAGAAGGTCGCTGCCTTCTGGTGGGGGCGGGGTTCTCCCGGCCCGCCCCAGCACCTGTGAGTGGGTCATCGACCCAAGCTCGGAGGCTTGCTAGCGTTCGTGATCGTCAGCGGCCTGTCAAGCCTGGACCTGATGCCGACAGACCGTGATCGGTTGAATGCATGGGGTGAAGATTAACTATTTACCTCAGTTACTAGAGATCGCAGTCGCAACATATCAGGCAGCACCAATAACATGCCAGTATGCGTTACATCTAGCTCTCAAAGCAACAGTCATGTTGAATTTCTCCGGGTTCTCCGTACATTATGAGCCAACGGGGGAAGTAGTCCTAATGACCTCCTTCTGCAAATGAGAAGCTTCAAGCAGATGCTAACGATGGGCTCAAGGAGTGAGATGCGTGAGAGGGGAGTTGAGAGCGGCGGCGGCATGCTGTAGCCCTTCGCACTATAAGGTTGGGCTTGGGTGAGAATATCAAGTATAGTAGAGATGGACTCGGCGTATGATCCTAGGATCAGCCCTTAAGGCTGTTCATTAATGGGAGTATAGTACAGGTTAGCCAGATCGGCTTTGGTGTAGTACAGTGGAGATTTAGCATCCTAGAGAATCGGTGGCGATGAGAAGCCCCATGTGCTCTACTTCTTTTCCACATTCTCAAAGACATTGAGACCTAGACCCTCAGAGTCTAGCAGAAGCCTGTTCTTTCCGCCAGATTCCTGCATCTGCTGGGCGATGAAACGAGCGTTCTCGATCTTCTTCAGCTCGACGTAGGCCTTGTTCTTTCTGATGGCGTCACCAATCAGCTCAGCTGACCGCGCCTCACCCTGTGCCTTGACGACCATAGCCTGCTTTTCCTGGCGAGCCTTGTCGACGATGAAAGCAGCCCTTTGGGCTTCTTGCTGTGCAACCTGCTTGGCCTCTACAGCCGCAGTGAACTCTGGCGAGAAGGCGAGATGCTACAGGCCACGTCAGTACTGAGGTACTGATATATGGGGGGAAAGGACCAACCGTAAGGGACACATCGTCAAGAAGGATATTGAATCGAGCTGCCCTCCTCGACAGGTTCTCGCGAACAAGCTTGGCGACCATCTCTCGCTGAGTGATCAGCTGGCTCGCGTTGAACTGCGCGACGACACTCTTCAAGACCTCATTCACGATTGAAGGAAGCACCCTTTCGTCATAATCCGTGCCAAGAGTGCGATAAATCTGCGGCAGAGCGTTGATTTCCGGTCGGGACAGCACTCGGCATGTAATGTTGACCATCTGCAGATCCTTGGTACCGGTCAAGGAAGCGACGCTCCTCGGCTTCGCGCGGACATCATATACAACCGGCGTTTCGAGCCAGGGAAGCATCAAATGTGTGCCTGGTGTAACAAAGATGAGTAAAGGGACACAAGTTCAGGAACTTGAGGCTCGGATGACACGGATCTTAACTATACCTTCGTTGTAGATATCCTTGCCGACGCCGCTAATTCTCCGGTATTTGATGGCTCTCTGGCCACCATCGACGTTGAAGATCGCGTTCTGAGCAAAAAAGGCAGTGCCTGCTAGGGCAATCATAGCCCCGACGCCCATACCAACACCTCGAGGTCCTCCAGGCATACCACCTCCGCCTCGTCGCTGAGTCTGCTGCGCTACGGCGCGGAGACGCTGGTAGGCCTCCTCCATTGGGTTCTTTCCGCCGGACATGATGAAAGTCGATCTCGGGATCGCCTGCGTAGATCTGCTTTTCGCGTGGCCGAGAAGGGGTCGGAAGGGTTCGATCGGAATCAAAAGATGACAGCTGGTTGCATGGAGCACAGAGCTGGTCGCGAAGCTCCGAAGAAAACGGAAGACGGCATCGACCTCAGGTGTCGAAGCAAAGCGCACGGACCGCAGCGCAGCATTACCTCAGCACTGTGCGCCAGTACTCTCCCTCACACTCATCAGCGGCCCACCACTTGAAGCCTGTCTCCAGGGTCATGCTCACGAGTCTAGTTACCTTGTCGAGGGTATATCGAGGCACAACAGGTTTACTAGCGAGATCTCGCATCTATTCGAAAGACTGGACACGCCCCATCACTGAGACGTATACATTTCGTCTTCGTCATTTGCGCCGCACTGAATTTGGTCGAATGCGAAAGTTCTCGACAAGCCCCTCACAACTATGTCGTCTCAAACCGCAGCACAGGCCAATCCAAGGAAGCAGCAAGGTGCGTGATTCGAAAACGTGATGGACCGTCTGACTGACGTGGTTCCGACTTAGAACTGCAAAATCAGTACACTGTCTACAAGAACACACTGCAGCAGATTGCACAGAAGATCGGTGATGTAGAGCAGGAGGCTGAGGAACACAAGTACGTTGCCACAATTCTTTTTCGTATTCAGGTCGATCTTTTCGTTCGGTCGGGCCTTTGTATCCACGAAGACTTCTGTGCGCAACTGCGAGCGTCTTCTTCCTACCAAGGCTCCTCCCACGTCTTGTACTCTTGACCGCCCTACCCTCACCGACCCTCTAACCATACTGCAGGCTGGTTCTTGAAACTCTGCAGCCGTTGTCAGGAGACCGCAAGGCATTCCGTCTTATCAACGGTGTTTTGATGGAACAGACGGTTCAAGATGTTATGCCTGCGCTCAAGACTAATTCCGAGGGCTTGAAGAAGGTCCTCGAAGACCTTGTGAAGCAGTACAAAACGAAACAAGATGAGTTGGAGAAATGGAAGGTGTGTATGGTCCCCCTCACGACACCCGGAACTTGTTTTAACAAGTTCTACAGAAGAAGCACAATATTCAAGTCGTCCAGTCGTGAGATCAGGCCGATTACCTGTGCGAATAAAAGACTAATTGCCTGGGAGGTAACTTTTGTACGAGCGCAAAGTCACAGACAACTTTTATCAATACCAGCGGCTATGTAGCTTTTCACCGTTGTATTCTACCGCTGAGACAGATCGGGTATGCTACAGCGGATTTGACCACCGCGTTATATGATCTCGGCATGGCAAGGAGATGCGGTAGCGAGCCTGCAGCGATATCATGTTGCTGCCCAGTGCTGTGCATTTGTTCCAGCAAAAGACTCGAAATCCAGATCTTTCGAATCAAACCGTAGTGTGTCAGTATAGCACAGGGCCCAGCACAGGGCCCTTGCGGAGCGTGCAATGACGGCGAATCCACATGTGGACTGCCTTGACCACAGTGACCCCCAAGGCTGAGGGTTTCCAGATTCGTTACCAGAGAATGACGGTGTTTGGAATCGTCAGAGGGTAAAGTTGTTCATTGCCACAAAGTTCGAGCCTTCGATGCATGTGTGCCCGGTTGGTTGTTGTGTGTGAGTGACTGATGCCTAACGTGGCTGGCGAGGCATGCCGGGGCGAGCTCGGTCAGGGCTGATGGTGCCTCTGTGTTGTCTGTAATCTAGGCGCAGGCCAACGCACAATTATGCAACCTTTTCGGCGTTCACCCATGCGCCTTACTTCCGACGCTGGATGTGCAATGCTCTGCAGCGCAGCAAACAGTATGTCAGGGCGGTCTGTGTGAGGAGGCAAAGCTATTGGCTCCCGAATAAAGGGGCCTAACGTGCGTAAGTGATGCATGCAAGGACGCCAATACAATAGCCTGGTTTGAACGGCCAACAACTGGCGGATCCGTAGTGGTGGACAGTCAGACGGGAGACGTTGAACCTGTCCATAGCAATGACAGTTGAATAGTCTGGTCGACCGGCGTTCATCCTGCAAACAGCCCCTCGAACAGTCATTTCAGTGAAGTGTTTTATATGCGCATCCAGATCCCATGTGCCTTGACCCCCCCTGCTTGTTTGCAGACCACCTGATAAACGGACAGATGCTATCGATATTGATCCAGCTTTCGTTGGTCGATCCTGATGCTAGGCGTTGGCAATGCAACATGGATTCGGATCGCAGGCTTCTCATCCTGTACTCACTTGCCAAGGTCGGCATCGGACAGCCATGGGGTCTTCCGTGGGGTCCGCGCCTAAACTCTGCACCTCACCAGGTAGGTAACCTGCAGGAGGAGCTCACCGCTCGCCACAGGACATATGAATTGATGTACGACATAACGTGATCTTGACGTTACGGTCGACATTCAGCACGCTCACGTAGCATTCTCGAATTGATGAGAATAAATCTGTGCTCTGATTTTTCTTTTATTTTAGTTTGTTTTGCCATGACGAGTGATGGATTTTGTTGCACCCGTCAGGCTTGGACGGGGATGAGAGATTCACAAACCCAGTTGAAACGCGAGATGGGACGTCATCCCACTGTCTCTGTCAATGAGCTCCCAAGAGTGGCCAAGTCCTAGGTGGGAGGTGTCGCTGTTAATTAGGGGCGGGCCTCTGTCTGTTGGCCAGGGTCCCGAAGGTAGATACAGTTAGGTAGGTACCTTGCCTGCGCTTTTGCGCTGCTCCTTGTGGTGTCGCATTCAGCCGCGTGTTAGTGACTGCCCAGTCCCTGCGTGGCTAATAGGTACCTCATTGAGAACGGAGGCGACATGTAGTGGGGAAGGTACTTTACAGCTCACTTAATCTCGCGCAATGCAGAGGTACTGCAAGTGCTCAACACATGAGCCAGCCTAAAAAGATACTTCCCTACACCAGCCATGTTTACATGCGTTATCTGCTGTTCCCTTTTTCCCTTTGTTGACGACCTTCCCTGCAAGCGCAAGGCGCTCCTGCTTCCATGTCATTCACCTGCTTCGAGTCCCAATCCACTTCACGTTCTCCCTCCTGCAACACCCCACGTTCTTGCAGCCATCGATACGAGTGCCCGGCATCCCAGGTGTATCTCCCTTGCGACATTGACCGAACAACGCAGGAACCCAACGCCCAAAAGTTACAGCCCAAGCATCTGGGCGCCCAAGCCATCAAACAACCAAGTGACTACACAGCCAGGCGACCGCCTTGATGACCTGGCGCCAACAGTAGAGGTACGCATGAGGGTCACTCCCGCTTGCCCGTGCCGGCCTTGCCTTTCTGACACGCCATTGCAGCCCGTATACCCAGTCATCCCGCCCTCGCAGGCAACAGCCCGATCCCCGGTGTAACCCGCGCAACTGCCCGAAGCCGCACCCATAGCACCCATTTGCCGACACCGCGCTCACGTCACAGCCCACTCAACTGGTCTCAGCCTGTCAAGATTAATCTGTCACGCGGTCTGCCCACCTCCGCCTCGTCATCGCGCACCTGCTACCCCAGGTTTCTTGCGACCAAACCATACTTAGCGTCTGCCTTCCTTGGAAGATATCCTCCTGTGCCTTCACGCGTCCCCAGCGGCCTGTCACGATCCACGAGCACCATTCGCGATTCGTCACAACCCTAGCTCAAGATCTAAAGAGGGGCTAGCACCGTAGGATTTGACGCAGGTGTGCAGCTAAGCCGCAAAACTTGCAAGGCTTACCGTCTCCTGCAACGTGTCAAGGAACACATCATCCAGCCCGTTGTGCGATCCGCGAGACCCAAGTAATTACCAGGACGCCAGCAACCGCTGCAGGTAGCCAAATATGTCGGACTCCCCCCAATCTGCTTCGAAGGATGTCGACCAAGGTGTACCGTCACCCGACGAGGAAGGACAAATGAACGACCCCCAAGACCCACACTCTGGCGGGCTCACCTATGAGTTTGAGGTAAAAGAGCAAGACAGGTGGTTGCCCATAGCCAATGGTAAGTCTTCTGTCCCTGGTCTCCACGCGGGATGTGTATAGCTCTGGACAGCGCCAAACCAAGCATACCCATCTTTGCTGCCTTCCGTTCCTGTGAACGATCGATTCGAGTATCACTCTTTTCGCCACTTTTTGAGCCCTCGGCCGGCTTTCGGCTCATCCCACGAGTAGCAAGAGGCTAGCCAGCGGCTCACGTCGGACTTGCCCATGTCTCGCGATTCGCCTCTCCAACTGCCGGATGCGCCGTGCATTTCTAGGAACGACGACGAGCGCTATGAGGAACTTGATGCTAATATTCGTAACTTTGCTCCAGTCGCCCGAATCATGAAGAACGCTCTGCCTGAAAATGCCAAAATCGCAAAAGAGGCCAAAGAATGCATGCAAGAGTGTGTCAGCGAGTTCATCTCCTTCATCACCAGCGAAGGTAGGTCCTGCTTCTCTACCAGTGGCATGCAAAACAGACGACTGACCGATTACCCAGCTTCCGAGAAGTGTCACCAGGAGAAACGCAAGACAGTCAATGGTGAGGACATTTTGTTTGCCATGACATCGCTCGGCTTTGAAAATTATGCCGAGGCGCTCAAAATCTATCTCTCGAAGTATCGCGAAGTAAGTCTCAACGTGTGTTCCCGCCGATTTGTGACGTGCTAATCGATAAAAGCAACAATCTCAGACAAACAGAGGCGAGGGTGGACAGGGTGCACGCCCTAGCAGTGCCTATGGCGGCCAGCCTCCCACAGGTGCTGGCAGCTTCCAGGCTGAGGCTTCCGGTAACATTTTGGGCGCGCAACCCGGAGAAGGCGGTGCGGATGCCTCAAACTACATGTATCCTCCGCAGTCCGGCCACAATGGTGCTGGAGCTGGCGAGGGCTACTAAGCTGTCTTTGTGTGGGGGTTTGTCAATGCTTGTGGACTATGAAGTCGGGTAAAATCAGTCCCTGACATGTGTCTGACTGTGTACAAGTGAACGGGGCAGCGAATGCTATCATGAGATATGTGCAACAGGCGTGTTTGGGAAATAGAAGCTATTCAGTGTGACATGGCGATGTCAACAATCAGGAGCAGTAGTGAGTCGCTCGGTTGTGACAAGCGTGGAGACGCATTTGACAGACGTACATATGCTGGCTGGAGTTCCTAATCATCAGACATGTCTAAACAGGTCAAATGGCCCAGGTCGGGCATCACTTCCTCAGTCAAAACCTAGGCGCCTCGCTTCAACGACATCTGATCACCTGCCAACGATATACCTTGCTCGGGCTATTCAGGAATGATTTCGTCAGAGGCTGAGCAAACCACCAGTCTCGCACCTTGATATGGTAGTCCCGCCCATCCAGCTAATCTTAAGAGGCGGTACGACATGCATGAATGGCAAAATTCGTGCTTACCCCAATTTTTACTGTTTTTCAGTTTGCTGGAGGGACGAGGGGGGCTGGCTCTAATGGAGATTGCGACGGCAATGTCTATATGAGAAGAAAAGGCCGTCTTTGGTTCAAACGAGTCCTGACCTGACACTGGCGGATAGAATACCAATGTCAGAGACAATGCAATCATCGGAACTCTTATCGATAAGCCAGGCAATGAGGGTGGGCCCATACAGGAGCCACCTTGACATGGGATGGCCCGTGCCATGGTTTCGTCAGACCCTCGCCTTTCCTTCCCTCTTCCTTCCCCACCTGCGAGTCGGGGGGTGTCCGAAGAAAACCGAAAAAATCCCCAGACTTTCTTTCGGCGCCTCGTTTAAAGTGCACGAGAGATCGTTCATTTGCCTTGCGCCAACCACATATTACCCTGATGGTATCACCCCGAATGAGCGACTCCCAGACTACCACGTTTTACATGGAAGATATCAGCCGTTCGTCCTAGATCCCTCGCCCGTCTCTCCAACCTGAGGGTCTGCACCCATCAGCCTAGCGCCTATCATGCGACCTTTCACCTCCAGCGCGAGGCAACGGGCCGGCGCTCCCTCCACATCAGCGACCCCTACGAAGGGTATCCTTCGACCACCCTCTATTCTCGGACGTCGAAAGAGCGAACACGCTGGTCTCGATTCCGACCTGGCCGACCCACCATCGAGTCCCACCAAACGACGCAAGGTATTCATCGACGAGCTGAATAACAAGGTGATTGAGTTCGGTGATAGATCTCTCGACGAAGTCAACATGGAGGTTCGAAAAGCTCTAGAAGAGCATCTGATGGGCGAGGATAGCGACTATGACAACCTGAAGGAGATTTTCGCCAACGACAAGCGCAAGTCGCCGTCCGACTTGGGGGGCGACAGCGTCGTGAAGCCGCAAGAGCTTAAGCTGTACATCTTAGCTTTGACGAATTGTGTGCCACTGCTCAAGAACCGGGCTTGTAACGGACTTGTGCGCAATGTTCTCCAAGTGTCATGGCTCGGTCGAGATGAGAACTTTTACAAGGTCTACCTCCAGCTCATGGCGGCATTGGTCAGCGCTCAGGGCTCCTACCTATCCATTGTTCTGTCCACCATGATGGAAAAGTTCTCACACTCCAGTTCAGCCGACTGGAGCATACCCGAGTATCCTTCAGTAACGAGAGAAGCCATGCGTGAGAGATTGCACGGCGCATTGCGGTATCTTCTCAAGATGTTCCCGGCTGCAACACCGGTTCTACGAACACTGATCAGTGCCAAATTCCCCTTTGCCGACGATCCTCAACGAGCCCACGTCGCATACGTTAAGAATCTTCTGGCGCTCAAGGAATACGCAACGGAACTCGATTTGGATATCGTTGATCTTATCCTGCAACGGCTGGTGGCTATCGACGTTCAGATGCAGGTCGACCTCGAAGATCTAGACGACGAACTGACGGCGTCAGTCGCATACGCTCTGGGCAAGTCATCAAACACTGGGTCTTGGGAGGGTGATGAGATGGACCTGGGCGAAGTCCAAGACGACGATGACGACGACGACGAGTCTGTCGATAGTGACGATTCAGATGTTGATGATCAAGAGGCCAAGGCACGAACCGTCAAGAGCAATGTTGAGAAACTGGACGCCATCCTCGACACACTCTTTGAGTATTACACCCCGCACTTTGCCGACCCTGACTCGGACGACGCCTATTACGAATATGCTCTACTGGTCCAGTCATTCGGCAAGTTTGTGTTGCCGACGTATAAGTCAAGACATACCCAATTCTTGCTCTTCCACTTTGGGCAGCTCTCAGAAAGACTACGCGATACATTTGTGGGATCATTGATGCACATCTTTACCGAACAGAACCGACCAGCTTTCGTACGACAAGCCGCAGCCACATATCTTGCTGGGTTTGTGGCAAGGGGAGCTCACGTACCGGGAGACTTGGTTCGGACCATCTTCAATCTCTTACTGGCACGAATGAAGTCGTACAGGTTGAGGCACGATGCGCAGTCACGAGGGCCCGATATGAAGCGACATCAAATATACTACTCGATGGCACAGGCCATATTGTACGTATACTGCTTCCGTTGGAAGGACTTGGTCGTTTCAGTTCCAGAACACGTCGATCCGGAAGATGCATCGTCTTATCTAGGCCACGAGCTTGAGTGGATCCACGGCCTGAAGGAAGAGCTTGCGAGCCACGTATACTGCCGGATGAACCCTCTCAAGATCTGCTCGCCTGCTATAGTGGACGAGTTTGCCACCCTCGCGCACAAGCTGGGACTCATGTACATATTCCCCCGCCTCGCGGAGAACCAACGTCTCCGACTCTCGCAGTTTGTTTCTGATACATACGGCAACGGAGGTGCGTTGCGAGACACGGGCGGTGCGCAAGGGGAAGAGGCCCACCAACTGGACCCATACTTCCCTTTCGATCCCTACCAACTGCCCGTCAGTAAACGTTGGGTCCATGGCGATTACGTGCAGTACGAGGCTGTGCCTGGGCTCAACATGACGGCGGAGAACGACAGCAGCGATGAAGAAGACGAGGACGACGAGCCGGATACGGATGTTGACGAAGATACGGCGACGGCCAGTGAAAACGAAGACGAGGACTGAGCGGCGACTTCAGCCAAGGGTCAGCGAATAAGATGAGGATAGGCGAGACAATTGCACCAGCACCAGCACGGGCAGGCAGGCGTTGGGTGGACCCGTACACCACACACAGGTCACTCGTCGTTCATGGCGTGGGCGACTGACAGACCCCTCCCCAGCAAGGCGTTTCGGGGTTTGATAACTTGAGGCTATGGATGGTGATCATGGATGGAGCGTTTGTTTGCAGCGAGTTCGGTCAAGATGGCGGCTTATTTACTTGGTTGTTCAGGTTGGCATGTGGTCATTAGCGTAAATTTGTCCGAAAAGGGTCTTTCATCACGATGAGTGTCGCCTTGGGATGGTGAAGTAACCGAGACTGTCGTGGCGCGAGAACAATGCGGCAAACAGACCTGGTGCGTCTGCGTCTGCGACACGGGCTACGCCGACAATGTGTTGATTTGTTTTGGTGTGCTGTAGAAAAGGAATGTTGCGTTGGAATGGTAGTGAAGAAGGGCCTCATAGTAATGAGCCCGTCACGCGCGCCCTGACTCTCATGATGTATTCCTTGGCATGGAGCCCAACCGAGCCTTTTTTTTTTTTCGTCCTGCGCGCTCGCAAGACAAAGCGAACCTGAAGCTATCTGGGGATTACGCCACGGCGAGAAGCGAGATGGTCTTATCACTGCAGGCGGCGTCGGCGTCGTCTGTTTATGCGCTGTTAAGACGATCCGTCCGGGATGTCACAATCCCCTTTCATCTGGACACCTCTTTGCAGTGTCAATAGCGGGGCGCAAGCGCAGCAGAGTGATTGGGGAATCTCGGGGCTTGGCGAGCACAGGCGGCAGCATGATTGGATAATGGAGGTTGGCGCAGCTACAGAAACGCGAACGCGAGGTCCAATGACGGGGCCGTGCACCGATCTCCACTGGGAAAATACGCCATTTCAGGTCCAGTTTGTTTCAACTGTCGGGGGAAAAGCCAGGGGCCCGACACACTCGTCGGGACCACAGTGGGAAGATAAGAGAAGATGGGGAGGAAGGAAGGGGGGGGGGGCTTCGAAAGAGATGCCGGCACTTCGAACGCATGGTGGGACACGCAAGAGTCGCTCCACGACGCAAGATGAGGTGGAGAGGGGGGTTTACGAGCGACTGTGGTTTCGTGGTTCGCGGTTCGCCATTTCAAGATTGAAGTTGGTTGTTAGCGCAACGTCGACAAGGGGGTGGAAGGGGGGGATGGACCAACCGCGTCGCCGGCGTACCTGCAGCAGCGGGCAGGCGGAGTGAGCAGGTGGGGTGGAGATGGCTCAGTGGCCGCGGCCTCCAAGACGCCGGGAAAGCAGCTCAATCTCCCTCGTCGGTGAGTCGATGGTTCTCCTGGCCCAGCCTGGTAAGAGTCTATGGCGATTGCAATGGCACGGGCCAGCCCCCCTCAAGGTCATGGTCAGGGATGTGCCATGGCAGCTCGGGGGGTGAAGGGGGAGCCTTGCTCGCCCGTCTGCCTCCTGCCTGGCTGGATTCGGGGCGCAAGGGGCGATTAGCCCGTCCTTCCCTCGTCGCGATCCATGTTTTCTCACCTGATCCCTCCACCCAGTCTCTACCCTGCTTCCTTCTCTTTCACTCCTTTTTCCCAACGAAGCCCTCAATCGTTTCCGTTCGTTGCGCTCCATCTGCCCTCCGTCGCTTCCAACTCGAGAGTTCGCTCTCCATTACATTCTTTTGAAACCAGGGCCGGCGCATATTCACTCGTTATTCTATCGAATCAAGCAGCAAACTTAAACGGCACTCATCAACGCCCTGACAACTCACATACAAAACTACGCATCCAGGCGAGACTCCAAGGACAGACGACCGCCAGTCATCATGAAGTCCATCGTGCACCTCACTCTCGCGGCCACGCTTGCCGCCACTGTCGCTGCTCAGCCTCAGCACCACCACCAGCATCAGCAGCTTCACAAGAAGCACGTCGCGTCGCCTGTCGAGAAGCGTGAGCCTGATGCCGTCACCGTCTACGAGGTGGGCCCGACGGTGACCCTGTACGAGCTCGCCGGAGAGCACGTTGCGGCCGAAAAGGCCAAGGAGGGCATCGAGGACGGTCTTTACGTCGTCGTCGGCGAGAGCAAGCCCGAGTACACCCCGCCGCCGCCTCCCCCTCCCCCATCCACTTCCGAGGTTCCCACCCCGACGCCTGTCATGGCGGCTCAGTTTTTCGAGTCCAAGGAGCTGTCCACCTCGACGCCACTGCCCGAGACGACCCCCGAGCCCACGCCTACCACGAGCTCGGTCGCCCCGCCTCCCACCACCACCGCCGTCAAGGTCGACAAGGGCAGCAGCAGCTCGGGCGGCCAGGGCATCAACTCCAAGTTCGACAGCGGCAAGGTCAAGTGCTCCCACTTCCCCTCCGACTACGGCGCGCTCGCCGTCGATTACCTGGGCACCGAGGGTTGGATCGGCGTCCAAAAGGTGCCCAAGTACTCGGTCGGCGATGCCTCCATCAGCTACATCGAGACGGCCGTCAAGGAGGGCTGCAGCCCTGGCTCCTTCTGCTCGTACGCCTGCCCCGTTGGGTACCAGAAGACCCAGTGGCCTTCGGCTCAGGGCGACACGCTTCAGTCTATTGGTGGCCTCTACTGCAACGCAGACGGTTATCTTGAGCTCAGCCGTCCTGAGTACGACACTCTTTGCGAAAAGGGTGCCGGCGGCGTCTGGATCCAGAACGATCTTGACGAGACCTCGTGCGTCTGCCGCACCGACTACCCTGGCACCGAGTCCATGGTCATCCCGACCATTCCCCAGCCCGGCGAGAAGGTCGCCCTGACCAACCCCTCGGCCAACGATTACTACGTCTGGAACAACCTGCCCACCACTGCCCAGTACTACGTCAACAAGAAGGGCCTGCCCGTTGAGGACGCCTGCACCTGGAACAGCCCCGTCGATCCCAAGGGTGCCGGCAACTGGGCCCCCATCAACATCGGGACCGGCAAGGCCGCCGACGGCAACACGTACATCTCCATCTTCCCTAACTTGCCTACCAGCACGGCTCAGCTTGACTTCAACATTGAGATTATTGGTGATGTCAACACAAAGTGCGCTCTCATCGACGGCCAGTACACTGGTGGCGGTTCCACCGGCTGCACCGTAAGTGACCGCGTCTTGATTCTGTGTAGGACATATCAAGCTAACCATTGGCAGACAACACTGGCTGGCACCAAGGGCGAGGCCATCATCCGCTTCTACAAGAATTAAGCGGCGACGATGGTTTCAGCGACTTGGGATCGTCTTGCGTGGCCTTGGGAGGCGTGAACTGTTGATACCTTTGGACGATACCCTGGACTCCGGAGCGCATGGGACTGGCACCAGGACGAACTTAACTGGCAACAGCCCAATCGTTTGGTCTCGCGCATTTTTGCTTCACCTCATTCGGATCTGGCTGTGCATATGTTTCGTGAATTGGAAATGTTAGGTTGGAGAGACGACGGGTTGACATAGCGGAAGACATCGGATCGGAGACAGAGAAAACAGACCAAGGTTATTCGGAAAGGCAAAAAAACGACGAGGACGTTTCCGAATAGTCAACCGTCTGTTGCTAGACAATTTCCTTTGTTTATTCTGCTTTTCTTACCTCGATCTTTGTGCATTTGGCTTGCGCGCTTGCGCTGCTTTGCTCTATGGCTGGCCGCGACAGGGTGCATTGGTGGACACCGACTACCTTGTCGCGCTTATGTGCTGTGTGTATGGCATCGGAACAGATGATGCTTCGTCCGTGTATGTACTTTACTGCTTTGGCCGACCTATATAATTCCGATGTGCAATGCGATGACGTTCAATTTGCCTTATCTCGGTGGCTGATGCTGCCCATGAGAGAGGGGGGGGCGCTGTGGAGTGGGGAGTGCGGCATTGGCGGTACCTCGAAAGATAAGCAGGTCTCGTGCATGACTTTCGTAGTAGTGACGCCATCACCGTTGGCTGTATCTTTCTCTACCTCTCGCCTTTCCACCTCGGTCTATCCCTCTCGTCTACAATTCGTGTGTTTGGAATCGGTGATTGGGGCTCAAAGGGGTATGCTGCACAAGTCTGAGCGCATCTCGCTGCGATTGAAACAGAACATTGGGTTGACCGTCGCTTCGGCACACCACAACTACATCGAAAAACGTCAGAACCCCCGATTCCTTATCTTTCACCATCCTCGCCTGCACTCGGTTCAAAACACGACTGTGCGACTTCCCTCAAGATGTCGCTCCATCGTGTGGGATCTCTCGAAACCTTCCAAATTTTGCCCCATGCCCCAGGTTCACGACGCGGTAGTGATGCCTCCAGTATACGTGCAAGGAAGCTGAGTTTCAATCCGCTGCCAGACGAATGGGATCCTCCGGCCTCCAAGTCCGATGTCGTACAAGCTGTGTCCGGCTTTGAGGTGCCGCAATGGAAACGGATCCGTAAGTGTCGCTATGCTTCTATGTTTTCCCTCTTGCTGATTTCCGATATCGTCATGTAGTACAGATCGCTGTTACTGTAGTCTACTGTCTCTTCGCAGCCGGCGTTGTCTTTGGATATGCCGCACTGAAACCGGTGCTGAAAGCAGAGGGTGCCTACCGAGATGTTTGCTACGGCGATGAGCCTGGTCCAACGCACGGAGACACTTGTGTTGAGATACATTTGAACCTCATGTTCACTGTAGCTGCCGTTGCTACCAATGTAGCGGCGCTGCCTGTGGGCGCCATTCTCGACCACTACGGTCCGCGTGTGTGCGGTATTGCTGGTAGCCTCTTCCTCGCATCTGGTTCTCTCCTCATGGCCTATGCCGACGAGGTCTCATTTGACGGATTTCTGTTGGGCTATCTGCTCCTCGCACTTGGAGGGCCCTTCACCTTCATCTCATCCTTCCAGCTCTCCAACGCATTTCCTCGCCACTCTGGCCTTATCCTCGCCCTGCTGACGGGCGCTTTCGACTCATCCAGCGCCCTGTTCCTTGCCTACCGCCTCATTTTCCAGGCTACCGACGGGTCCTTTGGCTACCGCCAATTCTTCCTCGCCTACCTCGTCGTACCCGCTTTCATACTGGTCGTACAAATGACCCTGATGCCCAAACAGTCTTATAAGACAATGGGTGATCTTGCTGAGCAGGCAGACCAGATGGAAGCTGCCATTGAAAGAGATGACACTTTGGATGATCAGATCGACGAGAACACTGCTCTCCTCCGCGAGGAACAGCGCTCTCACCGCCAGACCGTTCTGGACGACACTCAGGAGTTGATCGGTGCTCAGGGCGCGGATGAACAGGCCCGGCGCGAGGAGAAGAAGAATTCCATATCTGGAGTCTGGGGCGTCATGCACGCCAACACAGCTTTGCAACAGATTGCATCGCCCTGGTTCGTCCTCATCTGTCTCTTCACTGTCATTCAGATGACGCGCATCAACTACTTTGTCGCCACGATCCGTGCTCAGTACGAAGCCATCTTCGACAATGTCGAACAAGCCATTGAAGTGAACAACTTCTTTGATGTCGCCTTGCCCGTTGGCGGTATCTTCTCGATCCCCTTCATCGGCCTATTCCTTGATCATACAAGTACCTTCATCGTCCTCGCCGTCCTCGTCACCATTGCAACTGCCATTGGCGTCTTGGGCATCCTACCTTACACGTGGGCTGCCTACACCGGCATCTGCCTCTTTGTACTATACCGCCCATTTTACTACACGGCCGTATCCGACTACAGCGCCAAGGTCTTTGGCTTCCGAACCTTCGGCACCGTCTATGGCACCATCATCTGCCTCTCTGGTTTACTGAATTTCTCCCAGTCGGGCCTGGACTATCTGTTTCACCAGACTTTCCGAGGGGATCCGGTGCCCGTCAACGTCATACTGTTGTCTGCTGGCTTTGCGGTCGGTATTTTGCTGGTTGTATTCGTGGGTGTCCGGACTAGAGGGTTGCGGCGCAAGGTACTGGAGATTGAGGCCGAAAATGCGGTACAGGGGCACTAGAAGTCGCCACACAAGCCTCACTATTTGTGTCTAGTTGATCCCCCCTGGAAGGGGACGTGGAATCATTCTGAGCATTTTCATCATCAGTCTGAGTCTCTCATCAACACGGACCAACCATACGGGCGCTGTAGGCTGCCAAGTTGATTAGTGGCATTCAAAGATGGCGGCAGGGTGGCAACCGACAAGTCGCATCGAAACAAATGCCCGCAATGGTTTAGACGTAGTAGCTGACATACAACGTCACTTGGCCTACCCTCAAAACTCAAGTGACCGTCAAGTCAGCGTCAGTGGATTCAACTTTTTCTGATCTCTGTGAAGCGATGTTGCCTCGGTGAGATGAGGGGGAAATAAATGATCTTGGTTGAGAGGAAGTCATAGTGTATTCGAAATCATGGGTCCTCAAACTCCGTATCTGGCTCGTCAAAATACAACGTATCATCCTGAGAAACACCCCCTCAAAGCTCCATGGGAATACCGATCGCTTCCTCCCGCAGCTTCCGGAGCCCGTCGTCCCTCGCCTCTCTCTCCTCGCGTAGCTGAGCCTCGACGTCGTCCCGGATACCACCAAGATCAGGCGGGATGACCTGCGACTGGACGCTCGGCGCAGCCTCGACGAAGCGCAGCTGCTCGTTGACGTGCTGCACAATTTCGTGCAGGCGCTTCTGCGGGTTCTTGTTGACACGGGGCTCGCCTAGAATCTGCTCGAGCGTCGGGAAGAGCTCCTCGTAGCGGAACTGGTCGCGCCACGGCGTGTGGCTCGGAATAATGGGCGCAATGCGGTCCTGGATGCCGGCGGCGATGCTCGTCTCGTAGGCCCAGGCGCGGGCCACGTTTCTCGGCGTGTAGCCGCCGCCGCCGAAGAGGATCATGGGAAGGCCAAACTTTTTGCAAAATTCGACGCAGCTACCGTGCCCTTGCACCTGGAGGTTGAACTTGCCAAGACGGTCGCCGGCGAGCGAGTCGGCGCCGCACTGCAGGGCGATGGCGCTGGGACGAAACTTTTCGATACACTTGCCGATAACGTTCTCGAAGAGCCATCCGTATTGCTCGTCCGTGATGCCATCGTTCAGCGGGACGTTGACCGAGTGGTGCGCGCCCGGGTTGTGCTCGTTCTTGGGGCCATTGTCGTCGAGGGCGCCAGTGCCGGGGAAGAACGTGTCGGGCGCGTATTTGTGAAAGGAGACGGTCATGACCCTATCGGTGGAGAAGAATGCTTCTTCGACGCCATCGCCGTGATGTACGTCAATATCGATGTAGAGCACGCGGGGATAGCACCGGAGGAGCTGGAGGATGGCGACAACAATGTCGTTGATGTAACAGAAACCGGAGGCTTCTGACTTCTTGGCGTGGTGAAGCCCACCGCCCCAAGCTATTGCAATGTCAGACTGCTTCGAGCAGATCTTGCGTGCCGCGTCCAGGGAACACCCGCCGGACATGGAGCAGTAGTCGTAGAGGCCCTCGAACAACGGACAGTCGGAGCCACCAAGGTTGAACATGAGCTCCGGCGTAGGGTTCTCAATATCTCGGGGCTGCGCTTCGGGCATGACTGTTCCCAGAAAGTCGAGGTAGTCCTTGGAATGAAAGCTGTTGAGCTCCTCAAAGGTTGCAGCTCTCGATGTGTAGTTGTCCATGGCAAAATTCATGCCGTAGGAGAAGACCAAACTTTTCGACAAGGTCAGACGCCAGGGCTTCATCGGATGGGTCTGGCCGAAGTGATGCTTCTCCATCTCCGGATTGACGTGAAAGGAGACATTATACCCCTTTGGCCTCGTGACGCCCATTTCCTGTGCATACCGCTTGCATTTACCAAAGTATTTGGCATTGTCCTCATCGCTGGGCCGTCCAAGGGGGACGCTGTATTCCTCCACGATAGGATCCGTTCCTATTGTATGTGGGAGGTAATTTGGTTTCGAGCGGAACCTGTAAGGCGGTGTGACATTGGACATGATGGCGGCAAGGCGAGCGGCGCCTGTCACTCAAACTGTCGAGACTCACGTGTGGGCGAGCTGAGGTTAGATGATGAGACAAGGTTAAGATGTGGAACGTGCAGGAGGACGCGAGGACCTGAAGTCGTGATTTGTAAGGGGGAGGTTCAAGACGTCACCGCCAGCACAATGAGAAGTACGTTGATCCACTGGCTATACAGAGGCGCATCATTTGCCGAGCTGAGTCGCAAGTATCGTGACAACGTTGTCGTGTTGAAGACGTCGAAGACAAATCACCTACAGAGATCCACGGATGCAGGCGCGGCAGGTACTTAGCTCGTGCGCTTAGGTACTTGGGTCCACTGGATACATGGTACATCTTCGTGGCTTTATGTACCTTAATCTTGCTGACTGTCGGTATGGTCTCCCGCTGCCCAGACCTGGAAGAGGGCCCTGAAAAATGGGCGTGCCTTCCGAGTGGGTCGGACGACATTGGATCCAAGTTCCTCTGAGAGCTCGTTACCCCTTAACGGCGCGGTTTACCGTGTGTGCACATGTAACAGCCGATGCAGGCTACCAATTTCCTAAGTCACTCCATGAGCCTGTGCGACCAACCATCTTGCTGTCATTGAGGGGCAAACTGGGGAGGCTGAAATTTCCCTTGTCACCTCTGGTCCGCGACCTCCAGTCTTGCCATCCTCACACGCCAGGTCCCAGGCGACTACGACACATCTTCGCTCTCCCAACGCTCGTATCAAGAGAACCGTTGTACGAGAGCAAGCGCATCATAACACGCCGACTCTATTCCCAGCCTCCATATTTTCTTATCATCACCACCCTTTCCCCCCTTTCCCACAGGTGAGCCAAGTCACAATTGTCACTTGCCATTTGCATAGGACGCTGGCCTCCCACCTCCACATCTGCACACTCCATCTTGCCTCTGGCGCGCCATCCCCGGTATCGTTCGCGTACCCCATCACAATTCCCATCCGTCCTCTTACAGCCTCTTCTGTCGCCTCTCCTTGCCACGTCTTTCAAACACCATCACTGCCACTACCGCACCCAGTCTGCTTCTTCTGCCTCCGTTCCACGTCGCTCTCCCTGGCCCAGCGAGGATTTCCCCGCGCCCATCTGCTGCCACCCATCGAGCCTGCTTCTCGCGTCGCATCTGCTTCCACTGAACATCGGGGCGCAGCCCCTCCGTTAACCCGATGCCTAGAGACGATCTGTCGATCGACTGGGTCAGGAAGATGCCGGCGGCCGAGGCCCTCGACCCAGCTATCGTCCTCGATGACTGGATCAACCGCGTCCAGAACCTCCCCGAGGAGATCCGCTTCATGCAAGACGAGATTGCCGACAAGGACAGGCAATACCAGGAATGTGTCAAGCTTGTTGACGACCGTGACGGCAAGATACAAAAATGGATCAAGGCTCAAGGCAGCCATGAGGTCAACCCGAAGGAGGAAGGCCTGAGATCGCAAATCCGCGACAACTTTGCGCGCGCGGACAGGCTGGCAACCGAAAAGATCAACTTGACGCAGCGACTACAGGCCAACATGGACAAACATTTACGAAACCTTGACCAGCACATCAAGCTACTCTACGATCGCGCCGAGCCTGGTTTTAACGACCCCGACGAATGCCCCTCTCTTCTGAGGCCGAGTGCTGCAAACCACTCTGCGCCGTCCGCGCGTGCCGTCAACCCCAGCAGCCACCCCTCCGCGACCGCGGCCGTGAATGCTACGCCTCTTGGGCCTTTAGTCAACTCCGCCACCCCGACCGCCGCACGCGCGACCAACCCTCAAGTCCGAACCGCTCAGGCACAACAACATGCGGCTTCCGCACCGGCAACGCCGGCTGCGAGTATGATTCTCAATCGACAGGCACGCGAGACTTCCGCCGGCCCGGGGAGTGGGGCACCGAAGCGTGGACCTCGAGCCAACTCTGGACTGGGCAATCTACCTTCAGCGTCCAGCGCACTAGCCAGACACTCGTCCCTAGGTCCCGGGACTCCAAAGGGCTCTGCGGGACCAGGGACGGCCGCCGCCACTGTTCGTGCCGGCAGCGCTGGTCCCCGGTCCGCCTCTCAAAAAGCGCTGAGCGTGTCAGGCCTGGGGCGCAAGGGCACTCCGAACGGAGTCAATCGGAAAAAGGCACCGAAGTCGTCACTGTCACGTGTGAAAAAGTCTGGCAACAGAAATTCGCCGGCGTCTACGGCAGAGAGTGAGTTGTCGGAAGCGGAGAGTGCAAGCATGGACGATGGCGATGAGCGGCGACTGGACCGAGCCAGCGGCACACCCAACCGAGAAGGCAAAGATGGAGATGGCGACGAGAGCATGGGTGAGGCGGACGACGATGATGCTGGAGATGACAAGAAATACTGCACATGTCAGAATGTTAGTTTCGGCGACATGGTGGCTTGCGACAACGACGACTGTCCCTATGAGTGGTTCCATTGGTCCTGCGTTGGTCTCAAGAGCGAGCCCAACGGGACCTGGTATTGTCCAGTTTGTACGGAGAAGATGGGCAAGAAGAAGTGATTACACGGCACAGGATCAACCAACCATATGGGGAATGGCGTTTTTGACTTGATAAATGATACCCAAGGGAGGAGTCAATGTACGAGGTTGATGGAAGCATAAAAAAAACCCCAGTAGCGTAACTTGAATCGTACTGTGCAAAAATTAGCGAGCTCATAAAGTGGCGTCCTGGAATCAGTGATATATGTGCTACACACGCCAGCCGAGTGTCTCAATTCTATCAGCATAACAAGACGACAAACAATAAGCGTAGCACGGATATCCACAGTCGGAGTTTTGCTGTGGCATTGCGGCCTTTATAAAAACCACAACGCACCGAACCCAAAAGAGCCAAATGCAATGGCACATGGGGGATATGGCGAGACGTCATTCGACCAAAAAAAGCTCTCCTATATGACAGCACCAGTTCTAGACCTAGTGAACCGCCACTCATGATAAGACAGCCGAAGCAGCCAATCTAGACTGTAGCACCTGAGGCCCGTGTTGGAACGGGTCAGCAAATTGCGTGAGGAATGAGGAGTGGCCATAGCTTTCGCCCGGTTCTCTTCTTGTCACTAGCTTCCAGACGACAAGGGAAGGGGGGGGGGATGTGGTCTGGGGAGGGAAAATCACAAAAAGTCCGCCTCTCGTTTCGTTCCTCGTTTCTCGTGTTGAAGGGGGGGGGGGTGGGGGGGGGGGCATTTCAGCGGAAGCGAGAGTGTGACGAGATATATTCGGAAAATTCAGGGTGGGTTGTTGCAGTAAAGGCCCGGAACGATGTCCTCCCTGAGCGGACGGGACAGACCATCGGATTTGAGCGATGGACAAAAGGCTGATGGAGGGCAGCGGGGGGCAATGGAGGGGGAATTGCTCGCTCTTGTTGGGCGGTTGGGCGGCAAATGGGTGGGAAGGTGGGGGGTTGAGCACCTGTAGGACATGGGAAGGGGGGCGAGAGCTGCAGCCTGGCAGCGCCACCATATGTTTACGGCACCTGTTGAATGCTCAGCGAGAACGCCAGTCTTGCATGGAGGAGAGGCATTATTCTGGTGATTTTTTCTCTCTTTTTGTTTCTCCTTAGAACCCCGTAGCCGCGCAGCAGGTGGGACCGCGGAATCTCGATGGAGGCGGGGGGTGGAGGCCCTGGGGGGCCCAGAGCAGCGTGGATGTAGGAAATTGGACATTGGCAAGGCAGTTCCAGTTCCCACAGTGATAGAGGATCTGTCTGATCCATGCTGCCAGGTTGAATAGTTACTTGACCAAGGAAGCCGGTGCCTCCTGAGCTTCCCTGCTGCTAGGTTGTCCAGCTTGTGATAAACCATAAAACTACCCGGCCTACCCCCCCTATGCTGTTGGAGCCGTTTCCCCTTCCCCATGTTCTTTCTGGTTCACACATCAATCGTTCCCACGTACGTTTGCACAGCTCGCAAACCACCGGTCAAGCCAAGGTAAGCCATGATCAGACCCATCTTTCCTGTGGACGGCTCCGTCGATCACGCTCTGAAGACAATCTGTAATGCGGACTGCCTTACCTGCCTGCCAATGGGCCGCGGCGCAAGTTCCTACGAACTGTGAGCGGCGGACAGGCTCGGGGCAAGCGTCAGGATGCAGATGGCAGGAGCATGTTGCCCGTACTCGTTGTGCCTCCCAAGCTTACCACGTCCAATTACGTCAGGCACAGGCAGCCCAGCAACAACTAAGGACTCGAGCTTCTGCGAACCCCGCCATCCCTCCTACTTTCTCCCCCAATTCCTCTCAACCTCATCGAGACTTCGTATTTCTGGCCCCGTCACTTTGCTCGCCAGGTTCTTCGTCCATCACAGCTCCCCAGACGGTTCATTTCAACGATATATACAACACATCCTTGAAAAATGGCTTCCGCAATTAAGAGCGCGCTGCCTTCGCACCTGTCACCCCTTGCTGGTGCTGGCAATGGCGGCAAGGATTCCGGCAACGAGCAGGAGTTCACCTCGCGCCACCACGGCAAGACGAGGTCGCACATGGTGAGTAGCTGCCTCTTTCCGTTCCCTCCAAGTTTCCCGATTTCTCGAACGACGTCTGGTTTTGGGCAATGCACGCTTCAATCGCCCCGAGGCAGCCTTTTCCCTCTTCTGCGAGTTACCGTTTGATTCGCGAGATTCCGTGCGTGTACATTTGTGCGTTGTCTCGTGGCCAGCCGCGTGGCCAGCCGCAAAAAGCTCACCAGGGTCCAGTCGACTCTTCTGCATCAGGCAGACTGACCGCACTGCTGCGATTCTGTTGCTAACTCGCCCGCCAGGCTTTCGAGAACACTTCGACCAATGTCGCCGCTGCCCAGATGCGCAATGCGCTCACCCAGCTTGCTGAGTCCGTGGAGGACCCTGAGCAGAAGAAGGTCAGTCGACCAAGCTCGCAGTCACGATGATTGGCACGCTAACCAATGCTGCACTGTAGCTGTTTGACACGGAGATGGACAACTTCTTCGCCCTCTTCCGTCGCTACCTGAACGACAAGGCCAAGGGCAACGCTGTGTAAGCCACCCGTCGCTTATGTCAGTGCCCTGAAATATAGAACTATTTGCTGATTCGTGTTATAGCGACTGGGACCGCATCGCCCCTCCCGCCCAGGGCCAGGTTGTCGACTACGAAGATCTCGCCAATACGGAGGCCGTCCAGTTCCTCGACAAGCTGGCCGTCCTCAAGCTCAACGGTGGTCTCGGTACCTCGATGGGCTGCGTTGGTCCCAAGTCGGTCATTGAGGTTCGCGACGGCATGTCCTTCCTCGACCTTTCCGTCCGTCAGATCGAGTACCTGAACCGCACGTACAACGTCAATGTGCCCTTTATTCTGATGAACTCGTTCAACACCAACGATGATACCGCCGCTATTATCAAGAAGTACGAAGGTCACAACGTTGACATCCTCACCTTCAACCAGTCCCGTTACCCCCGTATCTTGAAGGACTCCCTCCTGCCCGTCCCCAAGAAGTTCGAGTCTTCCATCTCCGAATGGTACCCTCCGGGCCACGGTGATGTCTTCGAGTCCCTCTACAACTCTGGCATCCTCGACCAGCTCATTGAGCGCGGTATCGAGATTGTCTTCCTCTCTAACGTCGACAACCTGGGCGCCGTCGTCGACCTCCGTATCCTGCAGCACATGGTTCAGACTGAGTCTGAGTACATCATGGAGCTGACCAACAAGACCAAGGCTGACGTTAAGGGTGGTACCATCATTGACTACGAGGGCCAGGCTCGTCTCCTCGAAATCGCCCAGGTCCCCAAGGAGCACGTTAACGAGTTCAAGTCGATCAAGAAGTTCAAGTACTTCAACACGAACAACATCTGGTTGAACCTCAAGGCCATTAAGCGTGTTGTCGAGAACGACGAGCTTGAGATGGAGATCATCCCCAACGGAAAGACCATTCCTGGTGATAAGAAGGGCGAGTCGGACATCTCCATCATCCAGCTCGAGACGGCTGTGGGCGCTGCTATTCGCCACTTCAACAACGCGCACGGCGTCAATGTGCCCCGCAGGCGCTTCCTCCCCGTCAAGACGTGCTCTGACCTGATGCTCGTCAAGTCTGATCTCTACACCGTCAAGCACGGCCAGCTCCAAATGAGCTCGTCCCGTTTTGGCGACGCTCCCCTCATCAAGCTGGGCAGCGACTTCAAGAAGGTCTCTGACTTCCAGAAGCATATTCCTTCGATCCCTAAGATCATCGAGCTCGACCATCTGACCATCACTGGTGGTGTAAACCTCGGTCGTGGAGTGACTCTGAAGGGCACCGTCATTATTGTGGCGACCGAGGGCAGCACCATTGACATCCCTCCCGGATCTATCCTCGAGAACGTGGTTGTCCAGGGAAGCTTGCGTCTGCTGGAGCACTAAAATGTTTGTTTTCACCTCTGAGTTTGCTTTTCGATCGGGGATACTTACACAAGTCGGACTTTTGGCTTGGCTTGCTACTCTTATGGACAGTTGATAGGTTCCCGTGTGGGTTCCCACGTGCATCCGTTTGTGGAGAGCTTGGTCACCATGATGCAGACATTACTTGGCATTTAATAGGCAAAACGCAGCGTCATTTGAAACTTCACATGTGGACTGATTGCATCTAATGACAAGTTGACGTTTCTTTGCATGCCGTATAATCCCAGCTTGGCCGTTTCCTTATAGGGGCTGCCAAGCATCGTGACGAAGAGTATGGGAGCCGAGACGTGTTCCGCTTCAGCTCCGATGTTGCACGTGGTCAGCCGGATCGGGTGAGACTGATAAGGCCCGCGCTTCACCGACACGCCTCCTTTCTGAACCCGGTCGCAGCACGCACCCGGTCGGGCCAGCCTTGACAAGGAATGCAACGACCAAATTCGGCATTTGATTGCCTCAATTTAACATGTCAAAATGGGCAGTTGATGCACATCATTTAACATTCATCTAAAATCCACTTCACTGCAACATCCTTCGATTTCGACCTGTGTAATCACGTCGCTGGACCAGCCAATCTCATCTAGCACGACATTGATTCATTCTTGCGGAGGTCGTTAGTCGTTCATCTGGCCACTGAATGGTTGCATACTGCTGGAGTCGACCGACACCCTATCTCCAAGAAGTCTCTGAGGCGCCGAGGCAACACTTGATAGTCCGCCATGCCTCAGCTACGCTCCAACGGCCCAACTCTTGTCATCGAATCGTCATTGCCATATTGGCAAGTCAACGTCGAACCCAGTGCGAGAACAGAAGAATGCCCGGCAGCGCTGCTCAAACTTGATGAAAAAGACATTGGCATCCTGAGCACGCCCGATGCCGATTACCAAGCGCAATCGTGGGCCGAGGTGCGGCACCTGACGGCGACAAATCACCTCGAGCACTTCCGTCGTGTGCCGTCCGATTTACGCCAGTACAGGGTCTTCATCTACGATCTGAAGCAAGAACACGGCAGCGTGATGAACTTTGTTCTGAAGTACAGGTTGGGCTGGCAGGCACCCATCATACCAAGAGGCAGACCATTTGAGTATGGAGAGGACCTTAAAGTGCTGCACAACGACTGGCCGTATGGAATTGACCCACGGATCAGGCACTTGATCGTGTGGACAAAGTTCGACTTGGAAGAGGATCCAGAGACGGGCGACTTGAGCGACGAGACGAGGAGAAAAGTCGATGGGTACGTGAATGAAGCGTTTCGCGCTCATATGCCAGATGATACGGTAAGTCACCTTTCGCTGTGGGCACCGACATGGCACAAAGGGCGACATGCTAATGTTTGTGGCGCATAGGTCATTTGGTTCCGCAATTGGAGTAGTCTCAAATCCATCCATGCAGTCGAGCATTTTCACGTCATGCTCTTTGATCCGCCGGAGGGCTTCATCCAGCAAGTCACCGGTGGCGACATCCCGTTGTCTGTTCTTACGAGACAGCAGTAGGATGGAAAATGGTGTGGATTAGAGCTCATTGCAGCTGACCCTGTATTCCACGCGAGAAGCCTGGGCCATGGGGATGGCAGTTGGCTTTTCGAGGCCGATCTTCAGCTGCCAGCACTTTTCTGGAGCTGAGCTACACGCCGACGAGGTTAGGTGCTTGAAGAGTTGTGCGGCGAGAGTGGCGGCGAGAGCCTCGAGAGTCTCAAACGAAGACTCTTCCATTGTCTGTAAGATTGTTCAGTATTATATCTACCTCCAAAAGAGCCATATAGAGGGGTTACCTTAACAATGACGGCTTCAATACCCGTGTATACATCAGCCTGGCAGACAAACTGGTCAATGTCGATGTCAGCCACGACGACTTGCTTGGCCGTTCGCTCGTTGTCGTTCACCCCTATCAAGGTAGGGACGCGAAGTCGGTGAAATGTCAGACAGCAGGCTTTATAGGCAGTCTCCTCTGAACCATCCGGATAGGCGATTGAGTGAGTGAGACTCACGCCCTCACCGAGCAGAGAGGCCTTGGGGAGGGCTAAAGTTAGACTGGCGTACCGCACCTTGGCGGGGTCACGCAATATCCTTCGTGGCGGGTTGGCATCCGAGCTTTCGCCAGGATAGACGACATCATTCCCCAAGTGTTCGACGAGATCGTTTATGGTGATGCGGCTCGCCCCTTCGCTGTGGGCTCCCAGGCGGCCCAGGCTTGCCAGGACAGCTTTGGCCAGGAGCCCATAGTGAACAGTGTCCTCGCTGACAGTGTCGCTGCTGGCGGCAACATGGAAGGGCTTGGCCAGGGAAACCTCGGCGGTGACCAGAGCTGGTTGATCTTTGCCGGTCCGTCCCCAAGCGTCGGTGCCAGCCCGAACGACGGTTTGGAGGCTGCGGACATGAATGGCTGCATATGGCTCGCCTGTCAGGGTTCGGACATCCCACGAGGAACGCAAGCGACTGGTGGGAAACGACATATTGCCAAATAGAGAGCTTCTGGGGCCAGATCCTGGCCAGTTTGAACAGCTTCGGTAGGAGATGAGTGTTCTTATGCTGTAGACCGGCTGTGCGAAAAAGAGACTCACTGACGCCGCACAATTATGAGTGGTGACCGATGCCGAAGCTGTACGATGGCACGGCGGCTAGGGGCGGGCCAGAGTGGGCCCGGGGACAATCTGGGTGAAATCGGCAGCCTAAGGCAGCGCCAGTGTCGGATTTTTTGCGCTGAAAGAATGTGCAGATAGGAGCTTCCCCCAACAGCGCATTCAGGACCCCCGAAAGCTAGTAACCTGCCGAGTACCTCCCAGCCCTGGACAGGTGCATGTTTGCTTGCTTGCAGCTGCTGTTGCCCCTCCTTTCGAGACTGCCCCTGCCCCCCGACCCCCCGACCCCTCGGCCCCCTGCCACTCTGCAGCTCTGCCCCTCAACCCCCCGCCTTCGCGCCTGGCCGACTGCCAGCTACAGCCATAGTCTCCTCGTGCTCTTGCCCCTCGTTCTTGTCCCTCCTTCCCAATGTCCATATATCTACGGTCTTCTCGCCCAGCCGGGACAGTCTTACGACGTTTACACTTTCCTTCCAAACAGCCAATCTCACCTCAGATGTAAGCTTCCGAGCTTGAACCTTGCCCCTCTTGACAGGTCGATAAAAAGCTGACTCGATTGCTTTCCGCGCAGCTTCTCCCTGGGCCGGTACTCTAGCTCCTTCCCTTCCCGAACGACCCCTCGAGCTCCCCGTCCAGCTCGCAACCTCCCCCGCCAAAACCCATTCCGCAGTCTGCCCGCGCGCCAGTGCTCCTACAAGCGCAACATGTGCCGCTTCGCTGATGCCGATGGCACTTCCACAACCCAGGCCCCGACCGACCGCGGTCTGTTGCCTGGCAACATTGTCCCTCGTCACTACGACGTGACGCTGGAACCGAACTTTGAGACGTTCCGATTTGACGGTCTTGTCAAGATTGATGTGGACTTCGCCGAAGACTCCAGCAGCATCACTCTGCACGCCCTCGACATCGACATTAAGCATGTCGCGGTGGTCTTGGACGGACAGGCGACGACCCTGAGTAGCGCAGACATAAGCCATAATGAGGACAGGCAGACCAGCACGTTTGAACTCAAGAAGACTGTGTCTCAGGGCACGAAAGGCCAGATCGAAATCAAGTTTGAGGGTGAATTAAATGACAAGATGGCCGGTTTCTATCGTTCCACCTACAAGAAGGCCGACGGCTCCACGGGCATTATCGCAACCAGCCAGATGGAGGCCACCGACTGTCGCCGAGCGTTCCCCTGCTTCGACGAGCCTGCCCTCAAGGCCGAGTTTACCGTCACGCTGATTGCCGACAAGAGCCTCACCTGCCTCTCCAACATGGACGTGGCCGAGGAGACGGATGCCCACAATGGCAAGAAGGCAGTCAAGTTCAACAAATCGCCCCTGATGTCCACCTACCTCATCGCCTTCATCGTTGGCGAGCTGAACTATATCGAGACGACAGCCTTCAGGGTGCCCATTCGGGTTTACGCGCCGCCATCCGAGGACATTGAACATGGTCGCTATGCCCTTGATATTGCGGCCAAGGGTCTGGAGTTCTACGAGAAGGAATTCGGGATCGAGTATCCGCTGCCCAAGCTCGATCAGGTTGCCATGCCTGACTTCGCGGCGGGCGCCATGGAGAACTGGGGTCTCATCACCTACCGCACTGTTGAGGTCTTGTTCAACGACAAAACCAGCGGTGCCGTGGTCAAGGAGCGAGTGTCTTCGGTCATTCTGCACGAGCTGGCGCACCAGTGGTTCGGTAACCTGGTGACGATGAAGGAATGGCAGTCTCTCTGGCTGAACGAGGGCTGGGCCGAGTTCGGTGCTCGCTACTCCCTCAATGCCCTTCACCCTGAGTGGAAGCTCAAGGAATCCTTCGTATCCGAGGATCTGCAGTCGGCTTTGTCGCTCGATGGTCTCCGTAGCAGCCACCCTATTGAAGTACCAGTCAGCCGCCCAGAGGAGATTAACCAGATCTTCGATAGCATCAGCTATGCCAAAGGCTCTTGCGTTGTCCACATGCTGTCCGATTACCTCGGCGAGGAGGTCTTCATGGAGGGCGTGCGCAAATACCTGAAGCGTCACATGTATGGCAACGCCAGCACAGAGCAGCTGTGGGAGGCCCTGAGTGAGGTGAGCGGCAAGGATGTTGCCACCATCATGGGCCCCTGGACCAAGCATGTCGGCTACCCTGTTGTATCAGTCACCGAGAACGGAAGTGACGTTCGTCTTGAGCAACACCGATTTCTCACGACTGGCGATGTCAAGCCCGAGGATGATCAGGTCCTCTACCCTGTGTTCCTCAACCTACGCACCAAAGACGGCGTGGATGGCGAGCTGACCTTGAAGAGCCGGGACTCGAGCTTCAAGCTCGGCGAGGCTGGCGAGTTCTTCAAGATCAACGCCAACTCCGCCGGTTTCTACCGCACGCAATACACCAGTGACCGCCTCGAAAAGCTCGGCAACGCCGCTGACAAGTTGACGGTTCAGGACAGGGTCGGCCTCGTCGCTGATGCCAGCGCTCTAGCGACTTCTGGATACCAAAAGACCTCAGCCAGTCTCGGCCTCTTCCGCGCCTTGAGCAGCGCTGGCGAGTCTGAGTTCCTAGTTTGGGATCAGATTCTTTCGCGCCTGGGCTCTATCCGCATGGCATGGATCGAAGATCAGCACATTGTGGATGCCATTATGAAGTTTCAGCAAGAGATCACCTCTCCGCTCGTAGACAAGCTTGGATGGGAGTTCTCCTCGACGGATGGCCACGTTGAGCAGCAGTTCAAGGCGCTGGTTTTCGGCGCCGCGGGCATGAGCGGCAACAAGCAAGTCATTGCGGCTGCACAGGACATGTTCAAGAAGTTTATGGACGAGGGAGATCGATCGGCTGTCCACCCCAACATCCGCGGTAGCGTTTTCTCCCTCAACCTGAAATACGGTGGCGAGAAGGAGGTAAGTCTTTGGACACCAATGCAGCTAATTACGAGTTGCTGTGCTGACAAATTGCCTTTCCCTTAGTACAATGATGTTCTCGACTTCTACATGCACAAGGCCAAGAGCAGCGATGAACGTAACTCTGCGTTGCGCACACTCGGCCAGTCGCGCAAGATGGTGCAGCAGACGCTTGATCTCTTGCTTAGTGGCAAGATCCGAGACCAGGACGTGTATCTGCCCATCGGCGGCCTGAGAGCCAGTCGCGAGGGCATTGAGGGGCTCTTTGAGTGGATGCAGAAGAACTGGGACGCCATCTCGGCCAAGTTCCCGGCATCATCGCCAATGATCGGCAACGTGGTGGCCTACTGCGTCGGCGGTCTGAGCACGCAGGCGCAGCTCGACCAGGTGACCGCATTCTTCGAAAACAAGGGCACGGCCGGCTTCGACCGGTCTCTGGCGCAGGCGACGGACTCGATCAAGGCGAAGATGTCGTGGAAGGCTCGGGACACGGACGACGTGAGACAGTGGTTGGATTCACAGTAAAAAGGGTGGGGGCTTGGGAGAGGAGAATCAAACCTACCAGTCCGCGATGTTATTAATAGCCAAACCTCTCTCTGTATCATACTATTTTTTTTTTCCCTCTCTGAACCATCAGACATCAGGGAAACAGGTCCCATTAAGGGTCCTCCTGCTTTTGGGTGCGGCAGGGACCGGCGACAGCGGAGGTAGACCTGTACATGTATATACCCACGCCCGAGGTGATTTGCCACAGATGGGAGAGCTTGTGGCATCACGGCGTACGGCGTACGGCGTGCGAGAAACCCGAACCTGCCAAGGGAGGCTCTGAGAAGGGTGTATGGCCCCAGTTGGAAAAGCCGCAGAATTTGATACCCAGCAAGCCAGCAAGGCGCTCCATCGAATCATGAGCGCTAGTGGTGGGGAGCTCAAGGAATGCTGATGAGCTAGGCGGCTAGGGTCTCGTTGAGGGGCGCCTACGGTACGTTGGTGCGTTGGTGCGTCGCTGCGTTTGGTGGGTTGCTAGGTCAGGCCATGCATGTTAAGCAGGAACCCTGGATGACTGCAAACAGACACGGAACGACAGGGTTCTCCGATAACGGCTCTGATGCTCAACACAGGAGGAGGGGTCGGAGGGGCAGAGGCGAATGTATCACTGCCCCTCCTTACGGGCCCGTGCTCCCTTGAACTGATACAGTGCTCGTCTGTGGGCAGAAACCTACCTACCCCTCCATGAGGCGAAGGTGAAGTGAGCGAGCGTGATGGAAAGCCACAGAAACCAAGGCCACGCTCCACGTCAGGGAAGGAGCACGAAGGTAAGGCGGTAGAGAGGTACCTGACATTGGGTACCTACCGACCGACCTTGCCTCAGATTGGCGCCTCCCTGGCCATCTACTGGTAAGCCCACCCCATAGAAATTCAGCTCTCTTGCAAAACACCTTGTCCCACCTACTTCTACTTCTTCCTCTTGTTTTGACACCGTACTCAACGATTCCTGTAAATCATCACCAAATCTACCAATCTAGGTCAGTTCAGCCCCCCTTTTCCCCCCACGTCATCACCGTCCATGTCATTACACATTTGACACACGGAGGAGTCCTACCCTGTTGTCCCAAGATCCTAGTTTCAATCCCGCCCCTCCCCCCACCATAGCTTCAGAAACGGCCCGTCGAGGCCTTCTGGTGCTTGCGGCAATTCTCACCGTCCGAGCTTCGCTGAGCGATTTCTGAAAAGGCTTGGTGTTTTCCTGCTGTCATTGGATCAGATTTGTTTGTTAATTTGCTTACAAGTCCCTTTTCCTCTTGCTGATACTTAACTTGGCTGGCTTGCCCCTCCTCGGTTCGCGTTCAGTTGCTGACCCCTCCCTCCTTTCGCATCAGAACCATTTTCTCTAAAATCGCCCAACATGGCCATCAAGAAGATTCACGCTCGCTACGTCTACGACTCCCGTGGCAACCCCACGGTTGAGGTCGACGTTCTCACCGAGACTGGCCTTCACCGCGCCATTGTCCCCTCTGGTGCCTCCACTGGCCAGCACGAGGCCTGCGAGCTCCGTGATGGTGACAAGGCCAAGTGGGCTGGCAAGGGTGTCCTCAAGGCCGTTGAGAACGTCAACACTGTCATTGGCCCTGCCCTCATCAAGGAGAACATCGACGTCAAGGACCAGACCAAGATCGACGAGTTCCTTATCAAGCTCGATGGCACCCCCAACAAGAACAAGCTCGGTGCCAACGCCATTCTCGGTGTCTCGCTGGCCATCGCCAAGGCTGCCACCGCCGAGAAGGGTGTGCCCCTTTTTGCTCACATCTCGGACCTCGCCGGCACCAAGAAGCCCTACGTCCTCCCCGTTCCCTTCATGAACGTCCTCAACGGCGGCTCCCATGCCGGTGGTCGTCTGGCCTTCCAGGAGTTCATGATCGTGCCCAGGTAGGCTCTCCCGATCCCGCGAATGCTGTCTGCAGATCATAGTTATTGACTCTCACAAGCGCCGCTCCCTCTTTCTCCGAGGCTCTCCGCCAGGGTGCTGAGGTCTACCAGATCCTGAAGAGCCTGGCCAAGAAGAAGTACGGCCAGTCTGCCGGCAACGTTGGTGACGAGGGCGGTGTCGCCCCTGATATCCAGACCGCCGACGAGGCCCTCGAGCTCATCACCGACGCCATCGAGAAGGCCGGCTACACTGGCAAGATGAACATTGCCATGGACGTTGCCTCCAGCGAGTTCTACAAGGAGGACGCCAAGAAGTACGACCTCGACTTCAAGAACCCTGACAGCGACCAGTCCAAGTGGCTCACGTACGAGGAGCTCGCCAACCTGTACTCCGAGCTCTGCAAGAAGTACCCCATCGTCTCCATTGAGGACCCCTTCGCCGAGGACGACTGGGAGGCCTGGAGCTACTTCTACAAGGCCCAGGACATTCAGCTCGTCGCTGATGACCTGACTGTGACCAACCCCATCCGCATCAAGAAGGCCATTGAGCTCAAGGCCGCCAACGCCCTGCTGCTCAAGGTCAACCAGATCGGTACTCTGACCGAGTCGATCCAGGCCGCCAAGGACTCCTTCGCCGATGGCTGGGGTGTCATGGTGTCCCACCGCTCTGGTGAGACTGAGGATGTCACCATTGCCGACATTGCCGTCGGTCTGCGTGCTGGCCAGATCAAGACTGGTGCGCCCGCCCGTTCCGAGCGTTTGGCCAAGCTCAACCAGATCCTCCGCATCGAGGAGGAGCTCGGCGACCAGGCCATCTACGCCGGCGAGAACTTCCGCAAGTCTGTCAACCTGTAAATCATGGTGGACCGGACAGCGGGTATAATCGGGGCGAACCCTGCAGGAGAGGTTCCCCCCCCCCCCCTACGGTGTGTGAAGGATGAAACGCCTATTCATGATGATGACCCAGGGACTGAACTCTGAAAAAAAGAATAATTAGCCTAGTCAATCGAGGACCAAATGACCCGCAAAGTACGAGTAACACGATGCAGTTTCTTGTGAGCATGACGGTGATGATGAAGCCCAAACATTGGTTGGTCCTGCCCAGTTGGGGGAAGCTCAGCAAGTGTCCTCATAGGTGCATATCCTCCTGAACCCCACACAAAGACTAGCGGGCGATTCAGGGATGGCACGCACCGCAGCGAAACCCAAAACCTGGAATCTCACCTTGTCAATCATGAATTCACAACAAGGCGAGATTCGCGAACAAATGGATCTCTTCTCTTCATACATTTCTTCCCTTCTCATGATATCCTTTTTTGAATAACGACCACTTGTTTTCCCTGCTTCTCTAGCCTCAATAGTAACCATCTTGGCACCTTCAGCCTGGATCTGGCCCCACGGCCTCACCTTAGCTTCATCTCACCCGCGTCGGCACACCTAGAACTTGCCCCCATACTGCTGCTGCACAGCACGTCATCGGCTACGCTGCATACCTACTTCCACGGCCCGGCAAGCAATGAGCGGGCGTACCCGGAACGGGACGCGCATCCAGCTACCGGCCCAGGCCGAACGGAGACCTCTCCTCGGGCGCCATCGGACAACAGACACTGATCTGCTCTACAGTTGCACCGCCAACAGCCTGCACAGCCACCTGCCCGTCTACACGAACATCCATCGCATACGCAGGGATATCATATCCATCGTCGAGGACTATCTCAGTCTCGAGCAGCTGCGTGATGTCAGGATCAACATCGCCGTCGTTCGACCCCTGGTGGACAAGTTGTACGAACTAGACGACATTTCCATCGTCTACTGTCTGCTGGTCAATCGGGCCCAGTTCTTGTATGAGCAGTCTCACTTGAACAACCGCCACAATGTCAATTTCAGCCGGGCGACGCTCGCCGAGCTCGTGGCGACGAGGATTTTGAGACGTTTTAGTGAGGACAATGAGGGCGCCGACGGCTTGCTCCTGTTGTCCAACATTCTGGTGGCCGGGTTTGAGCCCTTTCAGAACGCCCCGGAGGAGGTACGTGAAGAGGCCCAGGCAGCTTCCGACACGACCTATAACCGGACACTGCCTTCCTTGGAGATTGCCATCCTCACCGAAAGCAAGTACTTCCTGAGCTCGACGCCTTGTCAAAAAGTGTAGGTGATGATCTGGGGCTATGGACTGAGGTCCGGCTGGCCCTATCTAGGCAATGCCGATGCTGATTCTTTGCAGTGTGGATGCTATTTACGAAGGGAGAATCATGTACACGCCATCAAGCTACATCGACATCATCCCTGACCACTACAAACACAAGCCAATCTCGCTCTACAACCCTCGTGAAGGCCCCATGCTGAATCAGTATCGCCTCATGGTACCGAGGACCAGGAACATCCTTGACGTACTCTCCTTCTTGATTCTCCTCTCATTATACCTCCTCGTCATGGCAGAACGCAGCCCGGAACACTTTGGGTATCTGGAGGCCTGCTTTGCTATTTATGCGTTTGGTTGGTCTCTTGACCAATTCGCGACTATTCTCGAGCATGGATGGTGTGTTGCTTCTCGCTTTGTCCTTAGAAGAGACGTGACCCTAACGATGTGGCAGGCACGTGTACACGCAGAATCTGTGGTCCTTTCTAGATGTTACGTTTATCGGTATCTACGCCGTGTACGCTTTTCTACGCATTGATGGTGCATGGGTGGATGACCTGGTGCCCAAGCAGCAGGCCCTCGACGTCCTCGCCATGGCGGCGCCGGTCCTTGTACCGCGACTGGCTTTCAACCTGCTCTCGGACAACATTGTCGTCTTGTCGCTTCGCTCCATGATGGCTGACTTCTTCCTGCTGACATTGCTGTCCGCCTGGTGCTTTGGTGGCTTCTTGCTGTCGCTGCTCTGGCTTGGGGAGGGCAAGCATCCTCCTGTGTGAGTTTTCACTTTGGCAGTGTCTTTTTCCTCTGTTTGAGTTTGCCCTGACTTGAAGCAGCGATATCAGCAAGTGGATGCTCTGGATCTGGTTTGGTCTCGACGGTTCAGGCATAGAAAAGTCGGTGCACTTTCATTGGCTGCTCGGACCTGTCTTGATGGTCGCTTTTGCCTTCCTCGGAAACACACTCTTCCTGACCATTCTGGTGTCCATGCTTTCGAACACGTTCAGCAAGATTGTGGCCAACGCTACAGCGGAGATTCAGTTCCGTCGCGCAGTGCTGACACTTGAAGGCGTCAAGAGCGACGCCGTCTTCTCATACCAGCCGCCGTTCAACATCTTGGCCGTCTTCCTATTGCTGCCTCTCAAATTCGTCGTCAGCCCTCGCTGGTTCCACAAGATCCACGTGGCCAGCGTGCGAACTGTCAACCTGCCGCTTCTGCTCATCATTGCCATCGCAGAGCGGCGTGTCCTGTGGCCGGCAGAGACGTCGAAGAAGGAAGCGGCAAATCACCTGATTCCGAGGCTTAAACAGTGGTTCTGGGTCAACTGGCGCATCACGGCGCACCGTGACATTCGCGCCGTGTTTGACCTGCCGCCACCTGAATCTGTCGAGGACGACATTGCCGTGGATGACGAGCTGACGCACCACCTCATCCGTCGCCAGTTCACGCGGCAGCAGACAAGCGACTCTATCCCCCAGAAAGGTCTCAACAGGCGGGACTCAATGTTCCCGGGAGTGACGCCGAGGTTGCGCGGGTCGTTCACGGGGAGCGAGGACATGCACGACGTCAACAGCCGGCTCGAGTCGGTTGAGGCTGCAACGGCGAGGATCGAGAGCATGCTGGCGCAGCTGTGCGGAAACCAAAGCGACAATTCCGAGTCCAATCTAGGCATGGGCGAGGCCAGCACTTTGCAGGATGCGGACTCGGGGGACGGCGATGAGGATATTGATTAGGTGGGCTTCTGCTGTGATGCTGTGATGCTGTGTTGGCCAGTGAATCTTTGAGTTTTTAGGAATAGGAAGCAACGACGCATTGGCGAATTGGTGCTTGCCGGAATTGCATCTGGACAACACACGGACGTGTCTAGTTATTGCTGCTCTCACTGGTTGGCAGGCAGGAGCTGTTTTGTCTTCACCCTGGTGGGGATCCAACTTGTTCTTTACACAACGCATCTAAGATCAGGCTCGAACAGGCCACCCAGAAATCAAGAAACATATCCTCCTGGACAGACTAACAAGAGAAACTCCGATCAAACCGAGTTTTACCTACGAACAGAATTTGACCAAGCTGGCTGCTACGACCGACGACCAGACCATTGACATCCCGCCTAATATATCTGAAAATCCCATGTGCGAGGTCAGCCTCCATCAGAACACGCACTGCAAGTGCCGCTGGGGCGAGATCGCCATTCCTTGTGCGCCGGGCATGGGCTTCAGCACGTGTGGACAGATCGGCAGCGGTTTGGCGCGCCGGACACCGACCTGGCAGTCGAGCGCGTACCGACTGTGTCCGGAACACGGCTGGCAAGGCTTATATGATCGGAACCAGGTGCGCATGATCGCAAGTGTGCGGAGGGGGGTCAAGCTGGGGTCGGGCCCGAATCGGCAGGACACAGGATGGGAGTTGCCTTGTGCCGTGATGTAGGCGCAGGCGATGCCTTCTTCCCGCAGACCGCCGAACTTCCCAGAACGCCAAGAACCACATGATTCTGATGCTTGGCTGAAGATTTATATATCATGGTCTTGTGGCTCTTTTCACTCTACAGAATGGGCTGAAAATGGCATCGGCGCTCGCGTGACTCCCTAGCTGCTAGTTGCGCCGTGGCATGTTTGTAGCGAGTGAGGGTGACCATGGATGAATAGATGATATGAATGAAGAGCTTTCAAGTCTCCGTCCCTTAGAGTCTCAGTTGCGAATTGTCTGGCTTAACATGGTACAGGTTGACAAGGTGCTGTGTCATGCAAGTTGTTGGTGGTCGTTTACGACAGCTCAACACCAAAGGTCCCACATCTCCTCACCTGAAAATCTCAAGCTCACGACTTGACCTCTCACGACTTCATAGACAACGAATCAGCACCTCATACACGCGAAACTTCCTCATCCGAGTCGTTCACAATCCAAATAGCGCGCAAAAGCGCAGTATTAGAATAAGCAAACGGCCAAAATGCTTCCGACACCAGATACGTCCCATGTTCCCTACAGCCGTGTGTACGAGCCCTCGGAAGATTCGTACCTTTTTCTCGACACTCTTTCCAGCGCCACCGAGACATCATTCCTCCAGCGTCGCTTCGCCGGTTCACCGCCTCACGTGCTCGAAGTCGGCCCAGGCTCAGGCGTCGTCATCGGCTTCGTAGCCGCCCAAGCACAGCACATCTTCGGAACCCACGCCATCCTCACATCGGCCATCGACCTCAACGCCTTTGCGTGCCGCGCCACCAACGCGACGGTCCTGCGCGCCGTCGCCGACAACCCCGTCACCGCCGCCCCTGCCTGGCTCGGCACCTCCATGGGCGACTTGACCGCGCCCTTGCGCGACGCGTCGGTCGACGTCCTCCTCTTCAACCCGCCCTATGTCCCGTCCGAGGCGCTGCCTGTGCCGCCGCCGCCGCCTGTCGGAAAGGCGGGCGAGGGGAGTGAGGTGCTGACCTCCGTGACGGATCGCACGCCGACGTACGATGAGGACTCGTACCTCCTCGCCCTGTCGTATGCCGGTGGCAAGGACGGCATGCAGACGACCGACAGGCTCATCGATGCGCTGCCGAGGGTCCTCTCAGCGAGGGGCTGCGCTTACGTGCTTCTGTGTGCCCAGAATAGGCCCGAGGAGGTCAAGGCGAGGATACGGGGGCTTGGTGACGAATGGAGAGTTGACAAGGTCGGCGACAGCGGGAAGCAGGCGGGGTGGGAGAAGCTGCAGATTATCAGGGCATGGAGGGAAGCGCGCGCGACGGGGGCGTGAGGAGACAGCTCTTGTGACGCTATCTGGTACATGATCATAGTCATGACTGCCACATGGGCCACTCCAGCACCATTCTCTAGACAGTGTTCTCAACCTTGAGCAAAATTGGCCTCGTCACTCTATAACATGCAAACCGTTCATTGGAGTCTCGTTAAGTCCGGGCCGGGAGAGCGGATCATGAGGCATAAGATGTGCCAAGGACAAAGAGAATCGCCTCACATGCTGTTGATATCCAGAAAGCGGTCGCCGCAGCGGCGGCAGATGTAGTATTGAGTCTCGTCGTTGTGGTTCTCTCCCAAACGCCAAAACAAGCATCCCAGTAGCGTCCCTTAGCAGTTGTGCCTTTTTCTTCTGCCTGGCCTACGCCGAGAGTTTGGCGGCAAGGTCCCTCCATAGAAGCTTGCGCGCCGTGACCGCGTTCCGTCTTACGAAGCCGCCGACGCTACGCGCGGGTGGCACATCCCAGGCCGACGTCAGGTCCGCCCTCACCGCCTCTGTGAAGCCATGCCACGAGCGCCCACGGCTGCCAGCGCACCCATCACGATCCAAATACCCGAGTCGCGACAGCGGCGGCCCCCTCCGTCGCCAGCCCTTCTTCATCGCCTCAGCCGCGTCCCCTGCCGCGTCCCCTTCCGCGTCCCCTACCCCGGGGCCCGCCACGAGGACCGCCGCGGCCGCCCCTGTCGGTCTCCTTCCTCGCCTTGTTCTTCGGCTTGGGCGCGTCGTCGACGAGCAGCGTGTCGAGCGGCAGCGAGTCGGGCAGGATAAAGTATCGAATCGTCGAGCCGCGAATGTTCATCGTATCGAGCGCAACGGGGTCCTGGCCCTTGGTCGTCATCTTGACTATGCGGAGAGCCGTGTTCATCTGCGGCGAGACGGAGGAGATGGTGCCGTTGACGATGGTGCCATTCTTGAGCTCGATCGTGACCGTCTCGTTGGCACACTTCATCAGGAACCTAACAGAGACCACACCTGGTCAGCCTTTCATCTGCATATTCTGCCAGCGGCGGCTCGGGCATCATCGCAAGCTCTGGTTCAGAGCAAGGCGGGGGAGGGGAGGGGAGGGAAGAAGTGGTGGTTCCTGCTGTGAGCGAAAGCTGGGGATGGACATACCTGACGAGCTTCATGGTGCCTTTAGGTCAGGATCAATTGCCTGGGTGTATGCGTTGTGGCTGTTGCCTTGCTTGATGGGGCGCGACGTCTCGAATATTGGACGTTGTCGCGGCTGGCGGTGTTGCGAGGCAGGAATAGTGCACCGAAGCAGCAGCAGCAGCAGCGCCAGCCTCAAGCCGTCAAGCCGCTAACCAGGGACGACCCCAAAAGGCTAGGTGGGTGGGGCATGTTCATAAATCACGTGATGCGAACCTCGCCATGAATGTTGAGGCAGGTACCTGACCTGGAGAAATTTTGACATGACATCGAAAGGGAAAAAGAGAAACCTTGGCTACGTTTTTCCAAAGGTCGTCAGATTCTTCCGAATCTTCCGTGTAGCGCATTGGGATACGCTCCCAGGCGCGTTGCGGCCGTCTCCACGGACACAAGAACACACCTCGCCTCACAAGCACGGCATTCATTCATCTCCCAAACAAGGCGCATAGATACCTTTGCGTATTGTTAATATAGTGCCCAAAATTCCACTATTCTCCTAGCCATGATGTGTGCTTGCTCAAACCTTCTTCCGGGCCTTTTCTACACGCGCGAGCTCCTTATCAATCCTCTTGAAGCTCCAGCTCTGCCAGAACGAGGGATCTGAAGTATGTTGTTAGTCAATGGACAAGCTGCACGCAGCTAGCCCCAAAATGAGGTGGTGGTGAACTAACAGAGGAAGGGCCTCAGGTCTAGCATGTTCGGTTAGCATGTAGAACAGTCTTCATAATGAGGCAACGTACCGAATCGGTTATCATCGGGCGAGTAGTCATTACTATAGTCCTAGTCAGTGTTCTACGCCACCATGAAGGTTCGGTACATTGTTCCTACCAGTGCACTGGAACAAGTTAGCTTGCAAGAAACCACCAAAAGTTGAACTGATAAAACTTACAGGCTGGTGTGAGGGTGGTAGCCTTGTGACGCGTGATCGCACTATTCTCTAGTTAGCAGTTCTTCGCGGAACAGACCTGGTCGCCTTCTGCGCGGCAAGGGGCTTCAACTCAGTTGCGGAGGGTAACATACTAGTGCACGAAGAAGAATTTGACCTTCTGCGCAATTTCTGCGGGCTCAAGCATGGGATTTTCATCCTCGGGACCCTTTTCTCGGTCCTTGCCCCAAACATGGACGAGGTGCTGCCACATGGAAAGCGGTCCCATCTTCCTCTCTTTGCGGAGGCGGCCTAGGTTCATTCTGTCAGCATTCACTAACCTGTCGGTGGTCTCATGAATGCCATACCAAAAACGGTCAATTCAGCGTATGACATTCCCATGTCCGCTTCGTCTGACTGGACGTAGTCCTCGGTCACGGGCTCTAGTTCAGCAGTAGGCGTCGCAGTCAGGAACTCTTCGAGGCACGGCATTTCAAATTGAACCTGGGCCCACGCAATGAAGCGTTTTAGGTCCGCCTTGTCGATGGATCCGATAGGGTTGATGTCCGCGGACGAGCAATCGTACTTGGTGAGGTAACCTCTCAGTGCTGTACCATCATCAGTCCTGCTTAAACAGTTCGACGCCGATAAAGAGAGAGTGATGCGTACCCTCGCCAACATTGGCACTTCCAAGGACAAGCAGGCCGCCTCCACCCGCCAGCTTGCGTGTTGTCGGAAGGATCTGGGCGAACTCGTAGGCAGTCTGGTACGACACCGTCAGATGAGATACCCGTCAAGTTTTCAACCAGGTGTCTGTCATACCACCATCCGCGTGCGTGCTTGAATGTTCTGCAGCATCAAATTTTCTGATTCAGTTCCACCCTCCACCTTAAATTTCGCGTCAAAGCCGAGCGAAGACTTGACAAGATCCTTCTGCGCTTGGTAGACGGAGTCAATGTCCAGGTTGATGTGATAACTGCCCATGGCCTGGGAGAGATCCTTCGCTCGCTGGCGCGTCTCATGAGAGCTTTGCTTCGACATTCCCATGTAGATCGTGTGGAGAACACGGTTGCACAGTTCCTGGGGCGTCTTCGGTAGGGGAGCGTCGCCAAACATGCGCTTGACTGTAGCGATGACCGTCTGGTTGTCATCCGTGATTGCAGAGATGACGAGCCGACACATCGAGAAGACAGACACAGCTGGTAGCAAGTCTTAGTGGGGTCCAGAGGGAGCTCAGCGTAGAGAACCACTCACTTGTGGCACATGAGTCCAGGCCGCCTGAAAGAGGAGCAAGACTAAGGAATGTCGTCAGACGCGGTGGGAGGGAACTTATCGATCCGATGAAACTTACTATCCCGCGGACTTGCTCCGGGCCAGGTAATCCCAAAGGTAACAACCGGCGCACTTGAAATTTCGTCAGCATTCACGGATACGAATTCGGCCGAAAAGGGTTCACGCACGAGAGCAACTTCTTCCTCAACCGAATGGAACCTCGCTTCCCGAGTCAGGGTCGGCCGGCGGTAGAGGTCCATATCATCCTCGTCTGGGCTCATCTCGAAAGAGGTCTGAATCCTATGATACTTCTGGGTGCTTCGCGCTGCCTGTAGCGCTCGAGACATGCTCGAACGATAGGCTCGGACTTCCTCAAGATCAACGGTTGCAGTAACGACGTCCACATCATTGAGTGAAAACTGAGGGCTTTGCGCGAGCACCTCTCCGTTACAGAAGATCATGGCGCAGCCGTCAAAATACAATCTCTCGCCGTCGCCACCTATGAAACCCGTCAGCCTAACATTTGAGGTGTTGTATCGCAGACATGAGGCGTGACAGAACAGCTCGGGAGCGTGCCTGCATCTGACCCAGTATCAAAGTAGTTCCACGCAGGCTAAGATAAATACCTTGGACGTTTGAGTACACATATACACCTCCGCACTTGCGAGTGGCTTCTCCAATGAGCTTAAGTCGCACATCGAGCTTCTGGAGGCTGAAATGGCTGGCCGAGCTGTTGGTGATAATCTCCACGCCATCCAGGGTCATCGGGATATCTGAGGAAGACTGTCAACAAGCTGTACGCAAACGACATCCTGAAATGCTCACGTGGTGCCTGAGGGGACCACATCTCCTCGCAGGTCTCCGCGCCAAAGCAGCTGTCGGGTGTGCTGACGACGCAATCGCCAAAGGGCACATGCGTGGCCCCCTGGAGCTTCTGCAAGCTCTTCGGCAGGTGAAACTCTTCCCACTCTGTCTGTCGAAGCCACGGGGTGAAGTAGCGCATCTCGCGGTAATCTAGCCTGTTAGCATGGAATTCGTCTGGTCACCGGCGATGCGGTAGAAGGGCAGACTAACTGCCGTCATTTGCCAAATCTGTTTTCAAGTTAGCCGTTGTTCACGTCATTGCTGAAAAAATCAAGGCAAGTTCATCGCAAGGGAAGGTCGATATCATGCCGTTGCCATACTTACGCATCTTAGGGCGGATGAAGAGGATCTTGCCATCAAGACATACTACCCTACAATTGTAGTTCACATTGCGGTGAGTAACGGGAAGACCGATATCCAGGAGAATTCCATGACAATCCTCATCTGATAGAATCCGAACCAACATCTCCATACAGTGAAGATAGAGATCTGGCTCTAAGAAGTGGTCATTGCAAGAGTAGCCTGATATCTCTAGCTCCTGCAGTCAAGGGTCAGGCGCCTGTGCAGAAACATGTAGACCTCGTACGCCGGCTGGGCGAGGAATGAAGTGTCACGCACCGGTCCGACGCGGAGTCTTGCTCCGGAAGCTTTCGCTTGACGGATTGAGTTGATAATCCTCTCGGTGTTACCCTGTCATGAGCAAGTAAGCTGGACGCGCCTCAAACCACATTTCCAGAGGGCAGTACCTCAAAATCTAGCGCCCATTGTCTCAGCGAGCAAGCGGCGACGGTTACGAGACGGCCCATGGCGGAAGACCTTCGTGTCAAGCGACTCTTTGGAATGAACTGGACGATTGGCACTCAGGACGAGTCACCGAGGTCTGTGGCGCCGCAATCGGATCCCTGGCAGAGAAGGTGGTTTGATAGGTCTGTTAGGTCCGTCAATTGAAGCTAGAAGTTCAATTCAGAGACTGCAGCAGTAAGTATGCGGAACTTTGAATAGCTCGAAATGAAGCGGGCGAACCTTGAATCTCAAAATGTTGTTGATGACCGTCAAGGTGGACGGGTGAATCACCGCATTAGTCACCTTGACTTCTCCATCACGCCCCACAGTGCCACATCAGCTGGCTGGTGACACACATCAATCTCATCAACCTCGCTTCATTTGATCTCAGAGTCAAGGCTACTACCACATAGGCGTCTCATCTTGATTCGAATGTAGTTCCGATAAGAAATATCAATTTGCGACCCAATTGTTACTTTGGGGTCTATCTATCCACTATCTCTCCCGGAAAATACATACATGGACGTGGAGGTTTGATACAAGGAACCGCCACTGACACACAATGATCTGACCATACTGCAGCTTCAACACACCATATTAAACCTCGTCCTCACTTGGCCCCAGCTCGGAAGCTCCCACTCGTTCATCGCCATCTTCACGTCGGAGCTAGCCACCTCTACACACAGTCCTCTCACTTGCCGCGCATCAACCACAGTGCTATTGTGCCCGACGATCCGGAACTGGAGATTGTCCTGGAGGAACTTTGTCACCTCAGTTTGATCAAGCCGTCCCAGGAACCTCTGATCGACCGCCTTGAGCAAAGCTTTGGTCAATGGCACCGTGCCTGAAATGTGATTCTCGGCTCCCATACGTGGCATAGCGAAGACACCCATTGTTCCAACAAGATTCGACGACGCTTTCCAGGAGACCACGTCCTGAGGGACTGAACCCAAGAAGAAGAGGACGGAGAAAGATCCGTTTAATGCCCCGTTGATGACGCGAACGTTGGCAAGCCATTCGGTGTACGCTCCCCGTTCCAGCTCGAGCGGGGGCACGCGTGGCTCTGCTTTGGGAGACAGATCCGGGATACGATTCGTGATAGCGTTGGTGACTTTCGCATGCCATTGGAGCCAGTTTGTACCTCTGTTCGGAGAAACGTGCCGATCCATGCGCTTCTGTTTTCGGGCCAACATGGAGGGACTGGACGAGCCGTATAGGCGGTTTATGGCCAAGCTCACACGGGCGCGGTCGTCCATATCCACCCCTGAGATCCCTGCCGTGCTGAGACTTGATGTTTCGGCGTAGGTGTACCCAAAATCTTGTGTGTATCGTGCCATGTCTGAGTTCCAGAATTGACCATCGACGTTGGCCAGAAATGGCGTGAGGCTGGACGAGCTGTTCTGCATCAAGCCTCGCGCCATGGTGTAAGTTGGGACTGTAGTGTTCTGCTCCGTCACCCATGATCGTGGATTCAATACTTGCCACATGGCAAAAATCCGATCCACCATGGTGTGATGGAGGAAGAAAACGGGATCAAAGGCCGAGTATTGAAGGTAGAACAAGTGACCCCCATGCCCAACCTCGATGTGTATCTCGTCATGTAAGGACTCGAGCGAGTCAAATTGCGACGAGTCAGTCCATTCACCCCAGCGTTTATTGCTGAATGGACCGTAGTCGCGATAGTTGGAGAAGAGGTTGAAGAGCCGTTCTTGCAAGTTTGGGAGCGCGCGATCAACGGCTTGCGCGGACTGAGTGTTATTCGACGTGTTTCCTACGGGGGATCTTTTCGTCTCAGTCCATTGGGGAAACTAGAAAATCTGTCAGAGCTTCTGGTCTTGTTAGGAAACACCCCAATTGCTTACATCCCCCCAGCCGAAGACTTCAGGGTCCAGGGGTCGAAATTGGTAGCTGAAGAGGGGATTGGCAATTAGTTGTTCGCCATTGGGACCGTATACAGATAGAGCTTCTCGTCGGAACTCGGGTATATAAGCACTTTCACCAGGATCTGGGGTCACAGCCCAGTCCCAGTACGGAATGCGAAAGTCTGAGGCTGCCGCTTCGTATGCTGCTCTCTCGATGGGGTCCTTGAACCATGATGCAATCAGTTGAACGAGATGGAAGAGAACTTGCTGTTCTATGATTAGCAGAGATTCGCATCATGTGCCAGATCATATCATGGCAGGGTGTACCAATATGCCTCAGGTAACATACTTCGTACAGGGCTAGATAAGGGCGATGCCAGGTGGGGAAAAGAATAGACATATGGGCACAGTAGCCGTGACTGGCACCGTCAGTCACGCCCTCGACGCCATTCCACGGGACAAACGGGACTCCATGAATGCCTGAACCAACGCCGGGGTGAGTTGATGGTAATCTATGAGGGAGCGTGGAAGATTCACCTGTAATTTGGTACCATGAGAGCTCCTCATCCTGGTCGGTGTGCTGCATCATACTCAGAGCGAGAATGTAGAGATTCCATTTGCGGGAATTCTGTTTCAATTCCCGAATCTCTGGACGAACAGGTATGCTGCTGTTCACCGCTGGGAGGCCGGAGACCACGATTGGCTGTTCATTTTGCCGTTTTACCAAAGGACCTACGTCAAACCCGTAGCCATAGGGGCCAAGAATGCCTCTCGAGGCTGGAACAGCCAGGGCAAAGGAACAAAGCGTGGTTGCCTGAATAAGAACACGCAGAAGCATGGCGTTTAAGATTGAGGAGCCCTATTTTCTGGTAAAAGTCGAAAGAAAGTGGCCGGATAGCGCAAGTGATGACCAGGGTAGGGTTGGGGAGCTTTTGAGCTGTCGCAACCCCGCGTCAGATGAAGGCCAAGTCTGTGCAGAATTCGACAAAGATAACCGTCCTTGGGACGCAGAAAAATGTCGGGCGGTATCGCGTCGATGCCGTGGTCTCATTCAGGCAGGCGGCGGCTGCGTGCTCAATGTATCAAGCCGTTCAGGGGTAGGGGGTAACCAGGGCGAGTCGTCTGCAGAATGAGAACGGATCGTAAGACACAAGATCCAAGATAACCAAAACTTAATCTGTTCTTTAAGGGGAAGTCTCAGGGTCAAATATCACCAAGAGCTGTCACGCTTGCCCTTGCCGGTGTATCGGTGCTTACAGTTGAAAACCTGGGCGGCCTCTTACGATGGAGGTGGCGACGCGCGTCTGCTCCGAGATCTAGCCGGATGCGCGAAGCAGAAGAATGGATGTAGCTCATGGGAAGAGGAAGGATCCCAGGCGATAGAAGGCCGAGGAGGTGGAAGGTATGTTCCGAAAGCATTTGCTTCATCTGGTGAGTTCTTTCCCCCGAATGTCGCCAATCTCACCGTTGCTCCTGTGCAAACAGAAATAAGAGAAGTCTCAGTCAGATCTCCGACTACCAGCAGGTCAAGTACCTCTCTCTGGCTGTAAGAAAAAACCAGGAGAAAGAAGTCTTCACGCACCCTTTGCCGTTGCTCCTGATTTGTACCCTCCCCAGTCTGCCCAACGTTTTCCATATTGATGCCCCCATACTGACCACCTGAGTCGACTTTCACGAGAGCCTTATCAGAGTCAGGGCAAAGAGATACAAAGCATCAACTTTGAGTTCCCTTGCTACTTGATGACCATTCTGCCTATCGCTGCGAGCACTTGCCTGCGTTGGCTTTGTGTGCCAGAGGCAAATGATTACGTAGCTGTTGTATCATCCACACACGCAGATAAGCCTGTTTGAATTCTTTCCAACCACCAACACAAAGACCTTGAGGGATTGTCTCATCAATCAACGTTCGGTAACCTACAGATCTTGCGTCGCCCTTCGCACCCAACCAAGCCTCATCCTGAGAGGTCAAGTCTTGCCTACACGGCTACCTGCGTCCCGATATGCAATAAATCTACGCTGCCCCTCCTTCTCCACATCGGTACACTGGTAGCACGAGATGGTTCGTCAAGCCATTCATCCTCTTACCTTTTAAGATTTGCGTCCGAGTTGGTCTGCCTAGTCTGACCGCACACAGATCTGAGCATTGCAAAGCAGCAAAGCAGCCACTTGCTGCGAGACACAGTAGCAAGTGACTTTCTTTCCATTCCGTTGTCGTGAAAAAAGATATATTGATACAAAGTCAAAAGTCGTTCAAACCCCATTGTTACGCCTTGCCCAAAACGCCATCCAATGCCTTCATCGGTTTCAGCGCCCCCTTCCTCGGCGCATCCCGTTGGTCCACGCGGTACTTGAGCTTGACGCCCATGGCCGCCAGCTCGACGTCGAGGTACTTGAGCGCGCCCGGCACGACTACAACGGTCGTGTTGTCGCCGCCCACCCACTGGTTGCCCTGACCGTCCTCCCAAATCTCGCCTTCGATGCTGTCGCCCTCGAGGTCGGTCTCGTCGAGCCGTTTGGCGCAGCTGCGACACCGCACCGTGCTGATCTGCTTCTTCTTACCGACGAACGGCGACACGGTTGGTTGCACCGAGAGGAACGAGCCACACGACCGACAAATCCAGGACTTGGTGTAATCCGAGCAGTTGAGCAGACGGTCCTGCAGGAGGAACGCTGTGCCGTGCGCCAGCAGGGCGTCGCGCTCCATCTCACCGACACGGATACCACCACCCTTCTTCCTGCCCTTGATAGGCTGCCCGGTGGTCGGCACCACGGGACCCGTCGTTCGCACCTGGTACTTGTCGTTGACCATGTGACGCAGTCGCTGGTAGTACACGACACCAATATAAATGTCGGCCGAAAGCTCTTCTCCTGTGATGCCCGAGTACATGGGCTCGTTGCCGTGGTAGTTGTAGCCCGCCTTCATCAGCTGATGCCCAAAGTAGTCGGCCGCCGTGTTCTCCTCGTTAAACTTGAACGGCGTCGAGTCCTGTGCCAGGCCGTGTAGCGCGCCCGCCTTGCCCGCAAGCGACTCCACGAACATGCCGATAGTCATGCGCGAGGGGAAAGCGTGCGGGTTGATAATGGTGTCAGGCTGCATGCCAGATTCAGTGAAGGGCATGTCCGTGGCAGGCCACTTTTGCGAGGCGACACCCTTTTGTCCGTGACGAGAAGAGAACTTGTCACCGATGACGGGGGCACGAGGAACGCGGAGCTTGATCGATACAGTCTGCGCCGGCTCATTGCCGTTCTCGCTGCCGATGATGCGCACCTCCTCAATGAACGCCTGTTCCGACTCCTTGTACTTCTCGTATTGCGTCTGGCCGTCGAGGTTGGTCAGATTGCCGTTGAAGTCTGCCGTGACGGTGTGATAGGCGCAAAGAATATCTCCCTCCTGGACCATGCGGCCGACGTACGGAAGCCCGTCTTCGTCGAGCATGCTGCGGTACTCGCCCTTGACGAAGCTGTTGGGGGCGAAACCGAACAGCTTGGTGACTTGCTTGGCAGTACGACTTCTTGAGTCATCTTTGAGTGAAACCTTTTTCACCTTGTAGATGGTACCGTGTCCGAATCCGCGCTCGTGTGAAGACTTGTTCAAAATCATGGCGTCGTCCATGTCGTAGCCGGTGTACGAAATGACGGCAACAACCGAGTTCATTCCGTTGGGGAAATTGTCAAAGCCGTACTCATTATGCAGTGGCGACCTGACAACAGGCGTCTGTCCGGTCTGGATGCGGTAGAGCTTGTTGTCAGTTCGGTGTGCCAGAGCCGTCGCCGGTGTGCCCATCGTCTGCTTGCCCATCTGGCACTGGTACATGTTTCGAGGAGATTGGTTAAAGTCGGAGAAGGGTGTCATGTTGGCCAGGATGGACAACATATTGGTCGGGTCAAATTCGACGTGCGTGGACTCGCCGGAGATGATCTCCTTTTCCACGACGGCGATGGACATGTACGGCTGCTCATGGGGCCCGACATAATCTTGTTTCTGGAGGGGGAGGTATTTGACAGGCCTGACCATGCGGGCCGCCTTGGATGCAATGTACAGGCCGGGGTAGGAGCCTCCGTTGGAAGGAGGCACGTAGCCGATCTCGAGCTCCAAGGGTACGCCGTGTGTACCCTCGACCTTCCAGTACCGCAGCGTGTCGGCGATGCGAATAGACTCCTGGGGCGTGGAGAAGCCCAGCACGCGACCGTCGAGCATGACAACAACACTCTCGTCGGTGGCGGCACTGGACGTGCTCACGGCTCCCATTTCAGCTACCAAGGCAGGTAGAGTTGATGTGTCAACGGGATCCGTCATGATTCTACACTTGTGGGCAAGATGATTCAGCAGACCGCAAGGAGAACCATCGGGGGTGTGCACTGGACACAAGAAACCCCAAGATTCGGGCAGAAGCTTTCGGACCGTTGTGGTCTTGAGTTCCGCGAAGAAAGCACCACGATGAATCATCCGGAAGTGACTGATGAAACGCAGGAAGTTGAGCTTCTCGGCCACAACGGTGTAGCCGGCAGTCTGCTGGAGATCGAGACCAGACGGGCTGGTGAGGTTACCGGTCGACATGAAGTATTCGAGGCCAGAGCCAAGGCTCTCGTTCGCGAGTCGGAAGATGGTGGCAGGGAAATCCTTTTGGAAATCCTGAGAAGTAAACGTCTTGGCGGGGAATTTCCTGTGGTAATCACGCAGCGATGCGCGGACAGCCGTGGAGAGGAATTCGTCGAGGCGCTCCTTCAAGATCATGCCGTAGAGGAAGCCGCCGAGAAGAACCTCCTGGTTCTGGATGGCATCAGGGTTGTCCACCGAGCACTCGCCAGCAACGAGTGCATACAACTTGCGGATCATGAACAGCAGCATCTTAAATTTGTCGCTGTCTTGTTGTTCCGTGACATCGACATTTCCTAGATGTACGAGCACGATCCTTTTCAAGAACTCGGTACCAACATCGTAGTGGGACATAGTATCGGGAACGCCCAAGACAACGCGGAACTTTTCGCCAAGATACGCTCGAGTCTCTGTCTTTGTGTAGAGGCCGTAGCTGGTGTAGGTACGCAACAAGAGCTCGACGCGGTCGGTCAGAAATGTGTTCTGGGCAGACTTGGAGCCCTTGGAACCAATCAAACCCTCAAAGATTTCGCGGTCGTTCGTCTCGACGAGGGCCTTGAGGATCATCATGACTGGAACGAGGTATTCGTTTTTCCGCCAGGAAAAGCGGAAGGTCATGTTTCCGTCGGTAAGATAGTGCAAGACGTTTGTTTGAGAAGTTTCGTCGGGCCTAACTGAGCGAAGAATGATGCCGTGGGGGCTGTAGCCGGCGCCACGGTTGGCGAAGCTGGGTCGGTAGATGGCCATTGGGAAGTTTCGTCGGTTGACCTGGAGCAGTCGAATGATCTTCTCGATACCGTTGACGATGAAGTAGCCGCCTAGTTCTTCGGACTCTTCTTTCCTCTTCACCAGCAGATCGGGCGAGTTGCCCTCGAGATGACACCGGTTTGACTGTGAGAGGGTGAGTTAGTGCGCTCTGGAGAAAGAGAGAGCGTAGACCCGTGATTTGGCTTACATTGACCATGATGGGCATCTGCCCCAGATCGCGTGTGAACTCCTTGGCATCTCCATCATTGATGCGGAACTCGAAGGTGGCAGAGAGCTTGCCACGATAGGTGACGTGCCGTTCTCTGCACTCGGCAGGGAAGATCTCCCGGGTTTTGGCGTACTTGTTGGAAGGCGGCAGTTGTGACTTTTGAAGGCTCACGCCCTTGTAGCGGATGGTCAATTTATTCCTCTGGCCTTGGGGCGTCCGATCGTCGCCGTCGAGAAATGTCTTGGTGCCAATGTCGGCCAGGCCGTGATCGAGCAAACTCGGCTTGCCATCGTTGCGGAACAGGGCATTGAAGGACTCGATGTGTGGGCTCACGGCTGCCTGGAGCGCAGGATAGGCAGTGTGATCCTTGGGAGGGTTTTTGAAAAGATTTTCTCGCCGCAGCGTATTGTATTCATGGTCCCATTTCGTGTTGGTGGCGGAGGGAGCCATGGTGCCTGATCCGGGTCGGGGGGATGATTGGAAGGCGGGCAGATGGTGATAAAAGGCGGCGCAAAGACTCTAAGCAGCGCCCCAAGTTGGCATTGAGTGCATGCGCAAATGCTGTCGTCGCAGTTGGGCAGCGCGATCAGCAAATCGTGAGCCAAAAGCCTTGCTTGGTGGGTGTCTAGACAGATGCTCGAATGGCGAGCAGTAGACTGCACGATGAATTCAAATCGGCTCGGGAGCTCTCTACGATAAGACAGTGGAAAAAAAAAATTGATGGCGGGGAGTGATTCTACCAAATGGTTGGACGGATAAGAGACGGGAAGCTGTCGATGGCCCCACCGTGAATGTTCTGATAACGATAGACCCGCTGCCGCCTGTAACATGCCGTACATTGGTACCATTTCCGGCAGGCTGGGCCTCTGACAGGTTCTGAAGTGGACGGAGCATCCACCTGCCTGATCCCATGCTCATAGAGCCGTCTTTATCCTCGAGCATGAGAGGCACATCAAATAATAGAAGACATTCGAAGGATGGGCCTGTTTAGGAACACTCATTTCAACGCAGCTTAGACACACCATACCGCATGCATATTATATTGGTTCACTTGGCAATCGAGATTCGACCGTCATGGTTGCCAAGAAGCAAAATTGTGCACACACTTGAACTAAGGTAGCCTTCATCTCAGGGTGGCTAACATGGTGGGGAGCAGCTTGGATCTGGAGATCTGTGTCATTAACTCCTTGTCTCACAAGAGACCGAAGTGGACCGTTTTTGCTTGCAGGCTCAAACACACATGAGCTCCCGGTACGCCCGATCTCATGGTCTGAGTTGGCGTATTGGCCCATTGCATCAAGTTCGCCGTCGCTGAAGTGATGAAGCTGTCGGCCGACTCGGTGGCTGGATAGGTCGCATACCCGGTCCGCCCCATCTAGACATCCCACCATGGTTGAGGCCACGCGCACTAACGCCGCCCGTTGCCGACCAGGACGGAAAGCAGTGAGGCATGCTGCGTGACCTGCAGCTTGACCCCAACCGGCCGACACAAACACACGCGCGCGCTCACACACACACACACACACACACACACACACACGTAACCATTTTGGTTGCCAGCCTGCTGCGCAAGCCCCCTCGCAGGCTGCGACTCCTGGTGTTCGCTGTACATTTCTGTCCCAGTGCCTCAGCATGCAGTCACCTCGACGTATCATATTCATGTTGAGGCGCCCTGCAGACACGTTGAAAGACAGGTAGGGTGGCACCCTTACTACCTCACCTTGTTACGTGCCTACGTACCAAGGTAGCGAGGCTACACCTTAAGCTGGCGGCTCATTTGGGGGGCCTGAGGCCTCGGGCCTTGGCCTCTGCAGAAACCGGCCGGCCTCTCGACGGTTCCTGACGGCCCAATACAAAGACCGTCATTAAACAGTTGGCGGCCTCTTTACCTTGCGACTCGACTCGATTTCGTCGCGCAGGGGGTGGAGGAAGACTGTGCTGGGCGCGTATGAATGCATGTTGGTGAAGCTAGCCGCTCTGACCATCACGGGGCCAGACCACAAAGAAGTCATGTAAAGCGTACCTAGAAGCCTGGTCAAGGACGTCACTGGAACAAGCGCTGTCTCCATTTATTACTCCGTCCTCCTGCCCGTCCCGCCTCGGGCCGTGGGGTCCAGGAGCCGTTCACTACTAAACCATACCCATGAAGCCAGGCTAGGTGCCTTAGCTACTGCGGTCTGTCCTACTTAGCTACCTTACCCAAGCAGCCCAAGCTACCTACCTAGGTACGGTACCTACCAAACCTAGGTACCCACCCACCCACCTCACCTTATTACCTTACCTACCTACCTACCTACCTACCTTGCCTTACCCGACCTCAACCTCCACCGTCAAAAGCTTACCCATCTCCTCATCACACTCTCGGACAACATTCCTCAGAAGCTTGCTAGGCCTCCATCCCCGCAAATACTCGACGACGTACAGACATTTTTGAGCGACCACTGCCTGCCGTGTGGCCCGACCATCGGCCTCAAATTGCCTGTCACTCCATCGTTGAGCACTGTTCACCACATAGTGCGCACCGCCGGACACTGGGCACTGACGTGGTGACCCCGGCACGAATACTTGAGTCGAGCGTTGATTGCCATCATCGCATCTCCTCGTACAGCGCACACCTACGAGTCTTCAAAAGGGCGTACTCGGGAACTTGCGTTGCTCGGCTTCTCAAGCGCCTCGGTCTGATCGTGACTCTGATTCTGATTCTGCTCCTGCTCCTGCTCCTGCATCTGCAGCTGCCGTTGCTTGCTACTCCACATCTCATCGGCAGGAGGACACGAATGAGACCCTGGTCATCACCGCTACAGGGCGTTCGTCAGACTGCAAGGCTTTGAGCAGTCGCGTCGCATTGCTGCCGAACCTGCCTCCGACCTCTGCGATTGCCTCTACGTCCCGCTGGACTACCGTCATTACATCAACGCGGCCCAGCACAACTTGTGCTTCCTCTGTGGCTCCTGGTTCCTGCGCAGGTTGGCCCATACGTTCGGTTCGTTGCGGGTGGGGGCTTCGTGCGTCTTCATCTGAGCGTCACCTTGACTTCTGATCTACCCGTTGCCGCCGATTCTACTCTGTCGCTTGCAACTGCGTCAGGCGCGAACCAACACTCTCCACCTCTCACACGACCAAAATTCACACCCCTCCGGCGCCATTCCGTGCAGGCTGCGACCGCTGACCAGCTGTGACGGTCATACAGAGATACTCGCTCCCTTGCCGCCTACTCACTTCATCAACATCAACGCAGGCTTGCTCTGCGCGGAGAGCCTTCCGATCTTCACCTTAATACCCCACCCCCGCTGCCCCTCCCTTCACCGTCTATCCTGGTTGCGCCGAACATCACGCGGCACCCGATACAGCAGCCTCGCCATTTTGTCTTGTACCTCTTTGACCTTGTTACCCTTTTTTTTTTTTTTTTTTGCTAGCACAATCTTCGTTACAATGGCAGGCTTGTTCCGAAGGATGTATGATTGGTTGCTCAGGACGTTTTGGTGCGTTGATTTTTCCTTCCTGGAGCGTCTGTCGCGGCCAGCAACGCGCAATCTCGGTATTCGCTGACCAGGTATGCAGGGCAACGGAAATGGATGTGACCATGATCGGACTGCAAGCAGCAGGCAAGACGTCTCTGCTGCGTGTCCTTGCTGTGAGTATATTTCGCGACGCACCTTTGCCGCACCTGTTTCTTGCTAACGCGCCTTGGTCAGGGCGGCGAATTCACGATCGAGTAGGCACCCCTCCCTCCTTCTGCTATTTGCGATCTCTCAACCCTTAGCAAGCCCCAAGCCGTCGATACAGGCCCCCTTATTCGGTTGACGGTCCCGGACAGCGATGAACTCGGCTAACTGTCAACTTGTGTAGCTCGATCCCGACGGTCGGATTCAATATGAAGCGTGTGCAACGGGGACACGTCACGCTCAAATGCTGGGATATTGGTGGACAACCCCGTTTTCGGACCATGTGGGAGAGGTACTGCCGAGGAGTGAACGCCATCGTTTTCATCGTCGACATTGCCGATGTAGATCTGCTTCAGCAGGCCCGGGACGAACTCCATGCGCTCATGGAGCAGAACTCCTTGAAAGGCATCCCCCTCCTCGTACTGGGCAACAAATCTGATCTGCCGAATAAGCTGTCCGTTGATGAGCTCATCGATGCTTTGGACCTCAAGACGATCGGTCACCGCGAAGTCTGCTGTTACGGCATCAGCGCCAAGGAGGAGACAAACTTGGATGCTGTCATTCAATGGCTCATGAAGTGGGCCAACAGGTGAAATCGTATGCTGCGTGATGCCTTTTGGGCGACCGGCGGCTGCTGGCAGTGCGGGAGCTCATTCGCACAGCAGGCTTCAAGCCGGCACGCGTTGGATGCCTGTTTCGGTTTGCTGAGTAGTCTGCCTGGTGTGTAATGGCTCAAGACGTCAGGGATACGTGGAGAGTCGGCAAATTTCGCAGTTCATGAAAGATTTTTTTACGATTCTTCCGCCATGAACAAAGAGAAGGCCTTCATCTCAACACGATGTACGTTTGGAAAGACTGCATAACCACTCAGTCTTTGACGGTTGGGTACAACAGTCTCGAAGGAGGAGAAAGCGTTGTGAAGCCTTTGTCGGAAGAAGAGCGGGGCAGACTAGGCTCATGATGTCTCCTCGTTACCGCGAGGTGTTTCATTTTGGCCAGTGACGGGCAATGCGACATTGCGTAAGGCAGCGAGGCAACACGGCCAATTGGAACTGGGCGGCGGACCAGCATACGTTAACGATGGATGACGACGATGATACGAACTTTCCAATTATTCAGATGAGAAAATATGACCACCGTGAGCATAAGAGTCACCCTGTAGCCAGTTCTCGTGTGCGATGGTGGGTGGGCAATCCTGGTAGCTTTGACGCGCACCACGAAGTCAGTCGGAGGTGGGTTGACAGGCTGGGCGCTTCCATGATCAGAAGGGCCAGGCGTGGTGTCCATATGCTCCCAGTATGAGATGAGCTATGGCGCGCACTGCTGCTGTGCCCATTTGATCTTCTTGGGAGGAGACTGGCCGGTGTTCCGAGCGGTATGAGAGAAAGCACGGTGACTTTTGGGGGGAGAAGCTTGGGGGGAAAACATTTAAAAAGAAAGAAAAAAAAAACAGAAAAGATCTCGAGACAGGTAGCTCAACCTCGAATGGGGGACTATACTCACGATTTATTAGCGAGGCGAGGCCGGCTGCTGCGTGCTCTGTTCGACTTGCCAGCGCATCGTGCATATGAAGAGCCCTCTCAGCGAGCACCGGATTGGTTGCTGCGCGTGCGAGGTACGATGCCGCTGATCACGGCGGCACGACAACTGGCACATACTTGGCGCGACAGGAGGCCAGCCAGGGCCAGAAATGGGCGGATCAGCACATCAGATAGCCGACTTCCCCCTCTTCGGACAAAGGATACCTACTCACTCCTGGCTGACTGGACGAAATGGTGGGACCACTGGTTTTTTCATTCGAGTCAACGGCGACGGAGAGAGGTATTGACAGAGCTGATCTGACAGAGAGAGGCACAGTCGCGGGCGATCCCGAAATGCTCATACGTACAGCATGGCGCGTGCCGATGTGCTTCGCGGTAGTGCGCCGTCAGCTGATCTACCGTGCATGCAGAATCTCACATCTACTTCGGAACTCTATATCATGAGAGTTGATTCATTCTCCAACGCATTTTCTTCCACCTCCCACGTACAAACCAGAGTTAGCCAAAGTCATGGAACATGGGATTAGGTATGGTGCCTACCCATGAGGTACGAAGGCGCAGGCAGGCAGGTACGTAGGCACCTGCCTCGCTCGGCTGTTCAAAGGCAGAACGCTCCAATCAGGCTAGGAGGACCCCGCAACCACACGACCACGGCGTTCATGGTCCACCCAAGCCCCTACCGCACAGGAGCTTCGTTGTCGGCCCAGACCTGAACGCGCCCTTCGACTACTTGTCTCCGGCCGGCGCCTTACATCAACGCGCCCTCTCAGCAAAGGGGGGCTTTTTCGCATGAAACCCCACCCTTTCGAGCCCTCAGATTCAGCTCCGCCATGTCCAGACACGTGGTGTGTGACAGCCAGTGGGCCATCTTCAAACGCTGGACAAGATCACCACTGACGAGTATCCCATATTGGTCAACTCGTTGTTCACCGAACAAGGCATCGTTGTCCAGAGCAATGTCTACCACGAAGCCTACGAATGCCGCTGCTCCTGCCAGTACCTGGCTGGGTCACAAGGGGGCAGCAGGCTTTGACTTGAGAAGTGAGCCTGACAGCGTCCAATGATGACACAACGGCGCTGATATCGCAAACAGGTGATACCATGACAACACCCACGCCGGCTATGCTCGAAGCCATCAGGGTCGGCTCCCTGTTTGACGACGTGTTCGAGGAGGATACGACAACGATCGACCTCGAGACCCACGTTGCTGCCCTCGCGGGCAAGGAGGCTGGATTGTTGGTCCTCTCTGGGACGATGGGCAACCAGCTGGCGCTCCGGTCTCTGCTCACTCAGCCTCCACACAGCGTCTTGAGCGATCACCGCTCTCACATTATCCAATATGAGGCGGGCGGGTGTGTTTCTACTCATGCGCGACGACAACTATTCCATGTCGTACTAACCGTGTACGCAGCGTGTCATCCTTAACGGGTGCCTTTGTTCAGGCCGTCGTGCCGCGGAACGGCATACATCTCACGCTCGAGGATGTCATGGACAGCGTTTGCATCGACGACGATGTGCACTCGTGCCCCACCAGGGTCATCAGTCTCGAGAACACGCTCAACGGAATGATCATGCCCCTGGAAGAGGCCAGGCGGATTTCAACCTTTGCGCGAGAACACGATATTAAGATGCATCTCGACGGCGCACGGCTTTGGGAGGCCACCGCATCCGGCGCTGGCAGCCTCGCTGACTACTGCTCTCTCTTCGACACGATCAGCCTCTGCTTCTCCAAGGGCCTGGGCGCCCCCATCGGCAGCATCCTCGTGGGGCCGACAAAAACCATCAAGCACGCGCGCTGGGTGCGCAAGTCCATCGGCGGTGGCCTCCGTCAGTCGGGCGTCGTGGCGGCGCCGGCGCGGATCGCCGTGGACCAGACGTTCGGCACGGGGCCCAACGGCGAGGGCGGCCTGCTGACGACGTCGCACGATGTGGCGAGGAAGGTTGAGGCACTCTGGACGGGACTCGGCGGCAAATTACTTCACCCAGTGCACACCAACATGGTCTGGCTTGATCTGACAGCGGCGGGATGTTCCGCTGCCACGTTTGTGCAATACGGGAAGGATGTCGGCCTGAAGCTCGGCAGCGGACGAATCGTGGTCCACTATCAGATTGCGCAGAACCAGGACCTCGTGCTCCCCAAGCTGGAGGAGGTGTTCCAGAGGACGCTGGCGGGGGACAAGACTGGGGCTGAGGCGAAACAACAGACAGGACGGGCGAGCATGTATACTGTCCAGTAAGCACATCAGGCTGCCAACCTATCCACAATTCAAATACTCAAGGACGCAATGTAGAGTTGCCAATCAATGAACAAGAGTACACGAGCAAAGAAGTATTTGTCCCACGCTGGCAGCAGATAAACCATGGAACACGCCGAAAATAAGATCACGCATGTAAGGACGTGATAAAAGAAACCACACTTGTTAATGGTAAACTTACTTTGAACCACTATACTATGCTTTACATCGGCTCAGAACTAATCAAGTTGACGTACCTTTAAGTATATGACCAATTATACAGTAAGTAGAATCTCAGACTGTTTAATTGAGATGCAAGGTGTTGAGGGAGTTCTGAAGTTAGTGTCTGTCTAGATGATACCTGTATTCGTCGGATTGGGCGGATTTGGCGTGCGGCTTCATGTGTCACCCGCTTGACACGGTCAAAGAGCGCTGTTGCAATGTGGCATACCGTAGAGCGCGGGGCGCCAAGACGTCCAAGGGCACTTCTGAACAGCCACTGACATAAGTATTCGCCTACTTTTCTGGGGCTGCTGCTGTTGTTGATCGATCGTCACTCGGTGCCCAGTGACTGGATGTGCTAGCTACCTGATTGTGAATGCCCACTTCTCCGAACGCGGGACTGTTCCGCCCAGGCATTATCTTCAAGCAGTGGCCACTCTTCATTTTCGTTTCACATTACTGCATGCGCCACCACCGCCATGTACTCGTGTCTACCGGACAGCCCAGATGGCTTTCTGAGGCTCGATTTGTGGCTGTTTGAGTGATGGAGTGGCACTGGGTGAGAAGTAGGCCTACGGAAGACTGCAGGCCGAACTGGCTCAAAACCCCAAATTTCAAAAAATCGATAACTAGGCCCACCCCCTCTTCAAGACCTTAAATAGTCTATCCTA